AGATTACACCAGAGGTCCTTCTATGCCATACAACTTTTTCCTTTGCTCATGTTTATCTGTGTATATAAACACGGCCATATTTGTCAATAGTTTACGATGAACAGAATTTGGATTTATCAACAAAAAGTGAAGTGATGATTCATGTTTGGACTTGACATTTAAAGGAAAATTTAAAGCAAAATTCCGTAAGGCTTTCTTTTAATCCTGTAACAGCCTTTGAAAAAAAATCTGCTTAATTTAGACAAAGAGACCGCATAATGAGAACGGAAGGAATGCTTTTACTTATTGCGGTGCCGGGCTTGTATATGCGTAAATACTTTGCATTCTCAATTTACAGGTATATAATGGAAGTACGTATATTTTGTGCGTTCGATGAATATTTCTGAATTAATCTACGTGAGAGGTTATTAAAACCAAAATGTTGCAGCAGCCAAAGATTAAAAATACCTATGGAAAAGTATACATTTGTGACCTAAAAGGGCCTGAAAAAAATACCACAAAACATCAAACGCCTGCATACATTATTGAAAGACTATATATATCTATATTTAGAATAGAGAATGGAAACGGGGAATGTGTCAAAGAGACTACAACCCGACTAAAGAGCAGAAAAGAGCCCAATGCCACTAATGGATCTTTAACTCAACGAAAAAATACCACACCCGGAAGCGGGGTTTAGCTGGCCCCTAAACAATAGCGTATACTTGTTCAGCGAAATGGACGCCACACAAAATTCCGAAACATGCAAATGAACCAAACTTTAAAAAATCAAACAAGACTAACATAGGCTAGAGGTTCCTGACTTGGAACAGGCGCAAAAATGCGGCGTGGTTGAACATGTTTTGTTAGATCTCAACCCTTCCACTATACCTCTATCAAATGTGGAATAAACAAACACACAGTGAAACTAAGCAAAATGACAATGATCAACATTATTTAATAAAGGACTACAAGCAGTAATTGGCATGCCAGTTCCAAACATCAATTAAACTGATCGAAAGATTATATCTTCATGTTTAACTTCCAATTAAACTTTGGTTTGATTAAGGATGTCTTAATTTCGAGCCATCTTTAGGCATGCATAATTTGGTGACATGTTCGTAAATCCGCCAAAATGTGATTAAAACCTTAAAGTACATATATAAATCTATGATGACGTGGATTTATATAAAGATTGAAGGAATTAAAGAAAACACTCTTCAAAGATACCAGGCTTATTATTGTGTACCTCATACGCGCGTTTCGTCTACTTAAGACTCATCAGTGACGCCCGAATCAAAAACGTTTAAAGACCAATTCAAGAAAATGAACCTTGTGTGAAATAAATTCAGGATAAATTGGCCCTCAAACATCGTCACTCTAAGCTTTTAAATTGGTTTTAGGAAACTAGTTTTTATGGCCCAGCAACAAAGTTGTCGGGGCCATCAAGTTTTACCCTTGTCCGTCATTCCGTCATTCCGTCATTCCGCAACAAACCATTATACACGATTTTTTTCTAAACGCCTTCAGATATTGGGCTGATTTTTGGTATGTGAGTTAAACATAATGAGTTACAGATCAAGTTTAAGTTTCGTTCCGCTCTGCTAATTATGCCGAAATTACGGGCTTTGGACTTTGATAAATTGTTGAAAATCGCAGTTATACGGACTTTTTTTCTAAACGCCTTCATATATTGGGCTGAATTTTTGGTATGTGAGTTAACGATAATGAGTTACAGATCAAGTTTAAGTTTCGTTCCGCTCTGCTAATTTTGCCGAAATTACGGGCTTTGGACTTTGATAAATTGTTAAAAATCACAGTTATACGGATTTTTTTTTCTAAACGCCTTCATATATTGGGCTGAATTTTTGCATGTGAGTTAACCTTGATGAGTTACAGATCAAGTTTAAGTTTCGTTCTGCTCGGCTAATTTTTGCCGAAATTACGGGCTTTGGACTTTGATAAATTGTTGAAAATCACAGTTATACGGATTTTTTTTTCTATACGCCTTCAGATATTAGGCTGATTTTTTGGTATGTGAGTTAACCATAATGAGTTACAGATCAAGTTTAAGTTTCGTTCCGCTCGGCTAATTTTTGCCGAAATTACGGGCTCTGGACTTTGATAAATTGTTGAAAATCACAGTTATACGGGGTTTTTTTTCGAAACGCCTTCAGATATTGAGCGGATTTTTGGTATGTGAGTTAACCATGATGTGTTACAGATCGAGTTTTAGTTTCGTTCCGCTCTGCTGATTTTTGCCGAAATTACAGGTTTTGGACTTTGAAAATTGTTGAAAATCACTGTTATAAGGACTTTTTTTCTATACGCCGTCAGATTTTGCGCTGATTTTTTATATGTGAGTCTACCTTGATGAGTATGTTTCGTTCCGCTATGCTGATTTTCATGTCGTTTCAACACATCTTGTTAGATCTGCAGTACATCCACTTCCTGTTTGCTGATAGTTTGAAATTTAACTACTCATTGATCAAGGAAATTTTTCATCAACTTAAACTAGTATTGGTCTTGAGAGCTGGATACTATCCATACATGTTTGTGTCCACATGTGTTGTTGAAATTGCAGATTTTTCAACTTTTTGAGACGGGGCCATTCGTGTCGTTCCAACCCATCTAGTTTCTAAGAAGATCTTCATCACATATAAGAAATACCCTTTATTAAAAAGCATATACCTTCATGATTAAAATATTTGTTGGTTACCAGGTACTTTTGTGGACAGATAGTGTCCAGTTTAGTTGAAAACTGTTCCACGTGTTTGCTTATTCACTACGAAACAAAAACAAAAATATGGGTGTTGGGTACGTTTGTAAACTTGAAGGGAAATTTTGAAACCTGCAGTGCCCTTTTTTCTTTGGTAAACAGTTGTATTGTGTGATAGGTTTTTCTTTTCTGAATCCCCCCCCAAAAAAATTATTGTTAAGTATGTATTACGAAAATAACACTTAAAAGAGTCATAATTTAGCTATAGAATGTGGACGTTACTATACAATTTCAAGATTTAACAGACTCTGTAGTTTTTGTAAGGATGACATTGAGGATGAGTTACATTTGGTAAATAAAGATTAATAGTATCTATGTCAACCAGAAGTGAACTTTGAAAACATCATATACCTGTTTTGTTTGAAAATTGTACCAATTGATGGTATATATATATATATATACCTTACTGAATCCCAAATTATAAAGTTGCTAGGTTCTGTTCTGAAGAAAAAAGGTACTTCCAGTTTGACAGAGATGACGTTGATCGTTTAGGTCAACCCTTGGTTACCTTCTCATAGATTCCAAGCAATAATCACTTGCGATATTTCTGGAATATTCGTGATCGATAGGGATTTCTCTAAGGGAGGAAAGTTACGGTGACCTTGACTATTTAACTTTATCAAGGTCATAGGCTAAGGACTACAATGGCGAAAAATCTTAGCCACAACGATTTAACATTTACGACTTTTCCAAAATCTTCGATGAGGATTATCATGTATTTAGATCTGCATAGTATATTTTTAAATACTTTGAAAAAAGTCAACTTTCACTTTGAAAAGAGTTTCACCCTCCGTTGCATGACATGATGGTCGTTTTTCTCTAGGAGTTTTTAAAGCCGACTTTTTAAATTTTAAAAGCCGACTTTTTTCTATCAATAAATTGTGATCGCTAATAACTTTTAGTACATGTACTACTTTTTAAAAAGTTTTACAATTTGAGTAATTTTCCATTTCTAAAATTTGCCTCAAAATTTTGAAAAGATACAATTTATTATAAGTGATATAGCGATAAATTTAACATATAATATTGAAACAGAAATGTTGTATTTAATTCACATTTTAACTTGATTAACATTTTATCGATTTCGTTATTATTTTGTTGTATTCGATATGATAACTTTAAATCCGCTTCGTTTTGAATATGTCATTAATTATCAATAACAGTTAAGATTTAGATGAGACTTGAAATAATCCATAAGGGCCTGGAGGGCGGGAACATCATTTCTTCATTCTTTAACTTTTAGACCATTTTTCTCTATTTTTAATTTTTTGTCTATTTATTCTCTATCTGAGACATAATCGTATTATTTTAATAGTCTCAGTTCTCTTTTTTTCCCCTCTTTATTCTGTACTTTTTCCCCCATCATTCTCTATGCTGTAAACCCCATCCAGACCCTCATCCATGGATTGTGAAATCTTGAACTTATTCATATTAATATCATGTCATAACTATGGTTTGATTAAAAAAAAAACGTATCGTATATAAATATTTGATTGTGAGTTGTATTGAAAGTATCGGAATAACCGAAGTCGTGGTGACACTTCCGACGACAAAAGAGTCAAAATTTTACAACGATTTGGTGTCTATTTTAAAAGAATATTTTAAGACCCCCGAAGTTTAAAAAGGTAATTACAACAAAAGTATCTAGTTTTTTTTTCAAGTTTAACATGTTCATATTTATTATTGTAGAAATTTTAAAATAAATTGTGTTTGTGTGTACTGACATATGTAATTTTGACCGTTGTAGCCCTCAAGATTGGGTAATAATATGTCTCTTTCTAAATAGTTTTAGCATATGACCTTATACGGAACCTAATTGGTTCGAACTTTAAAAAAATAAAAAAGATTCAAATAATAATGGATTAATTTCAGAATTTAAAAGAAGTCTAAGTACAGTAAATTCTGAACTTCTATTTGCACCTCTGTTTACAAATGTACTCCCCAAGCTCTGTTCTCACTATAGTTCTAGTAAAATTGAAAGTACCGCAATAGGGAAAGTTTATGTTGGTCAGTATGGAGACAACACTTACTTATGAGCTTACATTAAATAATAGGTCATTAGTGTTGACCCAAACTTTAAATGTAATACAATGTTATTAAGAATATTGATACCTGATGTAATCCGATTGAGAATAATCTCTTACAAACTTTACATAGGCAAATTATATACTAACTTGAACACAAGTGTTTTTATTCAGTATATCTAACGGATTTCTTTTACTATTGAAGTTCCTTTTTTATCAAGAAAATATGAATTGAATGATAGAAGGATATACGCAGTTATGCGAGTTTTCAATTTTGTAATAGTTTTCTGTTGGATTTGTACTATCAGAACAGTTGGATCTGGAACAATAACGGATACTTACGGAAATGTAGCATACGGTAACGGTACGGTATCCTGGGCGGACCCACCGTCGGGGATGTCGTACAAGACGGTAAATGGTTATGATCCAGGAACACTGTCCATGTTATACGACGTTGTACGGGGATTTGTGAACACTGTTCAGTCACAACCATTTCCATTCAGTAAGTTTTAACTAACATTTGTACAAAGAACCTATAACTATTTGATTTAAAAACACGTAATATTTTATCGTTATTCAGAGAAGACGCCATGAAATAATATGAAAGTTTACATGTACAGTACTAAACCTAAAACTATAACCATAACTAGCAAGGATTACTGGTGTATGTAAATAGAGATATCTACTCCCATCCTACAGAAAGACCAATGTTGTGGGGGTTTGGGTTTGGCTGTACGGGATGTATGAATACATAATCACGTCATCCTCGAATGAGAATGTCGAATCCGATGCCCCATGTTTGAACAGAGGTTTGGTCTCTGCAAGTTTGAAAAATATTGCTATTACTCTTGAAGGGGTAGATGGGCAGTGGCGGATCCAGAACTTTTTATAAGGGGGACCCACTGACTGCCATAAGAGGGGGCCCGCTACAGTCATGCTTCAGTGATTCCCTATATAATCAACCAAATTTTTCCCACAAAAGGGGGTTCCGAGCCCCCCAGGGCATCCCCCTGGATCCGCCTTTAATGGGATCCTGATGGAAAGCAAAAGATAACTAGAAAAAGAATCCTTAATTTTTTCCACTCACTTATCAAAATCAGAAAGTTTAGCTACACATTGCTGATAACGACAAGTGTGATAACATTTTGTCAATTTTTACAATTTTTTATAAAAATATATCCAAAATGAACTAATATGATCTAATATGTATCAGTGCGACATCACATAGACATAATTTGTTCTCTACTTTGCATTAAACAAACATTTATAACTTTTTAGCCAAAATGCAAAATTTCAAAAATATTTGCATTGTCTGTTTTGCGGGAGGATGTTCGCATTTAGTCGGAATTGAGAGCTTTCAATCCGATAGCAGACACTGTCTGCACGTTTTTAATAACCTGGCAACTCATTTTTAGTTTATGGATGACCTCACAATTACAAAAATTCTCCCACTTCTCTACAGACGTCTCCATTTAGAAGCACCCATCATTCCAGTCGACCACTTTGAGATACTCACTTAATATTTATCTAATTTGTGTTGTCCGAAGAATTCTATGAACTATTTGCCATTGGACGTTAATTCATTAACCAGCAAGTAAGCTAGCTATCTTCAACTGTTGATTAGTTTTCAAATTTTTATGATTTTATCTATTTGAGTTTGTCTCTATTGTTTTCCTTTTTGGTTATACTGGATGTTTTTAAAAGAAAGATGCAAGGACGTGTAATATCAGGCACTTGTAAGATAGCTTCCCTTTGAGAAATTGAACACAATAAATCTTCAAAGAGGTTCTGTCTTTCCATAATTAGTTCACCCCTGTCATCCAGTAGCAAAGTAGCATCCGGGTTTTATATATATCTTACTCCCCAATTAAAATAAATAAATAATTTGTTCTGCTGAAACGACGCCACTGACGGAAAATTCTCAGCCATGGCTGATTTTGCACATCTGATTTCTACTGAACTGATTCAGACTGGAAACCAGTAAAATAAAATCTTCATTTTGATAAAGGAAGATGTGGTTTAAACGTGAATGATAAAGAGATCCAACAGAAAAAAAACTTGAATAGGCTTTCAGCGAAGGGCAGTTCAAAATCATATGAACGAATCTCTAGCTCTTATGATACATGGCATGGCACTTATCTTGAAAATAGGCTAATACGGCCAACAAAGAAATCTCCTATTTAAATCAAAGTACGGAAGTACTGAACATCGGATGACCGCAAGTTCTTGTGGATGGTCAAAAGCACTTGTCTCAGAAAAAATCACATCTCTATACCTGAACCTGAGATTAATGTACAGAGATATATTTTTTTCTGAGACAAGTTCGTGCGTGGATGATGAATAAATGACAAGAAATTCAACCTCACCGTAATAACTATTATATTGTAGTGATACAAATCAGTATACACTGGTTTGTTTTTATATATTATATTAATATAAAAGTTACTTGTATATATAATTTTCATCCATTTGTACATCATTCTGTTCTACTATTCTAATAAAAGTGCAGTGCAAGTGCATGGTGGACACTCTTCTGTAAAAATTCGATTTTTTAAAAGATCGGATATGAGTAGTTACCGGTCCTTGCGGGGATTGCCGCAAAACGTTCTTGAGATATTCTTCCGCATGCGTTAACACAATTTTTCGGTACGTGTGCATAGATATTATCAATGATTTTTTACTTATACATATATATCTAACGACAAAACATTTTCATATTATTAATTTATATTCTGAACAAAAATATTTTTATCAGTATTCATTGAAGAGATGTATTTATAACAAACGATATGGAATGATAGTTTTGCACTCCTTAATGTCTGCGTATTTATCATGTTTATAGATCGGTTACAAACCCAAAACGAAAGTTACGTAATGGACATCTAGGGGATAGCAATACATCGGAATGCCCTCACGGTCATCGCGATGTAAAAAGTGAAAGTCAAGAAGTGTAAAAAAATTGATTAAAACAGAGACAATGACGAGAAATAAAATACTTTTCGTTACTTCGAATGAACAGCAGACATTATACACAATTTCTTTCAATGATAAACTGAATATTTATGTCATATGATTCTCATGAAAGTTCTTATATCAAAGTTATCATTGTTCAATAAGTCACTGTATAAAACAGTTCAAACTTATGAGATTTTTTCTGCATATTTACACTGTTGAAATTCTCACTATTTTAAATTGTAGATATAATAAACGATGTCCTAAATGGAAATTTTGATATAAGTACTCGCTATATGGAAGTAAGTATTTCCCTAAAATATCTTGAACGAAGAAAAACACACATTATTACTCTCTTTAGTTTATTATAAGGACTTGTTAACAGAATGAATCAAGCAATAAGGAGGTATACTTCGTGAAGAATATTTAAGAATGTATAAGGACAAGGAAAACAAATATTTTGGATAGATGAATTCAACAAATGTTTAAATTCATAATTTGCTTCTTATATTAGAGTCTTGTGCATAATTGTGTCTCCAATATCCTAAAAGTTCATCAATAAACTTCTTTAAATACTTCTAAGTATTCCAAGTATACGATCAATTTGTGTCGAATACAAATACATAGAAATAGCTTACTGAAATATCATGCTTGTAGTATAAATATGTAGATGTGGTATGATTACAAATAACGCAACTATCCACCAGAAACCAAAGGACCAGAATGTTAGCAATTATATATATAACCGTACTGCCCTCAACAATGAGAAAAACCCTAACCGGATAGTAAGCTATCTAGGCACCAGCGTGACAAAATATAAACAATTCAAACTCCTAAAGTATTTACCGAAATACAATTGTGGCAGACAACAATCAAAGACAACAACTGAATAACAGGAATCTGGCGGTTTTCTTTAAAGGGTTTTGAATTTGCCAATAAATATAATTTCTAAATCTGGAACCAGCTTATATACTACCTAGCAAAAACGATCAACACATGGTTAGCTAGGGTCAGGATAGTGTGACAGAAGTAAACATCGGAAGCCACCACTCAAAAACCTGATGCATTAAATATCGGATCAGCAATATATGTATTGATATTTTGTAAAACTCCTAGGATATCAAGTTGTCTATATATTCGACCGAGTTTCTCCGATTGAGGAGTCGCATGGGTGTTCGTTTGCATTTTCAGGATATATATAAATACGCAGCTCTCTATAAATTCAAAAGTCTTTGCAACAAATGATTGAAGAGTCTGTAGTGTAAGTGGTATGTTACAAAACAAACTTTCTGCCTTGATCTACATATAAAAATAAGAAGATGTGGTATAATTGTTAATGAGACAACTCTCCACCAGAGACCAAATGACATTATAATGAAATATGTAGACAGCTCTCTCACAAACAAAAAACCTTCACTGTAGAATATAAGGGCATACGCTACAGGCACGGGGACTGTTCCCACTGACAGTCCAAACAGACCTTCGTTTACTCCGGTTGAACTACTTAAAAGAACGAATATGTTAGTTGTATCGTTTTTTAATTCGTCCTGAATTTGCATGGAATATTTTCTACTAGACGTTGAGAGAAAAACTATAAATCAGTTGATCCTGATGTACAAGTACATTGATGAAAACAAAAACTGTAAAGCCACATTAAAGTGTCTTAAAGTCTGATATTTAGAATATCAGACGAAGATCAAGTTTTTGAACAATTTCGTTCAAAGAATCACATTTTGTGGAAAGAATCACAACTTTAAAATCTTTTTCATTAATTTAAGCTAATAGACGTAGTTACGGGGTTTGCTGTATGTTTCGTCATTGGACTGTTGTTTGTCATCTTTTTCCCATTATGTGGTTGCTGTTTCTGCTGCTGTCGATGTTGTGGAAATTGTGGAGGAGATCTTAAATACGTAAGTTTCAAAATATATCTTACACTCTTACAAAATTATAAATACTTAATATATATATAAATACCAAAAAAACTAATCGGATGTTTAGTAGTTGGTTGTTGGTCCTCGAACTCTGTTTTTATCATTAAATGTCAAGTGAATTAATGATGTACGTCACAAACTCACTTATTCAAGAACATATTCACAGCAGTTACAGCCTTCATAGATTTACTATACATTGTTTAACTTTCTGTTTTTTAATAATTAAATTAGACCCTTAATATTTAATTTTGTTTAACACGAATTTATTTTTTTCTTATAAAAAAATTCAAAACATTTCAATATGACTAAATATGGTTTGTTCTTTACATAAGTATATTCCGTCTTGTAGTTAAACATTCAATTTGTGTGTCTAAGACATCATTGCATACTCTTTGTTGTAGCGTACACTTTTAAAAATAATCAAACTTGTTTTAGCTCTGTACTTCCTTTGTCTATAATAAGAATGCAAGAAGATGTATAGTCACGTTTCAAAATAAAAATAGCCATTATTACTAATAACAATAGCCCTTTTAAATAACATTTACCATAGTTAAAAATTCCAACATAAAGGTATATTTAAATATTTCTATGTATTAATAAATATTTAAGATTAAAGTTGTCTGTTTATTAAAGGGATTAGCATTTTAAAAACTATCCAATCAAACATGCATCGGACAAATTTATAAGACTTTATTGACTATCTTGTTTTCTAAAGAATATATCAATGTTAAAATTCAACATGTTAAAGATCACCCGATTTAATACTTTTACTATAGTCGGACGGGTCATCACAATACGTTTTGAACTTCCAGTGTATTTGATCACAATTCTCAAGTTTCAAAATTGGGGTAGATTATTCTTATAGTATATCTCAATAAACAAAAGAAAAAAAGGTAGTTTTTACATCAGATGACCGTGAGGGCATTCCGGTGTATTGTTGCCACAGAGATTTCTACTCACGTGACTTTCGTTTTTGACTGGTAACCGATCGTATAAATACGCGGACATTATCGAGTGCAAAATAACATTCCTTATCGCTTGTAGTTTTATCAATAAATATTCATGAAAATAATTTTAAAGAACATAGATAAATGATATGAAAATATTTTTTCGTGAGAAATATATATATCAATAACAAAAATCAAGAATAACGAAAAATTGTGTAAACGCATGCGGAAGAATTTCTCATGAACGTTTTGCAACAAACGCGGGAAAATATGAATGCCTACTCAAATACAATTTGTTAGAAAAACGAACTGCGCTATCATTAGAATAGTAGAATAGACAGATATACAAATGGATGCAAATTATATTTAACTATTATACAAATATTAATATAATATATAACAACAAACCAGAGTATACTGATAACAAATGATTGTATCACTACAATATGATAATTATTACGGTGAGGTTGAATTCCCTGTCATTTATTCAACATCCACACAGGAACTTGTCTCAGAAAAAATATATCTATGTACCTTAACCTAACTTTCAGGTATAGAGATGTGATTTTTTTTTCTGAGACAAATGCTTGTGACCATCCACCAGAACTTGCGGTCATCCGATGTTCAGTACTTCAGTACTTTGATTATATATTTACTCAGGAAGAAGACCCTAATGAAGACTGTAAGAGAATGGGGTTTGCACAAGCATTGTTTATAATGTCACTTCTCTTGGCGTAAGTAAAGAAGATCATATTAATACATTGCTTTATCCAGTAAAAATAAAATTAATGAAATAAAACTGTTCGTACCGACCGTATATAATATTTATGAAATGAAAAAAAAAAACATCCAGAAAAACGTTTCAGAACAGAAAAACTCTTAAGGAATCCTTTAAGATGAAACTTTGGAAACAAATAAATTATTAATTTGATGTGATATTTATGAATATGTGTAAAAGGATATATGGGTAGACGTAATTGACAACAAACTTTAACAAACGCATAAACCAAGATGTAAACATACCATATTCAACAACAATAAATTGGTTTCTGTACAAATTTCAAATTCAAGATGTCAAATTTTGAATCGCCAATATGAGTTAAGAATTCTACAAAGTGATATAGAACGAAGCAGTACTTGAACCATACATGACAAATTATTATGCCATGAGAACATATGCCATTTCTCAAAATAGGATGTAGCAATATTATTTTTCATTTCATATTTGCAAAATCAATACACATACTAGTATTTCTTAACATTGCTGTATCTCCCATGATCGTACCAATTACTAGTATTCTAGTTGTGATTATTTCTTTGCTCATAATACAGTTCAATACTTTCAGGACGTCATCAGCTTGTGTGTACATAACCAATGACAACTTTACCGTAGCCATTAAATATGCAGATACCTCTATTGCTGACAACTTAGACGACGTCAACACATATATTAACAATACTATCATGGTAATGTTTTCTTCTATTTTTGTATGATCTAATTTTGGATGTAACATGACTTCCGATTGGCTGAAAGTTATTTTGTCTATCAGCTCTTAGACATAATTTTGTCATGTGACCATGACGTCATCAACGTTTTTTCATGATTTACTCCTTAAAATAGTGAACTTAGAATTAAATTATACGGAATACCTGTAATATGTTTTCTGTTGATATGAAATAACCTAAAAAAAATGTAGTGCACACTTTAAAATAAAACGCTTCGCGGGTTTTTCAGTGTGCATCACATTTTTTATGTTATTTCGAATAGACAGAAACATATTACAGTCATTCCTTAAGTAAATATATATTAACACTATTTATATTATAATGGATATTTCATTTGCATATCAGAGTTGGTGATCACAGCGCTGTTAGTAATGTCTTCTTCGGTTCTGTGATGTTAATGCGTTAAGGTAATCACTTTTCATTCTAATGTTCCTTGATATGATTAGGTTGTTCTCTCTTCTCTATAAAGTTTGCTCAAATGCAGATACCACTGTAATTATGATATTGTCCTCAAATATAATAAAGATGACAAAATTACATTTATCTATCTTGATTCATATTTTAAAGTAACAAACACTCTGGTATAATCTTTATTTGGTCTAAAGATATAAGGTGCGTTCAAGTCTCACAATATGATATAAATTCTTCTTTTTAATTTATATCTTTTATCACTATAATTGCACATATCTTGAGGATTGTATTTTCCCCTATTTGTGTAGCATCGTCATTCCCAGGCTATCCGATACCTATTAAGTTTGCTGATTGGTTATTTTCTTTAGCCTCTTTTAAATGTCTGAAAAGTAAAATAAATTACATTATGTTTGTAAGTATGCTTCTCAATAATTATAATGATAATTATTTGAACTAGTATTGTGAAAATAATTGTGAATTTTCGGATCTCGTTTCATATAATTGTATGACTTTCAAGATTATATATACGTCACAAAAATACATCACTGTTTGTGGTGTCCTGTGCTGTCGTTAATGGAAGATGTTTGTTGTTATTCTACAGTTTACATGTTGTAATGTACTATTATATTATTTATTTTTGCGTTTCTCTGTGCTGAGTGTTCTTGCGTTTGTTTGGACTGTATTCCTGACAAGTAGTGTTGTCATTTTAGCGATATTTTTTCTAACATTGCCATAAAAGCGGGAGGTTTGACTAGCCATAAAACCAGGTGTCAACCCACCATTTTTTCTTAAAATGTCTTGTTCCAAGTCAGGAATATGGCAGTTGTTATCAAATAGTCCGTTTCTATGTATGTTGGCGTTTGTTTTTGTTGCACTTCAGTGTTTCTGTTGTTCTGTCGTTTCCCTCTTATAGTTGATGTGTTTCCCTCGGTTTTAGTTTGTAACCTGGATTTGTTTTCTTTATATCCTTTGAACAGCGTTATACTACTGTTGCCTTTATCTCAAGCAACCTAAGTTACGATACTAACACATGATTTGTTAGAAATACAGTTCTATCAAATTGTCTTGCTACATGTTGGTGTAAACATATATGTTATCTAAATTGGTGTTATTCTGTGTTTTGTTAAAAACAAATGTCTATTCCAATATATTTATGTATTTACCCGTAAATATCCGCTTCCAACATAATGTTACAAGAGATAATGACATTGTCTTTTTATATTTATATATTTAGCAATTCCAATATGTGGCAGTTGGCATGTACAATATTGTAAGCGATTCCATAACAGCAGATATCAATGGTACGTACATATATACCCATAGACCTGAAATATCTATAACTTAAAAGTGAAAATGTTTCTAATAACTTAAAGTTTAAAATGAACCGGTACTTCGTGTACGAATGTAATCGAGCAACACACCAATCAACGCGTAAGTAGTTTGGGTGGAAATGTGATTATAGGTCATTACTACTCGCATATATAAAGAAGAGTTTAAACTGTCAAGTACATTACGTGCAGATAAGTAACATGATACATTTTGTTTTTGCAGGTATTGGTAAAGTAATGTCGGATGCAGTTCAAGCAAATTTAAACATAACCCCAGTCATAACGGCCGTGATGGATCTGGATACATGTGAGTTGCCTAAGCAAAAGTTAACAAAATCTAAGAATGATTAAATTAAATATGTCTTAAAAGTAAATTTTCATGATCCTTTGTGCGAAGGTTTCAAGATGAAGAAGTTAATAAACCTATTACACATAGCTTATTGTGAATCTCATTTCTGGGGACACTGATACTGTTTTGCATTCTACTATGTTTCTAGCATTTATTTTGGTGTGCTGCCACTTGATCTATGCTTATAAATTATTGTATATATAAAAAGAAGATGTGGTATGATTGCAAATGAGACAACTCTCCAAAATAGACCAAATGACACAGAAATTAACAACTATAGGTCATCGTACGGCCTTCAGCAATGAGCAAAGCCCATACCGCATAGACAGCTATAAAAGGTCCAGAAATGACAAATGTAAAACAATTCAAACGAGAAAACTTCCAATCTAATTTATGTACAAAATAATGAACGAAAAACAAATATGTAACCCATTTTGGCTTCATAATTAAAGTTTACTCAACCATCTTCTATGACTCCTGGACTTATAGGCATACATTAACTTTTCTTTAATTTCTTTGGTTACTTACAAAAATGTTCTTACATTTGTACTATTTCATCTAGTTAAATCGCACGATCAACCTCTACCACCTCGATGGTCTCATGGTAGCGTGCTTGCCTTGAGTGCTCTGGAGGTCATGGGTTCGACTCCTGGCAAGGTCAAACCAAAGACATGGACATTTGCATAAGCTGCTTCTCTGCTTTGGACGCGGCATTTGAAAATAAGAGCAAAGATTGGTCGACTCGGAGTCAGAGTAAGGTTCAGGTGGGGTGACCGCATATTTTAACTTGTGAACTAGTAAGGAACAAAAACTCGACTATGCGTGTCTAGTTTAAAGAAGATTTCAAATATATATCACTTTAACATGTTCTCATCCTGATTTGCATGTAATATTTGCAACTGGACGATAAAAACCATTCATCATCAGCATCATCATCATCACCACTCGATAGCGCATGACAATTTTAACCTCAGGTTGCATTGATCATTCATTAAGAACGATTGATCATAGATTTTGAGAAGTTTTCATAAGGAGGATGCAGTATGTACTTGCAAATGCTGCGAATATTTTACAAAATTTTGGATCAACGCGAAAACAATTACGTAATGTCCTAATAAAAAACATATTGTTTAAGAAGATCATTTTAAACTATTTTAGCATTACAAGCAATAAAAACAGCGCTGGACCAATCTGTTACCGACATTACAGCTTTACAGTCAGCTGCCAATACACTGTCGTCAGATCTCAATACTCTGTCATCAGATATCGGTACTACAAAATCTAGTTGTTCATCAGACTGTACACCAACAACAGCTTGTGATGGCTTTGATGAAACAGCACTGGCAGTATCAGCGGATTTCAGTACCGTAAGTTATGTATATATATACAAAACTGTAAATAGAGTATTATAAGCTGATTTAAGCCCTCTATTTTTCATGCCATTATCTGACACGTTTAGTAAATTACTTCAACTTATATAAATTACAGCATACATACTTTATCCTTGGTGACCCAATTTTCAGAACCTACAAATTAGATTTCATTGTTAATTTGATCTCATTCTGAATTTGTTTGAACTATTTGCCACAGTATGTCAAATAACAACTAACCAATCAACAACAGTGTTTCTTACAATCTTTAGAAACACACTTTATTATAGGTCATGTATTAATGATAAACTAAAGATTATATTAACACTGTAAAAAAGAGGAGAAAGATACCAAAGGGATAGTCAAACTCATTAGTCGAAAAAGAACTGACAATGCCAGGTTAAAAAAACAAGCAAAGAACGAAAGAAAAACAACAATATACAATACACAACATAGAAAACAACACCTTGAACAACACGAATCCCACCAGAAACTGGGGGTAATCTGTTATTCTTGCCTAAAGTCTTTCATATGTAATATAGGATAACTATGCGCTTTAGCCTCGTCGGTAAAATCATGTATACGACAGTACTAACACTATTAGTAATAGTAACGCACTTCCATACTTTAATAGGAATCAGTTAATTTGATAATATTGTTAGATGAGTATTTGCAAACTGTAACGCTGTAAGTCCTACATTGATACTACCGAACATTTGCTGTAAGAGGATATAGCTGGGTTAGGTATACACTACAAATGTGTCGAGCTGTGATACTTACATCGTAGATAGTGATACTTTTATAAAGTATTAATGCGTACCACCATGACATATCTTTTATAAATATAACTGAAAAAAGCGGTCCGTATCTTGGATATTTTTGAAGTTATACCAGTACTTTACTTCGACTAGTTTCTCTTAATCAAATAGACATGGATTTGTTTAGAATTCTAAAAGGATTTGAGCGCACGTTTAATGTGTTCTATAATTTTTCATTGATGTATCCATAAAATTTTGTTTTTTTTTCAGCTGCCAGATTTAACCAGTGTACAATCATCAATAGACGGCGTGGTCGCTCAAAACCTCACTGGAATAGCTCAATCCGTAAGTTTAACACATTATTGTGTTGACGAATCGCGCGTCTGACGAACTAAATTATCAGCCTGGTAAATTTATTGGTGGACGTTCCGTCCCGAAGAATAGCACAAGGCAGTAATCAGCGTCCATGCACTTTTGTAGACGAAACGAGCGTCTGATATATAAACCACGCTAACTTTACATTGTATATGTGCATCTGCAAGACAAACACTAGTCTAGAATTATAGCTCTTTTTCTATTTCAAGGCACAGTCGCAGTTGGACAACATGGAAACAACTATTGATTCCTCTACTTCGTCAGCTAGATCATGTGAGTATCCTTTAACAACTAAAAAAAAAAGGTTTTACAAAGAACATGACAAAGTTTGAATAACTAGATTGAGATAACACATTTCTAAGTTCTGCTTCCTCTATGTCGATAACTTGTAATGTCATTCAAATATAAAAATAAGAAGACGTGGTATGATTGCCAATGAGACCACTCTCAACCAGAGACCAAATGACGTAGTTAAATTAAATTTTCGCCAAGTTTAACTAATTAAATACAAGTTATAATTAAAAGTGAGCAATAACTCACAGTACATATTCTAGATGTTCATGTGTGATATTAAATTTCGCTAACATACTTCCATTTGTTTGCTACATTCAATAGTTTTACCAACTTTGACCGGAGTTTTGAACGTTATTAATGTTCAACGAAGCAAAGTCACTTTCTTTATGAGTTTTGTTTTGTTGCTAGTATCATACACAAGTTCCTGATATAAAATAAAATGTTTTGATAGAAAACTATAAAATTGTGTTTTTTCAGCAATTCAAAGTTCACTGGATAGTTTTAAATCAACACTGAACACAATGGTTGACGATTTTGTGACTCAAGTTAATGGTGTAAGTAGGTAGATAAAATGTTCAAAAGAATAAAGTTAAAGTTACCTGCTTTGTAATCCAATCTTATTGTTTATACCTATCGCAACTCGCATGCTCGTCGAAGTCATATATATCAAAACGAAATCAGAGATCTATATTTTAGCATTTAGATTGCTATTTTATCTTTACACGTTTGTCATATATACTTATATCGGAATTATTCTTAGCCGAGAATAAACTCTTTCGAAATGCTCTTATCTCAGAAATTTCTATGTTATAAAGTAATGTATCTACAGTATTAAGAAATAAAATAACAGTTTACAAATTTTATGCGTCCGAAGCGCTTTTCTGGATTTACCTTCATAAGGAAAACTCAAAGCTGAATATTTGAAAACCAAGGATGTATAATAACCAAAACAGGTGAATAGCTAAATGACTGAAAAGGACATCAAAATAGCAAAATCTATCCAAGGTCAACGTTGCTTAAAGAAACAGTTCTAATATCAGATTCTGGAAACTATATGGTTGAGTTCAATGTCAGTTTAAATGTGATTAGAATAAAAACAAAATTATTGATCTCTATATTGAATATCACTGAAATAAAAATATAACTCAAGAAATCAAAAATAATGTGCCCAATGATTCTGTTACCCCCGAATAATCCATGGGGGATAAGGATAACCCTGGGATAAGCGTATGACACACGTTACATTATGTTATATAATCAACTTTGGATATAAATTGATTTTAATGGTACATTAAAATGACTGTACGTCAAAATCAATCTGAAAATAAAAATAAACGAAGCTTCATTAGATAAAAATATTAAGTATACCTAATTGGGAAATCTAGGTATTCATATAAATATTATGATTTTACACTAATCATCATTTTTGCATAATTATAAGTAATGGACTTCTAGAGGTAATACATAAGCAACACCAACTGATAAATGAATACAGTTCATACTACCACCCGGTCGATATAGAACAAAAAAAGAAGAATAAAAGACACAACTTAAGAACATACAGTGTCGAAGAAGACTTCAACTGTTTTAAAAATAATATGGCTGATTGCTTATATTTTTATAATTCTGTTTCTTTATGTCTTATTTAAAAGGCCATAGATACATATTCACTGAAAACGGAGATTGGCAAATTTTTCCAGTCCGCCATAGATTACGACGTTTACAGGTTAGTTACTAAGAGAGTCTATATCATTTACTTGAAATACAGAAATAAAAAATGTAACTGAAGAGACGTTTACAGGCTAGATAGATACACATTTGTATTGCTAGTGCCAGAGTCATAATATAAAAGTTGTTAAATCCTAATGGAACATAACATTTTTCAACTCAATCGAAAACAAACAATTTTTCAGATGTTCTAACTAGTAAAACCATTTGAAAAATAAAAACAAATGAAAACTCATAAGAGTGGAAGCTTCTCCTGCAATGCATGTATCACCCGCCATGTGAAACCAGAATCATTCCATTACGATATTTAAACTGTTTATACTTGCATATGTGAGTGCTATTCTGCATAAGCCGAACCGACATATAATATACCCGTTACAATAATATTTCATAACGTTTCATCTAAAGTTATTTTTCATATAGTATCACAATCGCAATAACGATGACATCATCTAGTTTATGAAAATATTTTCCTTCCCCGATTGATTGTATCTCTCCACCAGTGGATAAGAAAATATGATTACACTCATAACCTTACAATTTGAAAACAAGGTGATTTTATCATTTTTAAAACAAACACACGATTTCAAATGCTAAACGAAAATAAAATAATTGAAAAAATGTTTTATGCAGTTCTGCTTATACATACAAATATTAAACATAGCCTTCACATATACAATGCTCTTTCATTGACGGAAAATATAAAATATATTTATAAGAGCTTACGAAACATTGAGTTAAGCGAGTCCTCAAGTTTTTCTTGTTTTCGAATCCCTGTTTCTCATTTGTGCATTTAAAAAAAAAGAATATTGGTTAAACTAATCGTAAACATTTTTTAGAGAATATATTTTGTTTAATTTGTTTGCCAATGCTTTATAATGATAATTGGTCTCTGTACTTTTTAGACAATATTTTGGTTATGGGTTGATGGGATTATTCTCTTTTATACCGTTGTTAATGATTGGTGGAATAATGTGTGGTTGTTGTTGTGGGGACACTGAAGCCAAACCATCAGAGAGGCCATGTTGTTCAAGTTGTGGAGGATGCCTTATGATGCTGTAATATATATATAAGATCAATTTTATATAATCATTGTTTGTCTAGATCCTGTTCCCCAATGTTGTTTGATAATGACTTGTCACACAGCGTAACTTGAAAGATTTCTTATACAGCGATATTTACTTGAAGAATTTGTTTTATTTATGAGTTATAACCATATTTTTTATGATTAACTCGCACATTATGGCACTGTTCTCCATGCAATATAAAACTTGAAGCACGAAATGATTTTTTTTTATCCGCGGTTTAAGGACTTTGAGCATGCATTAATGAAGGAACTTTGAGCATTATTAGATACGGTATTCAGTTGTGCCTTTTATGTTTGTTAAAAAAATACCGGTTGTGCAGAAAAAAATGGCTCTTAATCTGAACTTTGATACAGTTATATCTTATATTTTGTCGTCCAATATATTTTTTGTGTTGTTGATTTGCTGTCTCTTTGACTTGAAGCTTTATTTCATTTTTATTCATTTTGCCCTTATAACTCTTCAATCAATTCACTTCTTATCATTGAAACATAAAACGTGTTTGGATTACATATATTTTCCAATTTAAAATAGTTTGAAAATAATAGAATTTATTCAAACAATGCAAAGTCGATAAATTTGGAAGGGGAATAATTGTTTTAATGCACGAAAAGTGATGAAACCAATGACATTTTTGTGTTTATAGGTAAAAGCCAACGATTTTGGAATTATTTCGCTTTTGGTAGATAACTCTCCTTTAAAATTCAATGACTTTTACTAACAATGCTATGTTTATATTGTAGTGCTGTAGCCATAATGTTTCTGATTGGTGCACTATTGATGCTGCTAACAACTGTAACCTTTATGATTGGTGGAAATTTGGAAAAGATCTGTCAATCATTTATTGATCTCACCGTATTTAGTGATGTATGCATATTTAATTATCGAGTATAATGTTCAAAGACAATGAACTGTAAACCCATAGTTTTTGCTCAGTTACACACACGTGGCAGTATGAGTTTTTACATCACTTGGCATTCGTCGTTCGCAAACTCATTACCTTGTCATACTTCGTGTTGAATATTCTACAATGTTTACCAAGCATTGCTGGAAAAATGTGTAAAGAGGTCCAGTCTGAATGAATCTTCATGGTGTTCTGATCGAAAACAAATAAGCATTCTTGATTCCAACATATAACTTAAGGAAAGTGGTATGATTGCAAACGAGACAATTATCGACCAAATGACGCAGATGTAATGAAATTTAAAAATTACAAGTCAAGGTAGCCATATCTCTCACAAGCAAAACACTTTAACTGTAAACTTTAAGGACATACCCTACAAGAACCTCGATAGATTCAACTGCATCCACACAGCACGAGCAACAAACCCTGCAAACAATACAAAAATAAGGAGATGTGGTATAATTGCAAATAAGACAACTATCACTAGAGTCTAAATGACATGGATGTAGATACATATTTTGAACAATGAAATTTAACACATTTATATTTTTTTTGTGATATAACCTGGCCAATTCAAAACAATCTTGGCAAAATGATTATCAGTAGCGCCTATTAACCCAAGTGGACAATGTGACCTCTTTAGATCTCATAGTTAAAGGTAATATCGACTCGAAAGGGAATTCACAAATATAAGTGTATGACTTTATATATTGCTTTCCAAACTTTTGATTTTTATTGTAACCCACGTAGTTAAATCAGAAAAGGAGTTTCACCGCAGAAAATTCGTTTTTTTTTATTTGTGACAGGCACATGTTCTGCTATTTAACATAAATACATTTAAAATTCTTGATTTTATTGATAGATTGTTGCCTGCTACACGTGCAGTGAAAATTTTCCTGTTTTCATGATACCTAAATATTTATATCAATTTCAATATATTTAAAAGATTATTTCTTGCAGAAACATTTTCTGTTCAATGCAAACTTATCTATTCTTATTCGTTAATTAGAGCTCTAAAATATATTAAAGATCATCTGATCTTTATTAACGTTAATTTATTCATCGAGTAATTGGTAGCATTTTGGTTTTGTTTTTCATATGAAACAACTTTCAATTTGTGTATTCGTGTAACTTCAAATTTGTTCACGTCAAATCTTATTGGTTAATTGTTTCTAGTTCATAGACCAAAATGCCATTCCAAGTTTCCATCTTGGACAGATGATACTAGGTGACCCAAGTGTCAACATCAGCGTATACAGTCTGATCTTGTAAGTGTTATTGTTAAGTCAATCAATGGATATAATTCTGGATGAGTATACATCAGTAATTATAGAGTAATAACATTAAAAAAAGCAATAACCGAAAAAAATACCTCAAAAATACTTTTTGTTGATGTTTATAAAAGTCTTTCTTTTTCATGCAATACGAACGTTAAATATTTGAAAACATCTTGCTATATTACGTAACAATTTTCTATGTATTCATATTGACATATTATACATAACAAAAATAGATAAGTCGAGTGTAACATAAGTAAACAAATAAAAATGGTCACACAATTCAATTCCTTACAAAGATTATTATAGAAACACGTGTTGTGCGCACTGACATTGATAGCGTATGTTTTTATGAACCACTGACCCTTCCGTGGCACCTTAGTTCATCCCCGTTTTTTTTTAGGTATCGTATGTTTTTATAAACCACTTACTAATCCGGAGCACCTGAAATCATCCCCGGCTTTAAAAATGTATGTTTTTATAATCCGGTGACTCATGCGGAGCACTTATATTCATCCTGTTTTTTTTGTGGTGTTCGTCTTGCTGAAGCTTTATTTTTCTGAATAATGTTTTGTGACTGCTGTTTGCCTGTCGTCGTTGTCTTTTTGACCAATGTGTTGTCTCCCTTCATTCGACTCATGACTTTTGAATACCCCCCTGATATCTTTTCCCTCTTAACAGCTACACACAGAAAGGCATTAACATTAATCTAAAAATTTATGGATTATGTCCTTATTATCTATATTATTATTTATTATTATTATTGATTGAGTATGGTTAATCAATTCAAAGCAGGAGGCTTTACGACTCTCGACGCAACTGTTTTTTTTTAATTTTATTTTATGTATCTTGGTTGATATGATATATTATTGGTAATGGATTTACGAGTTTTGGACATTTGTAAAGGACTGTTGCCTCTATTTTGTGTATATTTATATGTTAAAAAATATCAAATCAAATATCAAAGGTAATAATATTTTTATCAAGTTAATTATTAGATAATGTAAAATCTTTAATCTTTATATATAATATAATTACAGAGGATGTCGAATGAACAAGGCACCATTCACAATTCTGAGCCTCGACCAAATTATTCCTATAGACAATTATCTGAACTATTCTACGGTAATACAAAAGTATATGATATTGAATTTAGTTAATTCACCATACACGCATTTCAACGAACGATCGAGCAGCCCTTAGTGATACCATGACTATAACTAATATTAGTATTACAAAACAACTAGTACATCGTTGGCTTTCAAATATTTGGGTATGAAATTCAAAAAGCGCTTTGGACGCCAAAAAACAATCATGTTGTTTTCATTTTAAAAGGCAGCACATTATGAAAATGAGCTTTACAATTATGTCAGATTGTTTTGTAATCGGGGAACAGTAGTAATTGAACTATGAAAGGTTGGATGGCACTTACTAGCTACAGATCTCGGGGTCCATAAATATTACTTTAGGAAGTTAATGTCACAAAGCCCGATTTTCCTTTTTATTTCGATTGAATTTATTGCTTTACATGTTATACTCCACAAAAATGTTAATTCTACTGATAACAGATGGCAGAGGAGTGATGGATCCATTTAACTCTGGTGCTAACTTATCAGTTCATGGAGATTCACATAAACAGCTACATTAAGAACAAAACAAAAAGATTGTATATACCTAAAACTCTTCTTACGACAGCTAGGACAATAACCACATCGACGAATAAAGTTTGTATATACCCACAACTTACGACACCACAATAACCGAACAACAATCTACCTTTGTAGAATGATTAAAACATGTTTATAACTGAAAATCAGAAGCTACAGCTTTAGAACGCATGACATTATAAATTAAAGTGTTTCTTTCATTCACAGTTAAAAAAAATAGAGAAATTATGATTTATGTGTGATATACGTGAATTAGTCAGAAATGGTTAAACACAATATTATTTTATAATGATACTATTTATTTATAATATGTGATGTTAATATTGTATTGCATGGATGAATAATTATTCCAATTCAAAATTTATAAGCAGTGGATTTCATATCTTGTTTTAATTTCAGTATCTCACTAGCATTGATTCAGAAATAAATGGTATCAGTAGCTCAGTGGACATTAGCAGTTTTAAAGTGTTAACACCATCTATGGAGTCAAGTTTGAATGACTTTTCAAACTCTGGCATCGACGGAATTGATTTTGCTGCCATCAATACATCAGTAGGTTTAATTTTCTTACATCTAATAAATTACTCTTAGATTCAATAGAGAAAAACTTGCATGTCAAAGGGTATTGATACCTTATCTTTATAATTGTACTACTATGTTTTAAAAGGTATTAAATTAAGCATCCTGTAAACAAAGGTTCACTTTGTCTGTTGTTGAATAAAACACCCTTCTCTTACTAAGCTGTGTAAGCCATTCTATCTACGACCCATCATTAAATTGAACGCTCTTCATCTTTGGATTGTATCAGCCTCATCAGTATTAGGCTTTTTAAGCCTAAATTACAAAGCTGAATTATATTCAGTTATAATTAGACATTTCAGGCGGATGAGCTCAATTATGATGGCAGTATATTTTAATTATAGCCAATATCTGGCAGAAGCAGTATCTATGACCAATCATGTTAAATTAATGAAGTACAAGTGTAATATCGATGCAAAATGAAGTTTAAAATAAAGGTATTTGCAGCAATGTAAAATTCTTAAACAGGGATGATTAACGAATCAACAAATTTTCTAGTTCAGCGTTACATTTAAAAAAAAATGATATTTATGAATTTACATTAATTAGTTATTACTTTTTAAAACAGTTAATAATAAAATATATCATAACTCTTGTTTTCGTTTCTAGTAAGAACATGTATCCTTTTGCAGCTTTCCCAGACTCTCGTTACGTTTGATATTAATACCTTGATATCTTCCATGACATCAATTAAAAACCAATGCACAGGGACAAGTGATGTAAGATTATGCATAGTTAATATATAATTAAATATCTAGCACAAATGTTTCCTCTAACTTTATCATTCATAGTGATTAAATAATCGTAAATGTAATTACGAGTGATACCTCTTCGCATTCACAATGAGATCTTTATTTTCACACAACGAGAGAACATACAAAATTTACATAACTGTTTATTATTTTGACCTTATAATTACGTTTGCATTTCAATCTATCATATTATGTCATGCCGTAAGGTGACCTATAGTTGTTAATTTCTGTGTCATTTGGTCTCTTGTGAAGAGTTGTCTCATTGGCAATTATACCACATCTTCTTTTTCATATTAGGGTTACAAATTTAACTTGTACGATGGTTTATAGATTTGACAATGTCTTATGGTTAGACATTAAACATGCAACAGTCCGTTATATATAAAAAAAGAAGATGCTTATGTGGAATGATTGTCATTGAGGCAACTATCCACCAGAATTCAAATAACGAAGATATAAGCAATTATAGGTCACCGTACGGCTTTAAACAGTTAAGTATTTCATACCGTATAGCCAGCTTTAAAAGGCACCGACATGAAAAATGTGATACAATTCAAACAAGAAAACTAACGGCCTAATTTATAACATTACAATTCACGAAAAGTATATATGACAGACATGAACCAACGACAGGCACATACAGAATGTGGCGGGGTTAAACAAGTTTGTAATATAACCCTCTCACTTAACTGGGACAGTGGTGTAACATCACAATATAAGAAGAAGCTGTAAAAATCAATTGCAAATGGCTTTACTCAATAGATTAGTACGAAGCATAAAAACAACTAACACAAAATACAATAGACACAAATATAGACACTCTATTTGTGCGTTCACCGAGTTCTAGTTTTAAATTAGAAAAAAGTCAAAAGAATAATGTTATAACCATTACGTCGATTAATTTCTTCCATCAAATAGCGATAAACACACAGACGTCAATGTAGAAGAAATTGAAATTCTATATTATACGTTTCATATTGTTAGTTTTTTTATTGTTTGTATTTATACTCATTTTCTTTTTTCAGTCTAGATGGGCAACACACATCAGTGATGCTGAGACAATAAGAGATGTCACAATTCCAGCTGTTACAACAGCCCAGGTATTGTATAAATACACATGCAATCAGTTTCGCATATTTTGACAAGTAGTTGATATCTAACGTATATTATTTTGCTTATGACTTGTTATCGGTAAGATGCTTCACATGAAAATAAAGTGAGGCAGTTAGACATTATGTAACATAACTCATTTTTATGTTTATATTATTACATGTTCGAATGAAGCTGAAACATGTGTTACCCTTTGAATTTTGCCCCGTTTACCAGGAAACAACCTTTTGATGTTATATTTAACTTTGCCATAAAAGCGGGAGGTTTGACATGCCACAAAACCAGGTTCAACCCACCATTTTTTTCTTAAAATGTCCTGTACCAAGTCAGGAAAATGGCCATTGTTATATTATAGTTCGTTTCTGTGTGTTACATTTTAATGTTGTGTTTTTGTTGTGTCGTTGTTCTCCTCTTATATTTGATGCGTTTCCCTCAGTTTTAGTTTGTAACCTGGATTTGTTTTTATCTCTATCGATTTATGAGTTTCGAACAGCGGTATACTACTGTTGCCTTTCTTTATCTACAATGATCTGAAATGTTTTAAGCTTGTTTCATTGCCAATTAGAAATTCATGTCTGATACTTGATTAGAATATCACTTCTATGTACAACTTTGTCATAAACGGTCAAGAAGATAAACGTTTGGGAAGCCAAGTATAGGAGCATCTGAACAAATAGAGTGTAAATAAATCAGTAAGAATCGTTTTTAACCTATTATATCTGTCTGTTTTGTTCAATATAATGGAATTTTATGCGACTTTCATACAGGTGAGAGGTTTAGCTGGCTATAAAACCAGGTTTTATCCACCATTTTCTACATAAGAAAATGCCTGTACCAAGTCAGGAATATGACAGTTGTTATCGATTCGTTTGATGTGTTTGAGCTTTTGATTTTGCCTTGATTAGGGACTTTCCGTTTTGAATTTTCCTCGGAGTTTGGTATTTTTGTTATTTTACTTTTTAGTTCTACTCTGCTTCAATAAGTTTAAACTTAAGATTTAATACAACGAATTAAATGGCGAATTTAAAATCATAATTTAAAATTATATAACTATAAAATAGACAGACCCAACGCAGTTTTTACTTCTAAACATTTTTATGTTTTGAACTAATGTTTTTGTTTTCAGAGTAACCTGCAAACATCAATTTCGTCTTTGGAGAGCGCAATAAGTGGGATAATAGTAAGTCAATTATCATTAAGAAAAAGATCAAGAAAATATATATGATTGATTGGTTCTTGTGTACTAAACATTCAGTGGCATTATTTCATGCATACTGAGGACGAAAGCAAATCAATAAATAAAATAGGTAGTTTCTGCAAGGTAGGTCGACCTGGGTGTAGGGCGGGGAATAATTTTGACTGTCACCTAAAATCAAGGGTATGTTGCAAAATGGCAGAATTATACTCTGCAACAGGCCAACAGAGAACCCGTAAGAGAGTTTTTGCATAAGGTCCTTTACCTTGACATGAGCGTGGCATTCTTCCTAACCGTTTCATTGGATTGCCATTACGACTGCACATGGTAAGGTATTTATACATACTGCAAAACCATATATCAGTAAAGGAGATCAGATAAATGGTTCCCTGTCCGATGCTGCTATCAGATGTGATATTCTAGTTGGAGGAATCACTCATTTTTCTTGAATTTTTTAATACATTTTTTATTTGTTAATTTAAGGTCGTTCTGAACAAACAAAAATCAGCCGTTGTCAGTATAGTTCCATGGATCGATGAAGTTATTTAAATGCATGTTTAATATAAGACAAGTGTTCCGTTGTTTTCCTCTTATAGTTAATGTGTTTCCCTCGGATTTAGTTTGTTACCCCGATTTGTTTTTGCTTAATCTGATTATGACTATTGAAAACAGCGTTATACTACTGTTGCCTTTATTTATAGTATCCGAGAAACGTTCATAATCTCGTTACTTTAACATTGATTGCTGATCCAAATACAAATAGTTTACGTCGCCGCCGCCGGATAGAAATCCCTATGTCTTGAATTCTGTTACTTTTGTAGCAGGCGACACAAAAAGGTGACAGATGTTTTTATAATTTTATTTGATTATTTATGCATTTTCTGAAATGAAAAGTGCTTTTTATCACTAGTTAAGCATTTTTATGTCTGTAAAATACTACAAAAAAAAAAATAAAATAAAAAACCACACACACAAAGAAATTAGCAATTAAAGTAGTGCAAACAACTATCATATTAGGCGCAAAGGTAATAGCACAATTATTTGAAGTGTATCAGTATAAATGCATAAGATATACAGGTATGCTAGTATGTTAGCTTGCGAACATTTCATTCAACACACATCGAGGGAATTATTGATAGATAATTTATGGACATGCTTAAAAAGTTTATAGTCTGGAAAATTTTCATGAAGAGCAACTTATTTCATATAATATGAAAACTTTCAGGCCAAGATCAACAATACTATTGACACAGCCAGAGCTGCAGATAACGAAATTCAAAACAATATGGCGAGCGTTATACTTCAGGTAAGGCACAACACATGTACATTTCAGAGTATAAAATGGAGGTAATGGTATAGCGCGATACCAATAAAAATGGTATCATGTCTGAAAAATACAATTTTAATCAAATTATAGGTGAAAGAAATGTCTTCAAAATTGTCATTTTATCAAATACTAATTCAGGAAAGATTTGAAATATGCCGAAATGTAAAAATGATTTCATTTAAAAGTGTATTTTAGGCTATATGTTTTATGTCTGCCTGATCGTTCCTTTGGGCATAGATAAACTACTATTGCCTTAACTTATCCTATTCGGCTAACGTTTCACGTCAATTTCCAAAGAAAAAAAAACAAAAAAAAACATGATTGCATGCTTTTTTTTTCACTTGTCAATGTATTGAAATTTAATCATTCCTTGGACGTTTAAAAAAACGAAGGGTAATTTATAAACGTAAATATCATACCATTTATCGTTAACATGGTTAATTTGAACCGTTCCATTTCAGTGACCCGATGGCATGCAAAACAAGTGTTCATACAATAATTTCTAAAGCAGATCAATATTTTACAAGAAGGAAAATTATTGTAGAAATTCGAATACAAAAAAAAAATATATCAAATCATAATAATATTATAACCTTATATTTTCAGGCTGCCATAGATTTTAAAAACCAGATACTAGCATACATTGATTCATATATCTTGGAAGTAAGGAATTTGGTTAGTATTACATATCTTTACATTATACATTTGATAGGTGGGTCTATTTTTGAATTTTTTGTATGTAAAATAATTATCATATTGTACAAAACATCATTCAAGCTTTTGCTTTGGTCCTTAGTATTGTCGTTTCGAAGTATATCTTGTGAGTGTGTTGCGTTCACATCCACACGAAATCCCTATTCCTCTCAAACCACAATTTTTTATTAAAGTGTAACACATATATAAGTGGATTATTTGATACGAGTCCAGTATCTAGCCTATGAAGTGATTTTTTTTAATTTAACCATATATTTCAAGGAATCTCTTCATTTTGATTGGATTACATCTGTATTTTGTTTTTTTGTAGATTTATAATGAGCTAGCAGCTTGTCTTCCCATTTGGAATCTCTATAACTCCTTTACTACAACATTTTGCAGTTATACGTTAGATGCCTTGGTAAGAATGTTAAGATGTTTTACCTTAAATTGAAAAGGTTTCAAATAAGATGCGGGTTTAGGCAGTCGGGTGAAATATTACATTAAAGTAGCACAACAAATAGACATGTAGAAAACATTTTTCGACCCTCAACAGACGCCAAATATTACAAATGATAGTTTTCTCAGGATAAAAAAATGTAAACGAGTTCAGGAAAGACGTCAGAAGAGCTGAAAGCAAGACAAAATTATGACGAGATAGAAAAAAGACACATCAGGAGATAAAACGATAAAAAAAACCTCAAATTGTCTTTTTATATTATATCGTTTGGTGTATGATTTTGGCTGGCATGAATATTAATGCCAGATTCATAATAAAAAAGGAGGAGGGCATTGTTTTATTTTACTAAAATGAATAACAAATATGTATATGCGCTTACCATACTATTTGTTTTATCAGAAGTAGGAGTTGCAATTTCCATCTAAGTCTGACATTGAATGTTCCCTCTAGATTATGTTTTTCTGCAAACTCTTATTTTTTTTTCAGAATACTTTTTGGTTTGCAATTGGCTGGGGATTATTTTTCTTCACACCTGTTATCATTGTCGGAGTCAAATTATCAAAGTATTACAGAAGGTTAAGTGAGGATGAAGATGACGATGGGTAATTAAGTACTATTTTAGGGAAGAATATTAAGGATAGTTATCGTAAAATAACATAAGAATTAAACATACATATATATATATAAAAAAAATATCACGACTACCCGATATGCATTCAGTCAGCCATCTAGGTCAAACGTGCAAATATGAAGAACAGTTTAAGAATATTTGAATTCACAAACAGAGAATATTGATAATTAAAAAAAAAAATTAACTGAATATTTTATTTCAACTGTATGCAAACAATAAGAATCCAATAGCAAATGACGCAATAAATAAAATTGAGAATGGAAATGGGGACTGTGTCAATGAGACAACAACCTGACCAAAGAGCAGAAAACAGCCCAAGGCCACCAATGGGTCTTCAACACCGCCAGAAAAGTACGCTCGGTTGATTATTATATAATTTGGACTTTATGTTTATCTAAAAATTTGGAGAACACTTACATCATATGTGTTTATCACGTTCAATGTTTTGTATTGTAGTGACGATGATGAAGATGATGGGTAAGTTTACGATGACCAATTAAATTGGTTTAACCTTTCTGTATTCCAAAAAAATATAAAAGTGTTGCGTTTCGGAGAAATTGTCAGGGGCAGGCAAACCCACTTCAAATTACTTGAGAAAAATGTAGCATATGTAAACCAGTCAAGGTATGAAAAAAACCCAAACTATAACACTTTCCTGAACTTTAGTATAGTTTGAATAATAAAAAAAAAATAATGAACGTGCTTCTAGAACTTAATTGTGTCCGTATTTCTACGGATTGAATATCATTTTCTCATCTCAAATTAGTAACTCTGAAGTTTATGTAGAACAACATATTTAAATTGCATATCATTAAGTGTAAATTTGAATTTGCACAATAAAACGTTAACCTTTTTACTATTTATACAAAACGAGTAAATTGCGATCAAACATATAACTAGTTACATGCACGTCCACAAATACCTAATTGTAAGACGGGAATTGTATCTTTCGGTTTTATCTTAAATAACACAATAGTGTGCCATTGTTTGAAGATACACAATAGAATTATCAAAATAATATTAAGTTATCTTTTCATTTTTTTTTCAGTTTTAATGGTTATCATAATGGGTAGGTTTATTGAAATGTTTAATTATTTAAATACAATTGTGTCTGTAGAAAATATCATGCTTAAACACTGTCTGTATGTCCATTGTTGTGTCTCTCGGCAAATGATAATCAGAAAAAATAATTCTAAACCACAGCTCATGAAAATAATGTTCTATGATAAAACTAATCATATCCTCCTTTAATTACAAAAATAACACTGACAATTCATTTTATTATACTCCATGTCAAAATGCTAGATTTTGATTGGTTAATACGAAGTAGATAATTTACTCTATCCCATGGTAAATACTCTATTACCCTTCACGGAGACGCTTGATCAAGTGTGCGCTTTATTAAATACGAATGGTTGTTATGTACAAGACGTCATAATTTATTACTTTGAATTTCAAAATTTTATAGTCAGTAAAAACAGAACATTCAGTAAAATAAATTAAATAACACATACCTAAGAGGGTGATAGAGCAGAGTGTTACCCTCGAAAAGACATTGTCAACTTTGGCTTCGCCGCGGTTGACAATGTTTTCTCGGGGTAAAAATCTGCTCTATAACCCTCTCATCTATGTGTTATTTATATACTAGTACGATAAATGTCAAAATTATTAATACATTTATCTAAAACGGCAATATTTATATATTAAATGTGTGCAGCAAACTTACCAAACTTTGGCAGTTTAGTAGTTTGTCAGATTTTTTCTTTGAATGCAAGAAGTTCAAATGAAGTTCTAAAGCAAACATAAAATAGTCAAAAGTTGTCAAAATTGACTATCTTATTTTGACCGTTCAGATCAAAATGGTGGTTATATATGAGGATCATTTTAAGAAGTTTTCTGAATAAAGATTGGCTTACTTTAATGAAACAGGTCTTCCTCTTCGGATTATAATCGTGTTACTTATATTTTAATTTTATGTCCACTCCTGATAATTATTGTTTCATCTTCAATTTGTTTCAAACATGGACTGGCCTGGTGCTTGTTTTTATTTTCCCTATGTCTTTCACGTCTTTGTTTTGAGTGAAATAAGCATATAACTTTGTTTGACTCATTTCGCAATGTTGATATTTTTTCTTATTTTGTTTACAAGGTTTAACAAAGTATGGGAATTTTAAATCGGTGTTTAAAGTATATAAGTGATCACGATGTCGATATAAATCGCCAAATGAAACAAATAATACTTTTAGAAACTTGTAAGAGAGAAAAAACGAATACTTATTGACACAATAGCAAACAGTTCGTTGTAGTCAGATCATCAGTAGCTATTTAGTGTTAACGCTAGGAACTATATAAAGTTTGTTTTCGAATGACTGATTTTTTAAATAGTACATGTCTTTCACATTGTTAGATTAACACATATTTTTTGTAGTAAGCAAACATATTGTTTTCCAAAGGAATCAACAAAAATACTGGACAGTACCACCTACTACAGCAACCAACAACACCTTACTCATCTTAAAAAAAAACACCACTAACAAAAAAGACAAACAACAACAAAAAACGCATGGTTTTATTAACCTGGCTTGGTACAGGCACACAATGTGTTGGGGTTAAAGATCACAAATTCTACATTTACATATCTAGACCGTAGATTGAATAACTAGAACACACAGTAAAATTCCTGTACAGTTAAGCTACAAACAGGGGGGGCACTAATAAAAAAATAAGAAGTTGTACATAATTTGAATAGCACAGTAAAAATGTGCTCACTTTAAGAAGCTAGTTATGGTGGCTATATTCATTAGTTGGACATGCCGCTCCAGAAAACATAAAACAGATGTACGATTGCAAATTGAACGTAATTTATCATTCTGATGTAGACCATATTTTATATAGTATTGGAAAACATATTTATAATATTAAAGTATATATCAATATATGATAACTAACTTCTATATTATTGTTGGTTTTGTTGTTCAGTTCTAGACAACCTCGATTGCGTTCTCCACGTCGGTAAGAATGATTTGATATACAGTGGTGTAGGTCCTATCAATATCGGTTACTATACTTGCATGCGTTCATTCTTTGTACAATCCTGGGGATATCTGATGTACCGCTGTATTTCATATTAACATTTATCAGTCTTTTAAACAAATTCTGCATGCTTTCTTTATTCTATGTCTTTAGATGAGTGTTATTCTCTATTATTCTTTTATTTGTGATCAGCTTTCTGTAATTGTAAAAATATAAAATTAGTATATTGGCAACAATGTCAGTGCATGTAACTTACATTGAAATACTTTATACATATTTTCATATACTTTGTTTGAATACATGTGACAAAATATTTTGTCGTTTGAAATTGATTGATTCGTGAATGCTCAACATTTCAATTGAGCAAGATAACTAACATTTCTGAACGTATTATGATAATGGTGATATACAAGATAACAAACATTCTGAACGGTAACATTTTAATGTCATATTGATACACACTGCTTGCTACTTGACTATGTAACGCGAATATTTTACAGTATAACATACAATTTAGAAAGGAACAGGTGTATTAATTAAAAGAATGGCATCCGACCGAGAAATTTTGTTTAAGATTCGGACAGATCAGTCCATGTTATTTCTGTAAAACGTAGCTCTCTTAGCAAAACAGTAGGGAATACCAATGTTTCAAGTCGGAGATCGAGTCCACGAACATATTTCCTGGAAGCGAGCACGGTTTTTGGCATTCTTTTTAATCCCGTCATGTTTTATGTTCTCAAAAAACGTTTCTGTATGTGTTTATTTGTGTGGAATACGTTTATTGCATTAAAACTTGTCGTGTGCACGGAAATTAGTATCACAATGTTTTATATGTATTTTCTAAATCATCCAAAATGAATGTCCTTTTTAAGTAACCGACTTCCAACAATACTGAAATAAAATGAATTCACGTTATCGCCATAACAATCCCAAAAATAAACTGATAATAAAACACGTTTGTCACAATGTTTCTCTCTCGCCCCTCCAACCAAACTTTGACTCATTGTCCTCGTGGATACATTGTAATGACACACTGATGCATCAGTACACCTTTGTCTGTGACATACCTTCATCTATATCTATGTGTTACGGACTTTATAAAACATTGCCCAAAATGCACGTAGGTAAGTTTATCATCTTCAATGTTTTTGTATCAATAAGTACAAAATGTATTTTTATTTTTGAACTTTCATTTGTGATGTCAAGGACAAACATTAAGTTAAAAATACTAATATGATATTCCATTAATATGTTCTTTGCCATACAGATATAATGTAATACAGCTAATGGAATTCGAGAGAAAACAACTTTTTTATGATGCGATACGAACATTCTTTTTATTTCGTTCCAGGTTCAATAAAGTATCCCCGCAGTACTACTGATAGACCAATTTGAATGGTTGTTGACTAATAATTTTAACATTTTCATATTGATGGCAATATGTGTTAGCGACAATAAATTCCTTTTATGTTTCTTATTGTTTATTTTACAAACTTAAATATCTCTATTGGAAATGAAAGGATAAATGGCACAAATTAAAATTACTACATACACATCAAAAAAACAAAAGAACAACGCTTTTATCGCTGTTTTTTATTTTTAATCTCAAAGTCACTATTGCTACTATTAGCTTGGTGTAAAATCTGTGTCTCAAATAATTTTTCGATGTTATGTAGACAACTTTTGACGTTATTTCTTGTTGATTCGTGAATGCTTAACATTTCAATTGCGCAAGATAACAATCGTATTTTGACCGTATTAAGTATGGTTATATATATAGAATAAAGCTGGAAAAACAATTATTCTCGCAAGAAAATCAAACAAGAAAAGTAAAAATCAAATTTCGAAAAATTAAGACTTCAGTACGTCCAAAGCACAGGTTGAACAGAATAAAAAAAATAAATAAATAAACCAGTCAGGTAAAACCTGGTAATATGTTATATGAAAATTTAGGTCTTAACATAAAAATAAACACATCAAAGATAACAGGCTTATAATTAAGTACGGCAGAAGCGCGTTTCATTTTCAAAAGACTCATCAGTGACGCTCGAATAAATAAAGTTAAAAGGCTAAATCAAGTACGAAGTCAAAGAGTATTGAGGACCAAAATCTTCCAAAAGGTTTTTGCCAAATGTTGCTAAGGTAATATATTCCTTGGGGGAGAAAATTTTTAGTTTTTCAAACAATTCAAAGATTGATAAACTGTTAATTTATAAATATAACCACATGAATGATATTTCATGTCAACACAGAAAGGCTAAATACAAGCAGTGGCATCAAATCAGTTATTAAAAAAACTCATCAAAATTAAAGATACCAGGCTTATAAATTAGTAAGCTAGACGCGCGTTTTGTCTTCAAAAGACTCATCAATGACGCACGAATGAAAAAAGTTAAAAGGCTTAATCAAATTCGAAGTTGAAGAGCATTGAGACCCAAAGGTTTTGCCAAATACAGCTAAGGTAATCTATACCTTGGGGAAAATAATCCTTAATTTTTCAAACGATTCAAAGTTTTGTAAACTGTTAATTTATAAATATGACCATATGCTGACTATTGGGCTATAAATCCCTCGAGGAGGAAACCTCCACAAGCAGTGGCATCAACCAAGTGGTTGAAAAAATAAACTTCAAAGATACCAGGCTTATAATTTAGAACTCCAGACGCGCGTTTCGTCTAAAAAGATCATCAGTGACGCTCGAATCAAAAAAGTTAGAAACCAAATCAAGTTCGAATACGAAGAGCATTGATGACCCCAAAATTCCAAACGGTTTTGTCAAATACAGCTAAGATAATCTACTCCTGGCGGTAGTTTTTCAAAAAATGCAAAGTTGTGTTAACTGTTAATTCATAATAAAATTGAGAATGGAAATGGTGAATGTGTCAAAGAGACAACAAGCCGACCAAAGAGCAGAAAACCGCCGAAGGCCACCAATGGGTCTTCAACACAGAGAGAAAATCCCGCACCTGGAGGCGGGCTTCAGCTGGCCCCTGAACAAAAATAAATAAATATGACCATGCCAACACAGAAGTGCTGACAACTGGGTTGGTGATACCCTCGGGAGGAAACATCCACCAACAGTGGCATCGACCCAGTGGTAGTAAAACAAAACTCATCAAAGATACCAGGCTTATCAATCAGTACGCCAAATCAAGTACGTAGTTGAAGAGCATTGATGACACCAAAATTCCAAAAAGGTTTTGACAAATGCAGCTAAGGTACTCTATTCCTGGGGGTAGAAAATCCCTAGTTTTTCAAACAATGCAAAGGTTTGTAAACTGTTAATATATAAACGACATCAAAAAGAAAAATTCCCATATATCTTACTAATATTTATAAGCTATATATCTATCCGAGTTATATTATTCATAACAAAAAAGTGACAGTTAATATGCCTCTTGTCTGTTTTTATAACCCCGCCATATGTCCAAGATTGTATCTTGAAATTTTAATGTCTCTTCGTTTTTAGTGAAGTTAGATGCTGTTCCTTTGACATACCCCAATCTTACTCATTATTTTATAAAACAGTTTCTACCTTAAAGTTAAAAGAGTGAAGCTATGACCTTTTTGAGAGAGCTATCAGGAAGCAATTAATCATAAGTCGAATAAAGACGAACAAAAAAAAAAGAAAATAGCAACTGACGAACAAAAGTCCACAAACACCAGATAGAAAGTTGAAGAATTGATATACTCTACCTCAAATGATTTTAAAACTTTATTCTTCAGATTCCTATTGTTAATAAATATACCGATTACAGTTGGCCATCTGAGTGTACTTTTTTATTTTCCAAAGCAAAACCATTGACACACACAAATCTAAACGAATTAAGACAAAAAACTGCGTCAAAAACCTCTACGGTCTTGAGTGATATCCATCAGCATATACAAAAAGACTTGGAGAACTGTCAGCAACAATCCCTTATTATAACACCTCGCTATCACTGCTAAATCATTTGAATCCAGACAAAAATCCGGCAAATATAGTCTGTCTACACAAAACATTTGCAAAACCAAAATACTAATCATCTATTTATTCTCTTTAACACAAATTGAAAAAAGTAATAAAAATAAAACAATTACTTGCTTGCAAATTAGAGTACGGGAAGACAATAGTTTGGTATTAGAAATTTCATGTTGATTTCGATAACATCAGGGATTTCCTTTAAAAATCCTCTATGTACACATGTTTTAAAATACAAATTAGCCATTCAGTTATTTCAAACAGGTTGTTCATTTATAATGTCAAATTTGAAAGGTCATACCACTTTAAAATTAATACACATCCTTACAAACAATACCATTTGTCCAAATTAACCCAATTATTAATAAGTTCAACTATTTTACCAGTTGAATTTCTGAACAACTGCTGATGCGTTTATTTTATATTTTATACCAATGATGATTTACATCTGAGTTTAATGTTTGTTTCTACAAGTTTTCTAAGCTGGTGAATATTGTAATAGCATGGCAGTCTGCAACACAGTTTGTGCAGTGTGTGTGGGTATGTGTGATAAAGTACGTTTTTGGAATATATGGTCGGGTGAAATAACTCGTCATAGATACCATGCCTAAAATTGTGTATGCCAAACGCGCGTTTAGTCTACATCAGTGACATTCGAATCAACAAAGTTTAAAGAGCCAAAATAAAGCACGAAGCCGAAGAGAAGCTTTTGTCATAAGAAAACAATAGAATCGTTTTACTACATACGCATATATTCAATAATCTAAAATCGCAACTTGACAGCTAAGCGTTGAATACGGTAACATGATTTACACTCAGAAATGGAAATTAAATAGAGACTATAAATGTACCTAAAGAACGATTCGGACAAACACACAGAATTACGGAAGCTTACTTACAAGCTCTTCTAGAACTTTTGAAACCGAGTGAACTATCAAAATCTGCTGAGGTATGAATCTAAAATATTCAGGAGACGGTTTTTCTAACGGAATATCACGCATTGAGGTACAATAGTAAAACCAAGAAGAATCAGACAATTCCGATTATTTCTTGACAACAAGAGTATCATAAATGTGGAGGAAGAATTCAGAATGCAATCTTATCGGAGTCCACAAATTTTCTTTATAATTTACCTAACGATCATTTAATGTCGAAAATTATAGTATCAAATACTCACAAAAGAATTTGTCATACATGAGTAGATGCCACAATCGTGAAAGTGAGGCAAAGTTTTTGATACCTGCAATCCGACAGTTTGTAATGAAAATTCTTAGGAAATGCGTTACTTGTCGTAAGGTGATTGGACAACCATTTACAACACCTGATCCACTGTCGTTACCTAAGATTCGACTACAAGATGCCGAATCCTTTACAGCTACGGGTAAAGATTTCACAGGCGCATTAAAAGTGAAGGAGAATTCAAAAATCGAAGAAAGCCTACGTATGTTATTTGCTTTTGAGCGCTTTTGAAAAAGCAGAAAAAATCGTTACCGAATGTGATGAAAGACAATGGTTGTAATTTTGTATCTGCTTCAGAAGAAATAACACAACTTCGCAATCCAAAAAAGTTAAAAGAGACATTAGCAGCACAAAGAATCGACTGGTTTGTTCATCCCTAAAACGAGCTCCATGGTTTAGGAATGGTGGTAGCGTCTCATTGGAATGACAAAAATATATTTGAAAAAAGTCCTAGGAATATCGCTTGGGGATTTAGAGACTTTCCAGAAAATCGTTACAGATATAGAATCCGTCTTAAACGATCGACCATTAACATATGTTTCTTCAGTCCCGGAGAATCTTGAACCACTGGCTCCAGCTCATCTGCTTTATAGGCGTCGAATAAATACAACACCGTACATAGATAATCGTGAAATTGACACTTTTAAGGAGACATTTAGGAACAAAACAAGTTTTATCAAAAGTGTTCAAAGACAATCACTATTGTTCAAACCAATGGGAACCGAATATTTGAACTACATAACGTCCAATCGTTAAGTTATATCCTCTTTAATTTTGTACGGAAATCGGAACATCATAGGAAGAATAATACGAATCTAATGACCTGTTGCGATTTATTATAGACTGTTACGAAAATGTTTCATAAATTGACTATCTGTCAAAAACCGATAATATGACACTTTTTCATCGACTTTGTGAACAGGTGAATATAGACTCACTGTGTACGAAATAGACTTATTGAAATTTAATTCAAAGATAACTAATCTGAAAGTTAGTGACTTTTCTCAAGTTATTAAGATTGAGTTTAAATTTTGAAAGACAGTAATTTTCATTAATTTTTTTACATTTTTTGTACTTTATCGTAATTTAATTTTGAAAACACACTTTTTGTGGTCTTCTCGGCTTTTCCTATAATAACTAGGCTTCACGTCAGTGCGAGACGTAGCCTTAGTCCTCAGACATATTTATGAAATAAACGTAAAACAGTATAGTTGTATTCTGCTGTCTATATTACGATAGTTGTTTTAGCCCCGATAATCGTAAACGACTTATTTTCAAGAACCACTACCCAACCGATCGTCCGAGGAGAACCAACCATCCGCACAGAACGCTTAAAAACTGATTCACTGTCCTCCTCCCGAACACGTTATTTACTACTATATCATCTGACGAGATTCCTTTCAGTGACCAAAAACACAACCATTCAGTACAATAAGACCAGGAACCGATATAGTTTATTGTTGTCAATCAAATACTCCAACGTCTCAAAGTTAAACTTCAGAATGAATTATTTCTTTTGAGCACTCAATCCTCCCACTTTTAATCACGATTCATGGAATAACACAGGTTCAATTTTTTAGGTTTATTTTTCCTTTTTTCATTTCGTAAAATATTTTTTCATAATTTCTTCTTTTTTTTAATTCTTTTACAATTTAATATTTTTTTAATTTATTATTTTCACAATTTTCTACACGCAGACACGATAGCATTTAATGCAACCATCTTGAAAAAAAGATTTTTTTTCTAAATTGTTCAAAAATCCCGTTCTTATATTTTCTTATCTATAACTTATGATTTTGACAAAGAATAGTAAAAAAAAGATCATCTCTTTTATATACAAATATGTTTTTGACGTAACAGTCAAATTTATATGTTAATATATATTGCTACAGATAAAATATTTCAATTGGTTTAATTATAATTTTACGAAGGTCACTAAAATCTGATAAATAGTTTACACTTTTCGTTTTGTGAAAATCAAAGTTTTGATCCGGTATATCCCAGTCATAAAAACAACAAATAACACAAAGAAGTATTAAAAGTCGGTATACAAATTCTAATTAAATGGACCAATGTCAAATGTATAAAGTTAAAAAAATAACAAGTAACATGTATTTAAAAAATATCAAGTTTTTACAATATTTGAGTATTTATTTTAAACCATGACCGAGTTGTTAAATGTTTGAATCAATGCTTTTCTTTCATTTGTCAGTTAATTGTAAGATGAAATGATTACAACAGAGGTCAAGATCGGAAAACCACACATTGGATAATTAATGTATCAATATTTCAGATTAAAACATATTGCCTGTCAGAGGATAATTCCTCTCAACAACTAGGCCTAAATGTTAAGTCTAAAGACAAAACCATTTTGATACATGAGTTTTTAATATCAAAGCGCAGAATATGTAGGTTGTTTACATTAGTAAACTGCTATTGCTTTATATTTAAAAAGAACTTTTATTTTCTTTTAACTAGACTAGATATTTTATGTTTGTAGCTCAGACAATTACTAGAAACAGTGAAGCATAGAAAAATGAGTATTTTAATATTGAGAGTTTTACTAATTCAAGGATTAACATGTCTGAATCTTGTGAAGTCTGGAAATATAACAGACATTTATGGAAATGTTGCGTATGGAAATGGTACAATTTCATGGGAGAACATACCTTCAGGTTTTTCATACAAGACGGTTAATAATTATGATCCAGGAGGCCTGGACGGACTTTACAAAATGGCAAGAGGTTTCATAAATATGATTCAACCAGATCCATTTCCCTATGGTAAGAGTCTTCTAAGTCTAAATCTATACCAGCAGCGCAGTTTATATATACGTAAAAGGTCAAGTATCAAATAAACCTTGTTCCGAAATGTAAATAGTGTTATTCCTAATATACAAAAATATGTTATGTATAATAACGAAATCGAAATATTCAAATATTGAGATTTCAAAAAGCGAATTTTATAAATAAAAAAGCCAAAACAAAACAAACGTTGATTCTCAGAGAAAATATTGTTTATTATCAAATAGACAATCAAAGATTAATTGAATTTTTGATTGATTGGTGTTTAACGCTTTTTCAATACTATTATGCTATTTCGTGGCGGTCAGTAATTATTGGTGGAGGAAGCCGGAGTGCACGGAGAGAACCACCGACCTTCGGTAGGAAAACTGACAATCCTAGTAAGATTGGAGTCGAGCGCGGGACGAACTCACAACCTCAGTGATGACTGGCTAGTGATACAGTAGTTCGACTTCTTAGACCACTCGTTCACCGAGGCCCCTAAAAATATTAACATAATTCTGAATTCATGTAAAAAATTGTTTACACGTTTTTGTACAAGCATTTTTTATTAAATTGTTTAATACAAGTTAATTTAGAAACGTTTATATGTGTTGTCAATCTTGGAATTTATTACCTTGTATAAACTGCTATAAAAACCTTGCACTCGTAATCTTTTTACCAACAAACTAGTAGATGAAAGTTTTATTAGTTTAATTTTTCATAACCAATTTGCGTGTCATTTAACACGTGTAAAGCCGTTTTCAGTTATATCTTTAATTTGATGTTAATTTGTTATTACGATCTTACATGTATGTTACAAATATTTTCGGACGACATAATAATTCTTCAATTTTTTTTTACTTTAATATGTGGTATTTGTGGTTTAATATATTTCGATGAGAAGGACTTTGAAAAAGAAACGAAAGATAACAATTTGAGAATCAAAACTCATAAGAGAGACCGACGAAATTAGACGAAAAAAATTAAGGCGACGAAAAGGCAAACACTTAAAACAAAACTAAAGGCTAAACAACCCGAACCCTACAGAAAACCCGGGTGAGGTCGTAAGAAAAGAAGTTCATCATAGATACCAGAATTATAATTTTGAAACGCCAATACTTGTGGCATAACTTAATTTTATTTGCTCAATTTTGGCCAATACAAATTTGGGATTATGAGGCCCTATAAAGAGATATTTGTGGTAATACTGAATTCAAATTGAATTTTGATTTCTGACTTAGGCAGATATGATGTGTCTTCTACCTTTTTTCATATTTATGTACTTATTTAGAATGCTGATCTCTTTAACATAGTTAAAAAATTGGCGGTTACAATGTTTTAAGTTGAACAAAACTGTACAACAATTTAGGCCAGCTTACTATTGAGATATTTTAAATTATAGATATTGTCAAAGATGTATTGAGAAGTAGATTCGACATAACAACGCAGTATCAAGAGGTACGTATCATAAAATAGATATTTTCAAAAATATTTGAGGAAACTAATCCAAGGATAAAGAGAAATGCGTTCCTTGAACAGGCAAAGTTAACCTTATATTAATGTTCTATTATTTATATAGGTCCTGCCGTTTCTTCTTTTTTTTTCATCCTTGGCTTTCAAATGTTTTAAGTTTTAGTGTTCCTAGTGAAGGTTAATCCAGAAAATAGCTTCGGAAGCTCGAAAGTTATAAAGTGGTATTTTCATTTTGAACTATTTGATAGAAAGATTTCCCTTAGCTACATACCGTAGCTACCAATGACTGATTGATTGGTGTTTAATACCAATTTCAGCACTATCAACTATTTTGAGGCAGTCAGTTTTTACTGGTGGAGAACGCCGGATTGCCCGGAGAGAATCACCGACCGTCGGAAAGAAATCTGACAATCCTAGTCAATAAGATTCGAGTCGAATGCGCCTGCCACGTGCGGGGTAACGAACTAACAACCTCGGTGTTGACAGACTTGTGATACAGTAGTTGGACTACTTACAGCCACAGAGACCCCAACGTAACTACTACATATCTATTTTAATCATTCAAATACAATTCACAATGTATGGCTTTATTACTTAATGATTGCCTCAATAGTTTAATGCTTTGTATATAAATCAGGCCGTTAGTTTTCCGATTGAATTGTTTTACATTTGTCACTTTGGGGCTTTTTTTAGCTTGCTATGCGGTAAGGGTTTTGCTCATTGTTGAAGTCCTTACAGTGACCTATAATTGATAACATTCTACGTCATTTGGTCTCATACTACATATTCTTAGTTTTAATATATTCGCAATAACCTGAAACGTTCATTTCCCATTTTTAGTTTATTTATAGTTGTAATATCCTCACTCTTGTCCTGATTACTGTCTTACTGGAAATCAAACCGCTTACCAATTTAATTATCCCATCTCAGTTACATGTAGTGCTAAACACTCATTATAAATTGTCTGCATGTCTCTTCAAGACACAACTATCTGCCCATTTGTTCATTAAATGCTATATATATATAAATCTCTTATTATTTTCAGGTTATAAATGCCAGTATGGGTTTTGGAATCTGCTTTGGCATTGGACTGTTGTTCATAATTATCTTCCCAATATGTGGATGTTGTTTTTGTTGTTGTCGGTGTTGTGGCAACTGTCGACCTGATCTGAAACAGGTAACATTATTGCTTTAGGAGAAACTGTACAATGTAATGGTAGAAATATAGAGACTCAGACTTATTACACAGCGCAATTCAAAAGAATTGCTGCGAAGCACTTGTGACGTAATTGCAATTTCCGGGAATAAACTCAGCAACATTATATGAATAAGAATAATTCATTTTATCAAATTATGTTTGTATTATTCTTTCTAATAAATTTATTAAGAACATTCATGTAAGAAATAATTGCAATGTGAAACAAATATAAATTGTTTCGTTTGAAGCTATTGTTCTGTATAAATTCTCTGAATATCCTTAATAACGGTCACTAAGATTTTGCAATAGAAAACGTTCCACCTTTTTATATACTCATGACTTTTGTTCTTGCATAAATGATTTTGTTTTAATCACAAGTTTCTTGTCCATCTTTTCAGGGAAATGAAATATTTGGTGAGCGCACAAACAGGCTTACATTTTGTAACCCGAAATTCAAATTCAAATTCAAAGTGCCTGTCCCAAGTTAGGGACCTTTAATACAGGAAGCATACTACATCTCTTATATATATAGAGAGCGATGGACACAGTGCAGGCGGTGTTGTCTCGATATTCCAATAGCATGAATTCGAATCCCGGCGAGGGAAGAACAAAAACTTGCTTCCGCAAGTTTGCAGATTTAACATTGTTGTGCAGTTATGAATATAAAATGTGTTTTCAGCCCTGTATCACCTTCACTGGGAATCAAATGGATGGATCTGCCGTAGAGTTGTCACTTGTTTAGACGTACTTATTATTTATGTGACTGTATCTTACAATCCTTTACGATAGATATTTAGTTTATCTGCAATCAATTCCATCTTCATGCCTAATATATCATGTACTGTGTTACAACTCTAGATTCTACTGACGAGGCGAGGTAACACTAGGCCACCGAAAGCTGAATTATTAGTTCAGTGTAGGTGGCCGAGTGGTCTAGAGCGCTGGACACAGTGCAGGCGGTGTCGTCTCGATATCCCAATAGCATGAGTTCGAATCCCGACGAGGGAAGAACAAGAATTTGCTTCCGCAAATTTGCAGATTTAACATTGTTGTGCTGATATTTAGAGTAGTTATATAGACAATAATAGTGCATTGACTTGACATATCAACGATATAAGGATGAGGCTTAGAAACGGGGAAATGCAAGGCTCTGTCGAGCTTTTTCCCCGTTTCGGGCCGAATCCTTATATCGTTGATATGTCAAGTCAATGCACTATTATTGTCTTTATACTGCAATCTAGAAAAACACATTTTCAATTGTTGTTTAATGTCTTAATGTTATTTATTTGATTTAAAAATTGGGAAAAATCCCCTTTTAAAAAGGCCTCATATCAGGCGGAGAAATATACAACATAATGAAATGTACATTACCTGTTGAAACCCGCAATCGACGGTGAACGAATTCGTTTGAGTATGTACTAAAATATCAACAATAAGCATAAAACATAATGATTTATAGGTTTTAAAAAAAACAATTATCAAGTGAAGTATGTTTATCCAAAAATTGTAAAAGAAATATGTTTGAGTCGTACATTGGAAACAAGAACAGGTTAAAGAGGTCCTATGAATAATTAAATATAGTTTCGGCAACTTCTATCTAAATATTCATGAGGAAAAGTGATATCGGGTCAGTGACTGTATACGACATAGAAATATATAGTCAACGCATTTTGACTGCTCAAATAGAACGAGTGTAGTATAAATATATTTCTGTTCTTTATCTCAAAGTCACAACAGAAGATGCCATCAATACAAGGCAAGGTCACAGCAAGGCATTTGACATTGGGCAAAAATTCTCACCTCTCTGAAAGTTAAAGACGGCCCATGGGTATTAGGGGAAGTTTATACTTGATGCCAAAAACGCATCGATAAATTGAAGAATTTTTTTCTTGTACATGTAGTACACAAATGTCCCCTTATTAAAGAATCAATTGAATTCAGATGCATTTCATCTTGAATGTACTTAAACAGGGAACAAGAAGGACATGACTGTTGTCTTCAAGATATTCAACTGCAGCAATACTTTATTTCAATTATTGAAAAATTAATAGCTGTATATAATTTTAATTTTTCAGATGAATAAAGCCAATGAAAAATGCAAAATAACGGGACTTTCCTCAGCTCTGATGGTTATGTCTGTATTAATCGCGTAAGTGAAATGTTTTGTAGAGGTTATATTGTATTATTTTACAGACTGAATGCTGCTATCAAGAAACCGTCTATGTACATTTGAGACTTGAAGCGATCGTTTTACATGGAAAAATAGAACATAAAAAACCATAACACAATTCAAGTTTGAGAAAATCGTCTAAAAGTCAAGATTTAGCATTAATTACAATGACGGAAAGCAGTAAAAAATGAATTTTGAAAGTTCAATAAAAACTGGTGGGACATCATATACATGTAAGGTGTTGGATTATACTTTCCCGCTCATATGAGAAAAAATGTCTTATTTGTGCGTAAGTCAAAGTGATTAATTTAACTTAAGGTTTATATGATTACAGACATGACTTTATATGATTAAAGATTAAGTATGCAATTGGTGTATTAATATTGATATTCATTTTCAGATCTTCAGCTGTATGTGTGTTGATTACTAACGATAAGTTCACTGATGCAATCAATTATGCTGACTCAGCTATAGCAAACAATTTGGACGACATAGACACATATATTAACAATACTGTTACGGTAAATATTCATGATGATATTTACATATATATATATATATATATATATTCAGATTTTCATTCTGATTTAAATTCTTTAAATCCACATATTTGCTTCACAATTAACAGAAATGTCAACAAAATGCTGTTTTTGGATATTTTAGTACTTATACCGGAAGACAATGAAATTGTCACAGATATCTTCTCTAATGACACCGATACACATATGTATTTAAATTTTTACTCAAACCATCCAAAACCTGTAAAATTAAATATACCTTTTAATCTAGCGTCAAGAATAATTACCATTACAAGTACAGAACTATTACGCAATAAAAGATTGGAAGAATTAAAAGTGTATTTAAAAAAGCAGCAATATCCGGAACAAGTGATAGATTACAGAATTCAAAAGGCACTGATAAAAGGACAAATCATTACAGAATCACGGCGATCCGAAACAACCGAAGAATCATTAAACAATTCAGACAAAATTATCCCGTTTGTCACAACATATAATCCATGATTATGATATATTAAGTTTCATGCGACAAATTGAAAACAATTTACACAAAAGTGAAAAATGGACAAAGTCTTACAAAAGAAAGAAGATTATCAACAGTAAAAGACAGTCAAAAAGTCTAAAACCATATTTAACATCTTCAAAATTCGACTTTAATGAAACTTTGCCTATTGTTAGAAAATGTACAGATAAACGATGTATGCCATGTCCAGATTTAATTGAAGAAAGTTCAATTTATTTCAAAAATGGAAAGCATTTCACAGTTAAACAAAATATGTCTTGTAAAAGTTCAAACGTCATTTATTCTCTCATATGTTCAAATTGTGAGGAATTCTATATTGGAGAGACAAAAAAGGAACTGCGGACTAGAATTTTCTCCGGAAGAAGAAAGAAGAATTATTCATAAACATTCTCAACCCTGGATTAAATGATAAATAATATTTTAATTTTTACGAAACATTTTAAAGACTGTACTTCAATTTTAAAATGACATTAGTAGTCTCTCTTGTATTTGTTAACGTCATACTATTAATAACGTCAATCAATTGTTTTATATCACTTATGTATACAAGTCACATTACCTGAAGATCTGTGAAAGCAGTGAAAGCGCTAGTAAAAGTGATGAATTGAAATCGTTATTATCTTTTATTAATTTTCTTATATATATATATGTATAGATTATTACATAGTATTTTTCATATCAGACCCTTTATCGGCCCTGATATGAAAAATGACATGTAATGATCAATTTATCATACACTTCAGCAGAAGAAATACAGACAAGAACTATTAAAATTTTGTCTTTCTTTTAACTTTTAGATAATAATTTACAGACAACCAAATACTAATTTCTTAACTTAAATTGTTTTTATTGATATTACAAGCATTATATTTATCTTGTCACAACAATTATCATGTTCTTAGTTTGGAAAATTTATTTAACCTTTCCTGTGTTGGTTGCCCCCGAAAACATATTCATAGTTTTTCCTTTAAATTGTTATGGACAATTTCTGGCATCTCATTTATGTCTTCCAAAACATTTTTAATCTTAATTTATTTTTGCTTCCTCAACCATTTTGTGTAAAGTCTTAAATCACTTGCAGTTTTCCCGCTTTGTGGTGTCGTTTTCAAACAAATTTCCGGAAAATGCACGAAGTTGCATGTGATAAACGTCACGGACATTAACGGAAAGGCATGTGATAACATTCCGGAAGCAGTCAATAAAGGTTCGTTTATCAGCCCGCCGAGGAAATTTTTAGGAATCTGGTCAATAAACATAGTAATCCTTTCATAGCCTTTTAATATTTTTTAAATGCTATTGAATTGTTAAATTTAAGTAATATTTTATACAAGTATATGATAAGTATAGATTATTACATGGCATTTTTCATATCAGACCCTTTATCGGCCCTAGGTCATGATATCAGCCCAAGAGCAGCCGCAGGCTCTTGTGATGAAATAATGACCTAGGGCCGATAAAGGGTCTGATATGATAAATGACATGTAATTATCTTTTTATCATATACTTCAACAGAAGAAATACAGACAAGAACTATTAATTAAAATTTTGTCTTTCCGTGAATTTTTAGATAATAATTTACCAAAAACTAAATTTCTTAACTTTAATTGTTTTTATTGATATTACAAGCATTTTATTTATCTTGTCACAACAATTATCATGTTCTTAGTTTGAAATTTGCTCCTCAACCATTTTTTGAAAAGTCTTAAATCACTTGCGGTTTTCCGCACTGTGTTGTCGTTTTCGAACAAATTTCCGGAAATGCACGACGTTGCATGTGATGAACGTCGCGGAAAGGCATGTGATAACATTCCGGAAGCAGTCAATAAAGGTTCCTTTATCAGCCCGCTGAGGAAATTCTTAGGAATCTGATCAATAAACCTAGTAATCCTTTCATAGCCTTTTCATATTTTTAAATGTTATTGAACAGTACAATTTTAGTAATATTTTATACAAGTATATGATAAATATAAGTATTTGTATATGTTTTAGAATATAATCGTTGAACCCTTAGCATGATGGGAAAAGATGTTTATAATAAACTATTTTTTTTTGATTAATTTAAAGCAATTTATTCAAGTTTTTATGCACGGTACATTTTCCTTTGAAAATATTTTCATACAATAAATAAGGACATGTGTTTTAAAGTTTTTCAAGGTGAATTTTTACTCTTCAAAAACAGTTGACCCGGTGCCAATCATTTAAACATAAGGACATTTTTCTTCAACTTGTGTCGATCGGATAAAGATTAAAGGAAATTTAAATGGTGACATTAAATATTTCTCTGTGTGCAAATAACAAATAATTAAAAAATTAAATTTTTTATTCATGTTTCAAAAATTCTCTTATATATAAATAAATAAAATATATTAAAAGCTGAATATGAATTAAAGGAGATATGCGGTTTATGCCACTGAGAGAACGACTTAATAACAGAAATAAAGTAAGAAGACATTTAGCGGTGAACAAAGGGTCTTCAACTCAGTATAAACAAGTTTCTATTACAGTCATGTTAAGTTTTTAAAATTGCTTCGAATAGGTTCAAGAAGGGTTAAAAATTGTCCCAAAGATTTGTTTTTAATCAAGCCAAAAAACTACAAATTTTACATACATATACAGTACTTGCAACCTTAGGCGTTACTGTTTGACGTGAACTTGACTGATCGGTGAATGATCGGTGACGGATGTTTGACTGATCGATGACTGATCGGTGATCGATGACCCATAGAATCCGTCAGATACGTCAAATAAGCTATGTGAGAGTTACCGTGACAACGGTCAGCGATCGATCATTAAATTAACTGTATGCACGGATCGGACGGATACGCATATAATTAAAATTCTTATGTAAAACGAACTCCACAGTATTTACAGTTGATAAACGCGGACCTCTACGAAGACACCTTTACTCGTTAATTATGTACCACCAAAAAGCGATAAAATGTTATCATTTAAAATAAGTACTCTATTTGTTGTCGTTAGATGATGAAAATAAAAATAGCAGAACAGTAAAGATCCATACAGCTTTGTTTGGATTAATTAATTTAGAGCGTTGTTTTAATTTTTGTTCTAGATTACCAATATTTCTTTTTCTTATAACCAGAGACATATAATTATTATATGTCTCTGTAATAACATATAATGCAATGTTATTTCTAAATAGTTATTTAAAAGGCCTCAAGAAAAATTTCTTTGATAGAATTTAAAAAAAATAAGTATTAAAATACTTAAACTTTAATTTGTGTTGATTAAAGATGCAATCATTTCATTATTTTGTACTTATTGTACATCAGGATTGGTCGTTTTTCATAAAATATGCTGAATTTCAGGAAAAAGATGCTAATTTTTTGTTCGAGTTGCTTAAAAATGCAAATATTTCTTCTTTTATATCAGAAATAATGCACGTCAATTGCAATCAGTCATAGTTAATGCATTCAGATAATTAATTTTGTATAAGATATGAATAATTTAAGTATAAATATACATACACTTTCGTTTTTATTAAATAAGAATTCAATAATTTCTCTTTTTTAAAAGAAATTATTGGAACGCCTATGGTTTTTTGAACTTTTTATGGTTCAGGATTAGTTGTTTTTTATAAAATCAAAATAATATCTGAGAAAATATACTAAAATATTGTTTGCATTGTTTAAAATTACCAATGTTTCTTCTTTTGATAACAAATAATGCAATTTTATTTGTAACTAGTTATTTCAAAGTTCTCCAATAAGATCTGTTATGTAAGAATTTTGATAATGTAAGGAGAATTTTACTTTAAATTTTGTTTTGTGTTGAATACAAATTAAATAATTTCTTTATTTTGATAGAAATTATGAACCGTCATTTGATTTCGGTACATTTTGTACATCAGGATTGGTTGTTTTTCATAAAATATGCTGAAGTTGAAGGAAAAGATACTAAATTTTTTGTTTGCATTGCTTAAATATGCAGATATTTCTTCTTTTATATCTTTAATTGCAATCAGTCATTATAAATGCCTTTAGATAAGTAATTTTGTATAAAATGTGAATCATTGAAGGATAAATATGCATAAACTTTTGTTTTTGTTAGATAAGAATGCAATAATTTCTTTATTTTGATAGAAATTATGAACCGTCATTTGATTTTGGTTCTTTTTGTACATCAGGATTGTTGTTTTTTTTCATAAAATATGCTGAATTTCAGGGAAAAGATACTTTATTTGTGTTAGTGTTTCTTATAAATGCAAATATTTCTTCTTTTATATCAGAAATAATTCAACGTCAATTGCAATCAGTCATAAGTAATGCATTCAGATAAGTACTTTTGTATAAGATATGAATAATTTAAGGATAAATATACATAAACTTTTGTTTTTGTTAGATAAGAATTCAATAATTTCTCTTTTTTAATAGAAATTATTGGAACCCCTATGGCTTTTTGTACTTTTTATGGTTCAGGATTGGTTGTTTTTTATAAAATCAAAATAATATCTGAGAAATTTAAGGAGAATTTTACTTTAACTTTTGTTTTGTGTTGAATACAAATTAAATAATTTCTTTATTTTGATAGAAATTATGAACTGTCATTTGATTTCTGTACATTTTGTACATCAGGATTGGTTGTTTTTCATAAAATATGCTGAATTTCAGGGAAAAGATACTAAATTTTTGTTCGTGTTGCTTGAAAATGTAAATATGTCTTCTTTTGTATCAGAAATAATACAACGTCAATTGCAATCAGTCATAATTAATGCATTTAGATAAGTTCTTTTGTATAAGATATGAATAATTTACTGATAAATATACATAAACTTTTGTTTTTGTTTAATAAAAATTCAAAATTCCTCTATTTCAATTTAAATTATTGACTGCCTATGGCTTTTTGTACTTTTTATGGTTTAGGATTGGTTGTTTTTATAAAACAAAATAATATCTGAGAAAATATACTAAAATGTTGTAAGCATTGATTAAAATTACCAATTTTTCTTCTTTTGATAAAAAATAATGCAATGTTATTTGTAACTTGTTATTTCAAAGTCTTCCAATAAGATTTTTTTTGTAAGAATTTTGATAATGTAAGGAGAATAATACTTAAACTTTTGTTTTGTGTTGAATATGAATACAATAATTTCTTTATATTGATAGAAATTATGAACCGTCATTTGATTCGGTACATTTTGTACATCAGGATTGGTTGTTGTTCATAAAATATGCTGAATTTCAGGGAAAATATACTAAATTTTTATTCGCATTGCTTAAATATGCAAATATTTCTTCTTTTATATCAGAAATAATGCATCTTCAATTGCAATCAGTCATTATAAATGCCTTTAGATAAGTATTTTTGTATAAAATGTGAATCATTGAAGGATAAATATGCATAAACTTTTGTTTTTGTTAGATAAGAATGCTATAATTTCTTTATTTTGATAGAAATTATGAACCGTCATTTGATTTCAGTACATTTTGTACATCAGGATTGATTGTTTTTCATAAAATATGCTTAATTTCAGGGAAAAGATACTAAATTTTTGTTCGCATTGCTTGAATATGCAAATATTTCTTCTTTTACATCAGAAATAATGCAACTTTAATTGCAATCAGTCATTATCAATGACTTTAGATAAGTAATTCTGTATAAAATGTGAATCATTGAAGGATAAATATGCATAAACTTTTGATTTTGTTAGATAAGAATGCAATAATTTTTTTATTTTGATAGAAATTATGAACCGTCATTTGATTTTGGTTTTTTTTGTACATCAGGATTGGTTGTTTTTCATAAAATATTCTGAATTTCAGGGAAAAAATACTAATTTTTTGTTCGTGTTGCTTGAAAATGTAAATATGTCTTCTTTTGTATCAGAAATAATTCAACGTCATTTGCAATCAGTCATAATTAATGCATTCAGATAAGTTCTTTTGTATAAGATATGAATAATTTACTGATAAATATACATAAACTTTTGTTTTTGTTTGATAAAAATTCAAAATTCCTCTATTTCAATTTAAATTATTGACTGCCTATGGCTTTTTGTACTTTTTATGGTTTAGGATTGGTTTTTTTTATAAAACAAAATAATATCAGAGAAAATATACTAAAATGTTATTCACATTGATTAAAATTGCCAATTTTTCTTCTTTTGATAAAAAATAATGCAATGTTATTTGTAACTTGTTATTTCAAAGTCTTCCAACAAGATTTTTTTGTAAGAATTTTGATAATGTAAGGAGAATAAAACTTAAACTTGTTTTGTGTTGAATACCAATGCAATAATTTCTTAATATTGATAGAAATTATGAACCGTCATTTGATTTCGGTTCATTTTGTACATCAGGATTGGTTGTTTTTCATAAAATATGCTGAAGTTCAAGGAAAAAATACTAAATTTTTTGTTTGCATTGCTTAAATATGCAGATATTTCTTCTTTTATATCTTTAATTGCAATCAGTCATTATAAATGCCTTTAGATAAGTAATTTTGTATAAAATGTGAATCATTGAAGGATAAATATGCATAAACTTTTGTTTTTGTTAGATAAGAATGCAATAATTTCTTTATTTTGATAGAAATTATGAACCGTCATTTGATTTTGGTTCTTTTTGTACATCAGGATTGTTTTTTTTTTTCATAAAATATGCTGAATTTCAGGGAAAAGATACTTTATTTGTGTTAGTGTTTCTTATAAATGCAAATATTTCTTCTTTCATATCAGAAATAAATCAACGTCAATTGCAATCAGTCATAAGTAATGCATTCAGATAAGTATTTTTATATAAGATATGAATAATTTAAGGATAAATATACATAAACTTTTATTTTTTTTAATTAAGAATTCAATAATTTCTCTTCTTTAATGAAAATTATTGAACGACTATGGCTTTTTGTACTTTTTATGGTTTAGGATTTGTTGTATTTCATAAAATATGTTGAATTTAAGGGAAAAGATTCTAAATGTAATGTTCGCATTGCTTAGAAATACAATTATTTCTTCTTTTATATCAGAAATAATGCAACGTCAATTGCTATCAGTCATTATAAATGCCTTTATATAAGTATTTTTTAATAAAATGTGAATAAATGAAGGATAAATATGCATAAACTTTTGTTTTTGTTGAACAAGAATGCAATAATTTATTTATTTGAATGGAAATTATTGACTGTCATTAGATGTTTGTACTTTTCGTAGTTTAGTATTGGTTGTTTTTCATAAAAGTGAAAGAAGATCATAGAAAATATCCTTAAATGTTGTTCGCATTGTTTAAAATTACCAGTTTCTCTTGTTTTGTTAAAAAATAATGCAATGTTATTTGTAACTAGTTATTTTTAAGGCTTCAAGATTATTTTTTTAATAAGAATTTTAATATTGTAAGTAGAATAAGGCTTAAACTTTTGTTGGTGTTGAAAATGAATGCAATCATATCTTCATTTTGATAGAAATAATGAATCACCATTTGATTTCAGTACTCTTTGTACATCAGGATTGGTTGCATTTCATAAACTATGTTGAATTAAAGGGATCAGATACTAAATTTAATATTCGCATTGCATAAAAATACAAATATTTCTTCTTTTATATCAGAAATAGTGCAATGCAATTGCTATCAGTCATTATAAATGCCTTTAGATAAGTAGTTTTTAATAAAATATGAATAAAGAAGGAAAGATATGCATAAACTTTTGTTTTTGTTGAAATAGAATGCAATAATTCCTTTATTTGAAAGGAAATTATTGACCGTCATTGGATTTTTGTACTTTTTACAGCTTAGGATTGATTATTTTTTACTAAGTTAAAAGACTATCAGAAAAAATATACTATAATGTTGTTCTCGTTGTTTAAAATTACCAATATTTTTTATTTTTAAGAGAATTTGCAGCATTTTTATTTTTATTTGTGATTTGTTATTTTAATGGCCTCGAGATAAGTTTGTTTAAAGAATTTTAAGATTATAAGGACAAAATACTTAAAAATATTTAAAGATAATACATCGAAGTTTGCAATAAATGATCATTTCATTATATTTTCAAGAGCATTTTCGGAAAATAATAAAATCACTGAAAATCGTGATCAAAACCGTTTTAGAAATGTCCGGGTTTGAAAAATATAACCTAAATTAAAACGAAAATGGCCATTCTTTAATAGCAATATTTAAATTGAGTTATATATGCATATTTCTTTTCTTTTAAAATTCTTAAAACTGTGCTAAATAATTAACAAAAAAAGATGTTGATCATTTGTACTTGAATGTTTCGTATTTTCCATGTCGCTATTTTAATTAAATGAAACGAAACTAAGATTTCGTAATTTGTATTAGTTTATCATGTGACGTAGTAGAGTTCAATCCGTCAGAAAGGTCGATCGGTCCTATCCGTCCGATCAGTCAAATATTTTTACTATAAGTCTGACGGATTGGTGACGTGAGTTTGACGCGAACTTGACTGATCAGTGACTGATCGATGACCGCTGATTGATCGCTAAAACAGTAACGCCTAAGGTTGCAAGTACTGTAGTTGTGATATTACTATTCATAAAAAATAATTTCTTAATTTCTTGGAACAACATATTAAAAATTATGAAGTTATGACCCTTTAATTATGCATTATGCGTGTTATGAATTGCATAAGTATGACACTTCAAGATGTAACAAATTAGGAGATTTTGACTGATTTAATCATATTATTGTTATATGATTAAAAATGAGATGAAATGAAAATTACATTCCATTTAATATTATAATAGTAAAAGCATTTTGAAATTGTCAGTAGAATATCAAACATATTAAAAATATTTATTTTAGGAATTTAACTACGTTGCTGTAGACATGTACGAAATAGTGAACGATGCATTAACAGCGGATATAAATGGTATGTATAATAAGGGGTCAAATGGAAAAATAAAATAGAAAAAATTCTTGTGTATTTTAGGACAACATTGACGTTTTCCCCACAGCTCCTTTGAGTCATACATAATACAATTAACATCTTCGATTTGTAAATCTTATAAAATAAAATAAACACAAAAACAGCTGTGAAAAGTGGTTTGTGAAAATACTCGTTCGTCATTGATCAAATCATTTTTACGTAAGTATCTGGGTTTTTTTGGGGTGTATTATAATAGCCTATAAATTTGACTTTGGGAAACTAGTCTTGACAGGAAACCAGCCATCTTTAAACTCATTAACTCGAATAAATAAAACTCGAACGAGAAGATTTATTGATGGATATATACTGGACTTCACATATACTGCTGACACCTGATTTCAAAATGGTTATACCACCATTTAAAATAGGTTCACTTTAATTGTAAGAAGATGATCAGTTACTTTTAGCATATTTCACATGTCGCACTCCTATTCCTCCCAAATTTCTCGTTAATCAACCTTTTCCGTAAAAATTGTTTTACCCAAATAACTCGGTTTGTACGAGCTTACATAGATTGTATTTTTTAGGAATGGGACAAATAATGGCCGATGATTTAATGGCGAGTCTGAACATAACTCCAGTTTTAGATGCTGTCTTAGAACTTGACAACTGTAAGTTACACTGAAATATTACTTCAGAGGAGTATTAACATGGATATAAGGTAAATTGGTACACTTAGTCTATATGAGGACTAAACAAATTTAAGAATTAGGTCTAAACTTTATTGGTGTTGTCTAAGTTCATACTCTAATACATATCAGTAAACAAGTTCTCAACATAATTTTCCTATAGAGGGAAACGAATTCTGATAAAATCTAATGATAGTTTTCTCAATTTCAGAAATCTTCGAATGTCAATTTTGCATGAGATAATTACAATATTGGGCTCTATGGTCGGGTTGTTGTCTCTTTGACACATTCCCCATTTCCATTCTCAATTTTATTTTATTCAATACAAGTCAGAAAAAAAATACACAGAAAAATCAAAATCAATATAAAAATAATTTAACTCATGCAAATACCGAAACATTGTCTACACAACAACTATCCTCCTGAACTGGAAGATATGCGAAGACTTTTAGTGTATGGAAAACTTGTGTTTGAACCTTCTTGTCTCTGAGCAGATCAAATAAACCATAAACGCCACCTACAATATGAGCAAACCATAAACCAATGTCAAATCACCTGTTAGAATTATACGTTTCAAAGTAAGCTGTGAATTTTGACAGCCGAAATTATACTAGAAACGAGACACGGGAATTATTTGAGGGAACATATTTAGTCTTTGAACGATGTATTTTCAGCTTTTAAATTTGAAAAATAATGCAAGCTAATATGTTTAACAGCACTTCAGGCAATAAAGACATCGCTAGACTATGCTGTTGGTAACATTACAGAGCTACAGACTGCAGCCAACACATTGACGTCTGATATGAATACACTATCACAAGATATTGTATCAACGCAATCGGGATGTCAGTCTAAGTGTGCTTCCGACTGTGATGCATTCGATTCATCTGTACTGGCTGTATCCATTGATTTTTCTGGTGTAAGTTGTTTTATATTAAATGTCCAATAACAAAAATAAAGGTTTTTTTATTGCGTGAGTGTTATCAGTTGTCAAAATTAATGTACCATCATCTATATGAACGTATAGATCCCCTAATTGAAGCGGTGATATATAGTGACCGAGTGCCTGTCTGTCTGTTCGTCCGCATGTTCGTCTTTCCGTCCCAACATTTGTATGCACTTATGCTCCTGAATCTTTTGACAGACTTTTAAAACTATCAGATAATCTTACTTACACCTCCTACACTTTGTCAAATCCACAGCAATCCTTTGCAACCGTTTCTCCGTAACGCCTGATCAAATTTTAACTGTCTCCAGAATCTTCACTGAAAACATAAATTAGTCAATTTGACCAATTTAATTGGTGATTTTGACTGTCATCTAGATGACAATGCACTTTAATCATTTTGACTATGCTCTTTGCCGTTTGACTAGATGGGTAGTCACATTTGACTGAGTAGGGTGGTAATTATGACTATGTTTGGAAGTCCACATGACCATATGTTATACTCGTTATGACGAATTGGATTGTTCAATTGACTATGCACATTTGTCAGTTTGACAATTGAATGCAGTCCATATGACTTATTGAAATAGTCGAAAGTGACCATGTTGTTTAGTCAACATGATTACTGTGAATAGTCACGACTGTTAGACTGTTATTTTGATTTGTGTTGTGTTTTTTTTTTTTGTTCCACCAATTTACTTTGTGTGTGTTTCTATCCGTTTTGTACTTTTATGTTTCATTCTTCTGTTATTCTACTTTTTGTTGTTTCTCTTCCATAGGATTGACAAATACATCTGGAATATAATATCATTAAAAATACCACAACAGCAAAACTAACATCGAAACCGTATAGGACCACAAAGTGCTCAATGTTCAAAACCTTCCTATATCTTCATGATTTTCATGTGTTACCATTACTCAGTGACATATATTAAAGTCTAAAAATCAAATAAAGAAAATATATTTATTATAAACTCATTGTTAATTGGAAGTGTTTATTTCAGATATTTTTTCGGTATCAACTGTGTCAGTGTAATAATCTCTATGGTCAAAAATCTCTCAGCTGTGTTCATACAAATAGCAATGTCTTCATTTGCTGAAAAATATAATTATATCATTTTAGAAGCTAAAATATAACAATAAACAAGTATATCAGTCATGTTAAAAGTTAAAAGAAAAAACAAATTTTAAAATCTTTGATCTAGTGATTTTGTCACTCATTTTATTTACCATTATTTTGTAATGTAAGTTCCGGGATCTTGACAGCCACCCATCTTATACGACAACATTGTAATGTAAGCACCAGGATCTTGACATCCACCCATCTTATACCACAACATTGTAATGTAAGCACCGGGATAATGACAGCCACCCATCTTATACGACAACATTGTGATATAAGCACCAGGATCTTGACAGCCACCCATCTTATAACACAACATTGTAATGTAAGCACCAGGATCTTAACAGCCACCCATCTTATAACACAACATTGTAATGTAAGCACCAGGATCTTGACAGCCACCCATCTTATACCACACCATTGCAATGTAAGCACCAGGATCTTGACAGCCACCCATCTTATAACACAACATTGTAATGTAAGCACCAGGATCTTGACAGCCACCCATGTTATATCACAGCATTGTAATGTAAGCACCAGGATCTTGACAGCTACCCTGAGGGTTTTTTTTTTAATTCATTGTTGTGAATATCGATTGCAGTGGTTTTTTTTTACAGTTTTTGATCAGGTGAAAAATAGATATCGCTAAATACTCTTTTCAATCGAAAATACGTTGTATGTGTATCAAAATTGATATCCCGTATACATATCTCCCTCTGTTTTGTATTGTCATTAATTTACGTCAACATGTGCCGATATATTACATTCATTACACTTCTTTTTCTCAAATTTAATTTTTGTAAGTTAGAATTAAAACAAATGTACATGATACTTACTTTAAACAATTGGTTTAATTGACAAAATAGCAGTTTCGTGCCTCCTGGTTTGTTTACATCTACACGATCTAGGGAACAAAGGGAACGCGAAAGTGTGCGCGTGAAAACCGATACTCTACACCACGTGGTTCTGTGACCACCTAACATAGTCAATTGACTATGCAGGTAGTCATAATGACTTGATGGGTAGTCATGTATGCTGTTGACTACCTTTCGGCTAATATTTGACTAACTGAATAGTCATAGTGACTAATTTAAATTTTCAGTGTTCACCACACACTTTTTACCTCCGAGTTATTTTTGAATTTTCCCTTAAAAAATCATGAACTTTGCAAGGAGCAGTGTATCATTTTGTGAGCTTTTTTTTCGGTCCTTATACATCCTTGACTTTCAAATATTCGGCTTTGAGCGTTCCTGATGAAGGTAAATCCAGAAAAGCGCTTCGGAAGCATCAAATTTATAACGAGTTTTTTTCATTTTTTGCTTGCATGTACTCTAATTTTAAAGAATCACTATATAATGTTGCATATTTTTGGGTAAAAAAAGGGTTCAAACTAAGCGAACTGTATTAGTGATCATTTTGATTTATTATTAACTGATGATGCCTGGCGTCGATGATTAATTTCATTCTATTGAGTAATCATTTGTAGTTGTTCATGGAAGTTTACAGGACAGATTAAATGGAAAAATAGATAGCTACATCAGAATACATGGATTGGCATTATGCAGTTTGTTTTACATTCCTTTGAAAAAATAATATTTATGTTGTTGTCGTTTTTTTTGGTTATCTTGTAGCTTCCAGATTTGTCGAATACTCAGAAGTCAATTAATGATGTGGCAAACGAAAATCTTACCGACTTAGCCAATTCGGTAAGTAAATAGTAATCTTAATATATTCTGATTATAAAAAGAACATTCCTTCCAAAAAGGTAAACCATTATCATTCTTAAAATGGGATTCTGACTGCTCAGTCTTGTTTTCTGTGTAGTGTTTTATGAACTTTTATTTTTTAATTCTATTTTACTTTTGAACATGTTGTTGTTTGTACAGTCTACCTTCGACTTAAAAGTCTGATTTCGCGCGGCATTTTCGTTGTAAACCACGACTAGAACAATTGTTTGGAGCTTTTCAATAGGATGGACACACTTCGTTAAAGTTCTAGACGTAGAGTTTAAAATAGCGAATTGAAGTAGAAGTTTAAACAAATGAAAGTGGAAAAATCGAAATTCATAAGTGATAAAACCATTGGTCGAAAATGCTTATATGACAAAAATATGTATTGAAATGTAGATTTTTTTTTTGTTTTGTTTTGTTATTGGGTTGCTGCTGCTGATATTTATAGCCCTCCGCTTTTAACACAATTTAACATTTGTATTCACATTAACAATGTAATAAATATAATTTATTTGCATCTGCAAAAGAAGTGATCATTTGAAGTTGCGATTCAAGTCACCTACAATTTCTTTAAATTATTTCTAAGTTACATTTATCCACAGGTGCAATCACAGTTTGATAATCTAGACAGTACAATTAATTCCTCAACTGTCTCTGCAAGAGATTGTAAGTGGTAGTTTATAGCATTGCAATAATACGTAACATCAAAAGATATGAAATGACTTAATACATTTTAGTTAATTTATGGATTCTCAAAATAAAACAAAAACATTTTACGAACATTTATTAATAATTGTTAATAATATAATACTCATCAAAGACACCATACTTACAATTTGGTGCGGCAAACGCGCATTTTTTCTATAAAATACTCATCAGTGCCGCTCAAATCAAGCGAGTTTGCATGCTAAATTGAAAACGAAGTTGAAGAGCATTAAAAATCGAAAATTCCGAAAAGTTAGGCCAAATACGGATGATACCGATTTGAGTGCACCCGACTCGTGTTTCTTGACCATGTATCTGCATACGTGTACGTTAAACGATTTTATGACCATATGCAATAAAATTTAAAGGATAACATGTATCACTAAAAATATTGGACAGAATTAACAACAAACGATACCAACAACCTACGCCCGACTTCGAAGAAAAGAGTGAACTTACCAACAAAGACAAACAACAACGAAAAACACATTGTCTTAATAGTCTGATTTGGTACAGGTACAAACTATGGTGGAGTTTATCCAATTTTACGAGCGCACAAAGCCCAAACTTTACCTAACAAGATCATATGTCGTAAACAATTATTTGTTACTTAAACTAAAAATGTCATTGATTCATTTATTAATTCATATACCTGTTTTTTTTAAGAAAGAAGTTTACACGTTTCCTATATTTATTTTTATACTTTATACTCTGCAAAGTGCTGGTAATTATCAGAAGACAAAATATGGATAGAAATCACCAATTAAACATTAAAAAAATATAAATAACTTTGAATTGTCAGTCTCATTAATCCGTTTCAGCTATTAAGAGTACTTTAGATAGCTTTAAATCTACGCTAAACACTATGGTCGATGATTTTGAGAATCAAATTCAGGGAGTAAGTATACAAGTATCGGTATATGCATCTGAATTTCAGAACTAGATATAAAATATCTAAAAGTAATTTTCATGAACAGATAATTTTGCTAAGTTCAAATTTTATATGAAAATAATGAAAAATAAAAAAGTTTCTGGTTGGATTTGTGTTGCTAAATCTTAGGATTCTTTAAAAACTAAACTTCCGATTTTCTTCTTCTTACTGACATATGGACAATATTAAAATAAATTAAAGCAATACAAAGATAAAATGTAAGGTCCGTCTTTGTGGAATGGAATGCACAATTTGATGAATCAAGATTTAAAGTTCTAAAAGGTTGTTGAACAGTCTGCTTGAGTTATTCATTTTTTTAGGGAACATGATCGTTCATTTTTTTCTCGAAATTATCGGTAAAAAGATCATTTGTATAAAGCTTATTAAGTTATTTGTAATAAAAAAAAAAATGAAAAACTGCCTTGGCAGCATATAGATCAATACAATAAATTCCTAGACTCATAGAAACACATACAACCAATTTTATTTGCTAATTGAAAATTAAGCTGAATAAAATAATTTAAGACAGCAGAGAAGATACTTCTGTTTTAATTGTTTATTACTAAGACTTAAATAAAGCGTGAGCTATTTATACTGTAAATTTATGATGTCTCTAGTCTGGTCAAAGGGTCAGAGTGTCCTACTTAATCAAACGATAAATTGTTGAAATTAGATAACATGTTTTCACGTGCAGAGAAATTTCACTAATGACCAGTGCATGATTGGATTACTAAACCTTTCTTATTGGTCAATGATCTTGCGGGGTCAGCACGAGTTCACGTGTAAGTGCGTTGTGGTCACTTCCTTTTATCATCAGCATTTGATGTGTTAACTTGTGATTCTTATCAAACAATTTGTTAAAAATTCCCACCCACATACCTCCCTTAGTGTTATCTTTTGAAGTAGATATGTATATATGTTTATTTGTGGGGCAGATTTTTCTCCCCACCTTTGCTATTCTTTGTCATTTATTCAATTGATATTTTATTAGTTGATGTAATTTCGTATTAATTATGTATTATTATTTCATATTAAATATGAACTTTAATGTCAAATGTTTTATTTGCAAAATGAATTTTTTGCATTTTATGATTTTGAATAAATGACCTTTTTTTTCGTCAGTTTAGTTTTTATATCATATAGCAAATCAAGCTCAAACTCTGGCCTGTGTATACATAGTATGTTTATGGTATCTAGGTGTCTGTCTTAAAAGAATAATTGCTACTCGTAGGGTTACACGTGATGAAAAACATCAATGTTGGGCATACTGAATGAGATGCATAGGATGCAGGACATAGGCAACCTAAATTTTTGTTTTAAATTTTAGGCAGTTGACACATCGAATTTGAAATCAGATGTAACTAATATATTAACACTGGCTAAAAACTATGACAAGTACAGGTAAGAATTTTTTTAATGCAATAATGGGAGAAATGGTATGAACACATTTTGTCTGCAGTATCATTCGGTTGTTTGTGATATAACTTTTGTAATCGTATGGTGAGTTATGTATGCAGAGCTGCAGATGCTTACCATGTCTTCGCATTTGATCTAATTCCGTCTGGATCCATGCGGCTGCTTTTGTTGTCATCCCTGATAATCGATAATACCGATAATCAAATCTTGAAAATCCATTTAAAATATCCAAAACAATGTGGAAAAACCGGTAATTGAGGGAATGGCAAGAATTCCGAAAGGAGCTAAAGTGGGTACGCCGACATCGTAAATGAAAACAACAATTTATAAATTTCATGCGTACGAAACGCTTTTCAAGATTTACCTTTATAACGAACGCTCTAACCTATTCATTCGAAAGCCAAGGATGTATAAATACGAAGAAACGTTATGAGCTATAAAACAAAAAATGACATAAAAAGAATATCCAAATTCGTCTACGATCAACTTTGCCTCAGGAAGTTGGAACCTTAGTTTCTGAATATCGAGCACTGATTACACTGACTACTGAGCTGTCCGGGGCTTAAAGTCTTTGGCCTCCAGCAGTGGTATTGACGTAAATGTCTCCTGCTTTATGCATTCATCACTCGCATGTGAATCAAGATTGAGTCAAAATGTCATGATCGGGAATAAAACAGTTCAGACGACTATTATTATATTAAAAAATAAAGCGCACACGATTCGCCTGGTATTGGTTTCAATAAAACTTTACCTTGAATATTGTATCAAAAGAATAAAAAAAGAAGATAATGTTACAATTTCTGCTTTTATTTTTTACCTTACAGACAATTATTCAGCTACCCTCTACTCTCTATATACGCTCTGATACCGGTGTTAACCATTTGTGGGTTACTTATTGGTTATTTCTGTCGAACGCCAGGCGTTAAACCAACAGAGAGGCCGTTTTGTTCTTGCTGTGGGGGAAATCTTATAATGGCGTAAGTTGAAAAGTTATTCTTAGTTTGAATGTCCCTTTGGTATCCTTCGCCTCTCTTTTGAAAATTAAGATGTGTTAGTCGTGGTTCATAGTTATATTAGGTTTACAGTGTTGAAATACTTATAGGGGTATAAGCTACGATATAGAAAAAAAAATCAAAATATGATAAATGTTGTTTCAATCATTTTTTAAAGTGGAATATTGAAATAATATTTCGCTCATTATCAGTCAGTTTGGTTCAATTTTGTCAAAATAAGCTGAAAAAAAACCCATCTCGGATGTATCATTGGCTTGCAAGTCAATAACTGAGCCTTATCTGAATCCGTATTCTTGCGACCTTTGATTTAACCTTTGCGGGTTTGCGCATGAACTTACTTATACCATGTCCTGTCATTGAAACGAATGTCAGGTGAACAATGAAACTAGGGAAGACAGCAGCAGGAAGACCAATTTCGTTGATTGATTCGACCCACCAAAAACAGTCTTATACATTAACAGATTATGAGTAAATGATTAACATTTGATTGATTAGTTTTATCTATAAAATGACATTAAAATGAATCTAAAAAATCGACCTTACACGGTTGTACGTGCTTACTTGTATGTATATCTTTTATGTTTACCTGTCTGGTTATATTTATAAATAACTTCAGTTTGTACACTAAAGAGATTTATCCTGTTGACCTTACTATACATAAAGCTAATACTAACAATCAACACTGCCCTTTCCTGAATCCTGATATCTATATCTTTAACGGGAAGCTTATTATAAAAAGTTACCAAAAAAAGTTGATTTTTCATTTCCCATTGTTATGATCAATTTTGAGATGGTGACGTTCACTTGGCACCATATCCCAACTTGTTCGATTCGCTAGTGTATGTAACAAAGTATTTGATTTTAACGAAAGAAATCTCTGTAATACTTGTCAAAACTTTTACTAAATTTTATGGTCGGTACAAGGACATCATTCGTAAATTTAAATCAACGTGCAGACATCTTATACGTTCAGGTATTTCACATTCAGTCTTTTATTGTAATATTCTATACAAAGCACAAACATGTCGTCATTTACCTCAAAATCGTACCAAACCTTTAAACAGACTTAGTCCGAAGGAATAAAGTTACACAACTGTTGTCAAGTCATTAAAGATGGCATTTTTTGGAATTAATATTGATTCACTCATAGGGTCTTTGCATCGGAAATAAACACTTTATTTTGAGATCAGTTATTGGCATGATCCGGGTTATGTTTCACTCGTATACTTTATGATTGCATGATGCTAAACCCCTAACGGGAGGGATTGTGCTTGATTTTCATATGATGAAGTTAAATTGAGGTCTGAAGCTGGTATGTCAGTTACTGCTAAGAGTCCTTTGTTAATTTATGTTGATCCTTGTCATTTTGCTTAGTTTCTTCTGTTACCTATTCTAACATCGGACTTGAACTTCTTTTAAACCGAGTTTTACTGTGCGTATTGCTGTGTGTGTGTTTATTCCACATTTAATTTAGCTAGATGTATAGAGAGAGGGTTAAGTTCTCTCAAAATATGGTTAACCCCCACCCCAACCCCCCCCCCCCCCCCCCCCCCCCCCGCCCCCCGCATTTATACACCTGTCCCAAGTCAGGAACCTCTAGCCTTTGTTAGTCTTGTTTGTTTTTTAAATTTTGGTTCATTTATATGTTTCGGAGTTTAGTGTGACGTCCATATCGCTAAACTAGTATACACTATTGTTTAGGGGCCAGCTGAACCACGCCTCCGGGCTCGGGATTTCCTCGCTGCGTTGAAGACCCATTGGTGGCTTTTGACTGTTTTCTGCTCTTTGGTCGGGTTGTTGTCACTTTAGCACATTACCCGTTTCCATTCTTAATTCTATGATTATAACAGGATCACATCATCGACACATGTCCATCGACATATTTCATGGGTCATTTCTATAGTTAACTAGATGGCGTGCATTCAGGAATACACACGAAAAGTTGACACTTAAATATAAAAATAAGGGGATGTGGTATGATTGTCAATGAGACAACTATCCACCAAAGTTCAAATGAAGTGGATGTAAGCATTTATAGGAAACCGTACAGCCTTCAACAATGAGAAAACCCATACCCTATGGTCGCCTTTAAAAGGCCCTGACATGAAAAATATGAAACAATTCAATTGAGAACACTAACGGCCTAATTTATAACAAAACAATTTACGAAAAACAAATATGACAGACATGAACTAACAAAAACCACTGAACTACAGGTTCCTAACTTGGGACAGGCACATACAGAATGTGGCGGGGTTAAACATGTTTGTGAGAGCTCAACCCTCCCACTAACCTAAAAGCTACTCCAGTCATTACCTGTGGTTTCTATGGAGCTTTTGTAACTAAAATACCTTTACTATATATCAAATCAAATTTAAGAGTTTGAATAATTTCGGTGGGCATGCCCGATAAAGGTTATTAAAAAACCGTATCGTGGGATGTCACTATGCTTTGCTTTTACCACCACTAGGACAGTATCGCTGCTGCTTGAATATTAGTCACCGATGTTACCATTCAACCATTAGCCAGTACTGATGTAAATGAAATTTTTTTGAACTAAATCGGGTTTCGTTTCTTAGTTGTTATGCTTTTTATATTTCTGGCCATTCACACTTTTTGTTATTCGCGAAACAAGTGCCTTGCGCACGGAAATTTGTATCATATATCTTTCTTTTAACAAAAACACTTTTTAAGAAAGAAAGACAGAAAATATAATATCCTCCATGTGTGCGAAATGTTGACTGCAGAAATCGATATTGGAATTATTCAAGGCAACTTGATACCGAGAACGAAGTGATGTAAAGTTATCATGGTTATAACTGGAAAACCATTTCTAACTCGATACCTAATTCAGTTTTCACTTATTTGTACTTATATACAATAGATTACATTATATGGACCATAGTTTCAATATATAAAAATAAGAAGATGTGGTATAACTGCCAATGATAGAACTATCTACAAGAGATAAAAATGACGTGGATATGTTCATTTCTTTAAAATACTCTTGAGAATCTGCCTCACTGCCGTTTACCCCAAATCTCATTTTATATATTAACAATCTAATCGTCTTTTTGTCCGTACAGAAAAAAATAGGTTCTTTTACTTTTTTCTGCGATATGATAATCAGCAATTATCTTCGTTTAGCGCAATAGGAATCATGTTTATGATTGGATCTTTATTGATGCTGTTAACAAGCTTGACGTTTATAACTGGTGGACCTATGGAGAAGATGTGCCAGTCATTCGAGGATTTGACTGTATTTCGAGATGTACGTATTTTTTTTAGTTGGCAGTGTTTGGTTTTTAAGAGAGAAGAAAATATCCTCTTATTGTAATCAACATAAGATGAGTAATTCAAAATAAAACTATAAATTATTATAGTTGAGTTCTTTATACCGTTGTTAATTTGTTGATTTTTATCAGTTATTTCCAAGCAGATTTGCTGCAACCAAAATATAAAATAATAAGACATTTAAAAGAGATAGCCCAAACAATCCAAGTATCTAGCTAAGGAAGAAATGCACACTTTATATGTAGAGTTGAAGTCATCTTTTCGAAGGTTTTCCAAATCGATCATGATTTGGTTGACCGTTGTGAAATAACTGTGTCACAGATGACCATTGGTAGCCACAATCCGTTCCTGATTTCCTCGAATGTGACTTCACCGAATATGTTCCTTCGATGGTCCTTTTGGTATAGTCTGCCACTTTTTTTTTTGAGGGGATAAAGTTAAACAGTTTGTATGAAATAAGAGGGTAATCCGTGCAAATATCATTTTTGAAATAGGTTATAGGAGCTGAACATCAGATCTCTACGACTGTTAACTCTTAGATTGACGTCTGCGAGTACCTTTATGCAATACAGTTACGGGAGGATTCGCCTAGTATTTCTACATCTCTTACTACTTCTTTAGGTTAAAAAAACATATATTTTAGAATAGCTGTATGTTTCTTGGATTTTAAAGTACAATTATGTTTGGCTATTTATCTTTCTATGAACATTCAAATTGTGAGTTTTGTCATGTAATATCCATTTGTAAGATATTTATAATATGTCAATTTATTTGTATATCACAAACAAAATACTAACATCTGCATATATATGTGTTATTTACTAATGTTAACGAGGCACAGGTTTTCATTGTTTATTTTAAATTACGAAGTGAACATATTTCAATAGAACAAAAGAATGAAATAATAAATAAAATCAGAAACGGGCGATGCAAGCATAGCAAAAGATGCAAAATCCAAATATAATTTATTTACATAAAAAATATTCGAAACTGATATTTCATATCTTGTTGCATTAAATTCTAGAAATATGATTTAAAGGACAAGAAAGCAGGTTAAATAAATTATGACCATGTAATTATAAAACTCAAAATGAAAGAAAGTGGCCACAACAATATATGAATAACAGTCAAAATCAAACAAATGGATATCATGATTAATAAATGCACCTACAAACGGCAATGATAAACATGCGGTTGGTAAACCTCAACTTTATCACCGTCAATTTTTACATATGTAATATATCAGAGTACAGTTTAAACTCCCAACCACAGATCATACATGCTATTGTTTATTTATATTACAGTTTGTGGATGACAATGGGATTCCTGATTTTCACTTTGGTGATGTTCTTCTAAACGACCCCAACACAACAATTAGCATATATAACCTTATGGTGTAGGTTTTTAGAGGTTATTTTAACAATAAAAATTAAGACATTTTAAGATGACAAGTTTGTAATCTATAATATCTGCTAGTTCAGTGATTTGCAAAGTTTAGGCAACAGTAGTATACCGTTGTACAAATCTCATAATTCGATTTAAAAGACAAACCAAGGTAACAAACAAAAACTAAGGAAATTGCATGAACTCAAACAGGAGCGAGACCAGGTGCTTACACAGCGTCAGCGTCTTCTGCTATGCATGCATTAACCGCCATGCGAAACCACACTATAAGTAAAAATTTTACAATTGGGAGTAGGATATAATCAGTACAATTACAGATTAGACGACTACTGTGGTATCATAAGATCCAAGACTGCGAAAACATGTCGCTCAGATATATCGCATCTGTCAACTAATTTTTTATTCTGACCGTAAAACTTAATTAGTGTCGATTTCAGTCGATCTTCCTCGTAACTCTGTTGGAGCAGTTATTCTGTAAGGTGCACACTCCTTCTTATAAGGTTCGTATGATGTGAACATGCACGTCTAGTTCATATTTATTACATGAAGAGCCGTTTTTAAAATGATTTGAATTGGTTGACACGCATTATTGTTAATTAGTTCACTTTTAACGGAAATATTTAAGCCGATATGATCATATCATCGTGAGAAAAAAACTCAGCAAGTAACTGAGAATCCTTATTTGTCTTATTTTACAGAGTTTATACTATTCGGGGTCCATATAGATTTGGGTCCTACTACTGCTATTTGTTGAGATAAATAATGTCACAATCATGTTAAAGTTCTATTGATATATTTCGTCATATAATTGCCATTCTTCATGAATAAATCTTTGTCTGAATTAATAGAGGATGCAGGACAAACCAGGCAGTCTTTACTTTACTTCATCTTGATAAGCTGATAAAAGTTGACGAATATCTGAATTATACACAGGTAAAGATGTGGTATTTCCTTTTATTTTATCAATGTCAATTAAAGCAACACAAAGATCAAAAATTGAAATGATTCAAGAGTAACAATTACATGGTACGCTATAAGTTGAATGGAAAGTACAATTTCCCTAATCAATCTAATATGTATGTGATGAAGCTAGTCGCACTTTATTACAAAAAAGTGTTATTAAGATATATGAATGTGTGGGAGGATTCCAACGAGACTACTATCAACCAAGAGACTAAAGGATAAGGAAGAAAGCAACTGCAGGCATTCAGTAATGAGCAACATTCGTACATTTAAGTAATCTATACAAGGCTTAGGATAACAAAATGTTAAATAATGAAACAGGAAAACAAACGAGCATATGTATACTAATGACATAACAGTAAACGAAAAAGAATTAAGACACACAAATAAGTTTGCAATATTTTGCTAATTATTTATATTTTTATCTAATATAAGCTATTCTATATTTTACAGTATCTTGGCAACATTGAATCAGAAATAGCTTCTATAAGTAGTTCTATTGATATTAGTAATTATGAAATTTTATCAAAAGACTTGGAAGACGCTCTCAACTCCTTTGCTACTTCCGGTCTTGATGGTATTAATTTTACACAGATAAATGACACGGTAAAACTACCTTATATGTCATTTAATATATGTGATTAAGGTGTTTTATTTTGTTTATGCATGTAAGTTATTAAAAAAACCTCCGAGGTAATTTAATTTATAATTTTAAAGCAAACTGCATTTATAACTTTATCCAAATACTAAGTAAGAGAGGCGAAATATACCGAAGGGACATTTAAACTCATAAGTCGAAAATAAACTGACAACGCCATAGCTAGAAAAGAACCTTCCGACAAACAACCGTAAACAAAACAAAACATAGAAAATTAAAGACTGAGTAACACAAACCCCACCAAAAACTGGGGGTGATATCAGGTGCTCCAGAAGGGTAATCAGATCCTATCCGCATTTGGCAGCGGTCGTATCGCTCTTGTAAGTAAAAACCCGATGATAAGTCTAATTCAGTAGGTCACATTTGGGGAAAAGAGGACGTGATTGTAGTTATGACAATTGGAACATATCCGTCGTCATCTGTGAAACAGATATGCCATAATGATCAACCAATTCGTGATTGCGTCCGTAAAATTTACAAAGAGATGATTTCAACTTCTCCACTTAGAACTCGTGGTTTAATAGCTTCCTTGTGAGCAGCAACCCTCTATCAAGGAATTCAACCCTGGAATATCGTTTCAACTGGGAGATATATATACTCCGTATGCAGGCGCTGGTGGAATGTTGCTACATAGAAATGGAAAGTTCACAATTGGGAAGCTGAAATCATTTCTTTTTGTCATAAAGTTTTGTTTTCAACCGACCCTCATTGTCAATTTCTAGATGTAAGTCTGGAAAAAAATCTGTGTTTGTGCTCTTTCTACCTTTTTTCATATATTATTGTTTATACTGCTTTAATTTTAATTACTAGTGTTAAATCATTTTGCAAATAAACTATTTATTCAAATATTCGTTAGTGATAAAATTATTTATTATAATAAAATTTATCCTATTTTTTCAGTTAAACCAGACTATTACGACATTCAATATGACCTCAGTTATTTCCACGCTAACAACAATAGAGAGTCAGTGTATTGATCCTACAAAGGTAGACCGGTTACAAATTGTTAGAGATGAAACTGTAATTAAAAGGGGTCATATATTTTGTGCGATCTAGAGAGGAATTTGTTGTACATACATATATATAGTTGAAAACAATATGTGTTGACGTATATATTTCTTTTTCGGTAAGGCTGCTTTCTAGTTTATAGATTCATTAACCTAGTCCGACCGTGGTAACACACGTAAACAAAAACACTGAAGTCTTGGCAATACGAGCTAAATTAAATTGGAAGTTGGCGGATGCTTTTGAAGAGCAAGTGTATCATGCTAGGAATCTAAGGAGTCAAGGTGGATCATCACTATATATTTCCTGTGATAGAATTTTCTTATATTTTGCCAAAATGTAAATTTTACCTTGCTTTTTCAGATATAATAAAACGTATGGGTCATAGTGATATTTTTCAAGCTACAAGTCGTACAAAATTGTCCCATTTAGCATAGATTATTAATGAAAAAAACACTTTTTTGTTAACAAACAGAAATCTACGTGATAGAATTTTGAAATTAAATATAAAAAAGATACGTGTTTTAATATGCTTTAAGAAAATAAGAACTAAAATGGTACAAGTAAAAAATGAAAGTTACATTAGTATTCCTTTATAAATGTTTTACTAGAAGAGTTATCTCCCCTTATATGACTAAGTTAAACAAATAAATCGAACAAAACCATATATATGGTATTTGTGAAAACAGTCTGAATAATGCAATAAATCACTTATTTGTCTTTAAAAAAAACAGTCTTACATATTATTTGCTCATCTGTCTCAAAAGTTGCAGATTGAAACAAAGAACTGGACCGACTGTGTAATGCTATTTTTTCAATCCAAGATGGCGGTAAACAGTTAATCTATCTTAAACGTAATATAGAAACAAAAGTATACCTGATTTGAAATAATATAAAAATAAGAAGATGTGGTATGATTGCAAATGAGACAACTCTCAACCAGAGAATGTTTAGCTCCAAATTGCTGACGTCGATCGAAAGGAAGTATCTTAATCGTTTATTTTCATTTTGCGTATTAAATATCTTTAAGAAGCTTATAAATGTTGAATGAAAACAGTCACCGAAATTCAATTTTAAATTGCAGGCGAAATGGACGACACATATTGCCGATGCGGAAACACTGAGAAATGTGACCATACCAGCTGTTACGACAGCACAGGTATACTATTTACTAAGTAATTTTAAACTATTATATATATATATATATATTATGCTTTAGTTATGATTAAAACTAAAGGCTCTAAAGAGCCTGAGTCGCTCACCTAGGTCTATGTGCATCTTCAAAAATGGACCATCTCTAACATTGTGGACTAGAATAGAATTCAGGACAAAAATTTCTTTTTTTGTTGATTTTGGTTGGTTGTCATTTTTCTGTTTACAGTTTCTCTCCATCTTTTTTAGTGTTTGTCCAAAACATAGAAAAAGGTAAACAAAAAACGGCATTTGAGAGCAATCACTCCTATCAAGAATCTACTAACGTTTTAGGCAAAGTTTGACTAAGCTATAGATCTTGCCTTGTAGATATTTTTTTTATATAAAAAGTGTCTATCTATCTTTTATAGTTTTTAAGAAAATAGACAAAAATGACAAAAATTGGTAATAATTGTCATTTAAGATTAAGAACTCCAATGAGGAGTCGACTGACGATTTCGTCCATGCTTACTTATTTGTAGATCTTTTCTTGTTAATCGTTTTGGCTATTTAATGTGTCCGTCTATCTATTATAGTTTTCAAGATAATAAAAAATACTAAAAATGGGTAAAATCTTCATTAAAGAGCAATAACTCCAATAAAGAGTCGACTGACGATTTTGACCATTTGAATTTTATGTAGATGTTGTTTTGCTGGCCATTTCTGCTTTTTTTTTCAGTTTTTATCTAACTATTAAATGTTTTTTTTTAGATAATAGGCAAAGTATTGTAGATTTTCTTTTGCTGTTTAAAGTGTTTATTTATCTACTATAATTTTCAAGATAATAGGCAAAAACACTAAAAATGGTAAAAAATCGTGATTAAAAAAGTATTACAAATATACCGAACTCCAAGGTAAATTCATTGACGGAAGTCCATAAAAACTGACAAAAGCAATCGTTATCAATAAACGGAACGAGTGAAAAACAACTGTCATATTTCTGACTTGGTACAGGCATTTTCCGAAGGTGGTATAGAAGGTATGAAAATTGATAGAATTTGTTCATACTTTGCCAAAATGTAGTATTCAAGCTACAGATTTTTTGTATAGGTTATACAGGAAAAAACATAATTATGTGAATAGAGGGCAAACTAGATGACAGAGTTGTGAAATAAAATACGAGAAGAAAGCTCTTAGAACTTGCTTTTAGAATATCAAAAGAAAAAATAGGGTCTCCGTAGTCTACGTTTGTTTCCTGCTATAACAAAAAATAGAAAAATATTATGTAGATGTTAGGAATTTATATTGTTTCAGAGTTACCTACCCTTAATACAATAATGCAAATGAAAATCAAGCAAAAATTAATCTACGTTTATAAAATTACTAGTTATTTGAAGTTGAAATCTTTTAAATTTGTTCATCTAAATGAAAATGGACATTTGTTTATTGTATTTCTGCTTCAAATATGGTGCTATTTTACAATACAATATGGCGAAAGACACCCATACTACTTTAGAGAGCAATAATTCCAATAAGGAGTGGTCTAACAATTTCAACCATGTTGACTTATTTGTAGATCTCGTCTTGCTGATCGTTGATGCTAATTTAAGTTTTCATCTATCTAATTTTTTTTACCGACCGTGCGAGACCCTCATGGATAGTCAAGGTCGTTAAACATCCTCTAGAAGTATCTATCTATGATTGTTTTAAAGATATATTGACTTATTTGTAGATCTTGTCTAACTGATAATTTTTGCAATTTAAAGTTTCTCCCTTTCTATCATAGTTCTTAGGATAATAGACAAAATTGAAATAAACTGTTCACACAGAGATACATCTCGCCTTTTTGTTATTTTGATAGTAAAATGCAAATGTTGAAATAAAAAAATAGCAATATTTTAACATGTAAGTTATGCAAAATATTCAAAGTCAATGAACCATGACAGAAGGTATAGGGCCAAACAATCTTCATGGAAATAAGATGTACAAATGCTAATACATATGCATACCAAAAATCATTGACCTACCACCAGTGGTTCTCCATAAACTGACCTTATCACAAACTAACACATGTAAACTCCGCAAAAGTTTCAAAGTTAAAAGACCATGACTGAGGTGGCGGGGCCAAAAATCTCCATGGAAATGAGATGTGCCAATGCTAATACATTTGCATACCAAATATCATTGACCTACCATTAGTGGTTCCCATAAACTGACCTAATCACAAATTAATACATGTATTCTAAACAAAAATTTCGAAGTCAATAGACCTTGACTGAGGGGGCGTGGCCAAATAATTCCCAATATGGACAATATGTAGATCTCATCATTTTGAACATTTTTGCCCTAGACAGATTTTCTCTACTCTTAGCATTTTTTTTATAATAATAGAGAAAACTATCATTTTATATTTTGTATATATTTTTGGCGTGGCTAGGTATTCATACATCCCGCCATTGTGTTATTGTGCTATGATCATTTTTGTATTCTTGTCTTTCATTTTTTGCGGATGTACTTTGTGTATATGCCATTTCGTTTTTCTTTGTTGAAATAGTTATTTGTTTTTATAGTGATTAAGATTATAACACAATGTTGACTGCTGTAACCCAATTTTTGACATTTTTACCTATTATATCCGTTTATTTTGCTCACACATTGTTGTCAATATAATGGAATTCTATATGACTGTCATAAAAGTGAGAGGTTTAGCTAGCTATAAAACCAGGTTTAATCCACCATTTTCTACATAAGAAAATGCCTGTACCAAGTCAGGAATATGACAGTTGTTTTCTATTCGTTTGATGTGTTTGAGGTTTTGATTTTGTCATTTAATAAGGGACTTTCCGTTTTGAATTTTCCTTGGAGTTTGGTATATTTTTTATTTTACTTTTTACCTCTATGTTCTACTTTTAGTCATGTCGACCATATTGGTTGTCAAGCGGGGTCATCGGACATATTTATTAAACTACACACCCCAATAATGATTGTGTCAAAGTTTGATTAACTTAGGTAAAATTTGGCCCAGTAGTTTAAGAGAAGATATTTGTAAGAGTAAACTTGGTCTTCCCTTTCTTTTTTTGAGGAGCACAACTATATTTATATATTTAAACGCAGGATCTGTGGATCCAAAGCAACCTTAAAAACGATAACCCAAAACCATCTGAGTTAAACTTTACTTTTGCTACTGAAATTTTTAAAAACGTCACAAAATATTTTGACTGAGAATTCACGATTCATAGAAAAGTACATAAATCATATTTTAATTATGCACATGTATAATTTATAAAGAATAGAACCCAAAAGGCACTAAACTCTAAGGATATAAAATAAATAAAAAATGACCACAAAAATTTTGTATACGACAACAGTTCTTATATTCTACAACTTTGTTTTATTCATTTTTGTTCTAATTCAGAGTAATCTTCAAGCATCCATATCTGTTTTAGAAGGTTTAGTTAATACCGGAATAACAGTAAGTTTAATTCTATTATTTTCATTTCGTATTGAAGATGTTTAACCAATTTTGTGTAAATCTAGCTAGGGTATAGAAATGGACATGAAATAAGTAGACAATTGTGTATCGAAAATAAAATTAAAAACAAAGAAGTAGAAAATAACAATATACATTGCAAATGGAAATCACTCTTTATAAACGTGCGACCGCAGCGCTAATCTGAATTTACCTAAACATGAAATACTAAAATCCAATATTTTGAAAGCCAGGTGAATACATATGTAGAAACGTTATGAGCTATAAGGGACATAAAAAGCACAGCAAACTTCAAATAAGATCAACTTTGCCAGATATAGTTTGAATTATTGTTTCTTGGTAATTTCGTTATTTCAGGATAAGATCAATGAAGTTTTAATAACAGCACGAAATGCTGATGATCAGATTCAAAACAACATGACGAGCATCATATCACAGGTAAGGAAAATATTGATTAAATGTGATAAATAAAAATGTGCTTTTGGTCACAAATAAAACAAATGTCACATTGCTAGTAAGAGGAGTACCGAAGTGTCGGATTGTGACTAAAATTGGACAGGAACCATTACGACTTATTTTTTGTTTCTTACATTGGTTTGTCATCTTATTTGATTTATGGGATATGAACATCGGTAAACAATTGTTGTCTATATTAAACGACGAAAATATGAGTAAAACCCATACCGCATAGTCAGCTATAAAAGCCCGAAATGACAAATGTAAAACAATTCAAACGAGAAAACTAACGGCCTGATTTATGTACAAAATAATGAACGAAAAACAAATATGATATACAGCAACAAACGACAACCACTGAAGTACAGGCTCCTGTTTGATTGTATGTGGGAAAAAAGCAATCGTACATGTAAGGTATCATACATATCTCTCTTTGTCTCAATGGTGCTTTTATCAATATGTACACACGCACTACAAAAGTCTAAAAGTCTGAAAAGACCAGTTTTTGTCTTAATTTGCATGAACTTTTACTCGACATTCTCCAAAAGTATGACTTGTGTCTTAATTTTTCTTGACAAATTCTCATTTATATTAAATTTGTATGAAATTTACTCGACATATTCTCGACATTCTGAATATGGTCTTAAAATTTCTTGACAAATTCTTGACATTTGAATACTGTCTTGAAATTTCTCGACATATTCTCGACATTCTTTTTTTTTCTCAGTATGGCTTGACATATTCTGAACATTTTGAATCGTGTCTTAAAATTTACTTGACAGTTCTGAGTTTTACAAATCATGACCAATATTCATGATATAACTTTAATATTTATTTCTCTTTATATGATATACTGTTGTTTCAAGTTACACTTCTTCACAACAAAAATAAAAGTTGGGCATGTAAAATAATTGAAAATTTGGGTATATAAATATTTTTACAAATGCAAATATGGCTATGAAATCTATAGTATAAAATAATTCAAATGTGGTTGTGTTGATATAAAACAATTTCAATGTGGGTTTTTAAATAATTACAAATTTTGATTCCTAAATCTTATAAATTAAATGATTCAAACCAATCATACTGTAGACATATTTCATTCTACATTCATAATATTCAATGTTGATATAGTAAATAATTATTATACCAAAATGTGGTTTATATAAATAGCAAATTATGATGATATACAAATCATTCATTTAACAGAAGAAAAATTTGTGTAATGTCATCTGTTGGAATATATTAAGTATTACACATGGACAGGATGTTCCCCATAAAATTAAGGTATTCCACACCCCAAAGTACACGCAACTGTCAAATAGAAGTTATTGCTTTACCTGTAATCAGCCATACAACTTATCAGTTGACCGACCATGCCACTACAATTTAAAAGTTTGTTGATAGATGAAAATGAAAATCATCATTTTGATGAAAAAAAATTGAATTGAAATGGATTTTCTTCATCAAAATTATGAAGTTAATTATTTTAACATAAAAACAAATTGAATAATTCCCAAAGATTAAAAGAAAATTATGATCTACTCCAGGAATAATAAAAAAAATGTATTTATAATGCGTCCCATCAATGATTTCTATAGAAATGGTTCTCAAACAGACATGCATAATATAGATCTAAACATTTTTTTCTTTTCAGGAAGGAGTTTTTTTTTATTATTTATTAATATTTATTTTTGATAAAAAATTATAAAATTCAACACTCAAATTTGAATAAAAAATGATTTTGGGTTGTTCTAAAAAATGAATAAGGTTTTTGAATCAAGATGGGAACAAATTCTTTGACCTAAACGAAAGCCCCCCCCCCTCTTTTTTTAGCTACACAAACCCAAAAGATGAATTGTGGGGTCCAAAAGAGATACAAGACACCTATTTTAGCAAAGCAAATTTGACTGGCAGTTTTGCGAACGGCAAAAATCTAAATGCTGTTTGTCAATACCTTCTTCTTATATTCCAAGTGAAAACAATTACTTAAATATTTAATAAAAATAAATCAAAATTAAACTACATGGGGGATTATTCAGGGTATTACAACTTAGTTGCACCAAAAGGGTATCTTACTATATATACCAAATTAATCCTTGATTCTTCAAAGTTTAGTTTAGCCATAATAAAAAGGAGTATATAACAGCAGTAGAATGTCATAAACAGTGCAGAATAAGTCTGTTCACATTTCAGGCGAAATTTATACTGTTGAGATAGTGTCAAGACATATTTAAGACTGTCAAGAATGTGTCGAGACATATTCAGACATTATTTAGAATGTCAAGAATATGTCGAGACATATTCAGACATTATTAAGAATGTCAAGAATATGTCAAGACAGATCGAGACAAATTTAAGACAGTTAAGAATTGGTCGAGACTAATCCAGACTCTTATCAGATGATACAGGAAGTGTCGAGAAATTTTAAGACAATGTTCATACTGAAAAGACACTTGTCAAGAAAAATCTAGAACCTTATTAGACAAATTCATACTATGTCAAGAATTTTTAAAAATTATTCAGACAAATTAAGAATGTCGAGTAAAAATTCTTGCAAATTCAGACAAAAACTGGTCTTTTCAGACTTTTTGACTTTTGTAGTGACGTTTGTCAGAGAAAACAATTGATAATGGCAAAATAATCTTACAGTTATAATATAACAATATTTTGTAGACGGCAGATGATTTTAAAAATCAACTGTTATCTTACATTGACTCGTATATCGATCAAGTACGATATCTGGTATGTATCAATTAGAATATGTGTTAGCAATGATTTAAACTATGTTGGATTTAAAAAAAAAAGTATTTCGAATAAGTTGGATATTCAATGTCATGTGATTTTACTACAAAATTTAAATATTCTTACAAAATCAATAAAAAAGATGTATGGTATAGTTGAAAGGGTAGAAAAAAATTCCTCTCAGTCTTTTCTCAATACTTTTGGACCAAATTATGATTTGAAATGATTTATATATTTACTCTGTGTTTTAAAAGTTCACAATTGCATGTATTGATTTATGTTAAACTTTTCATTGTTTTTATTATTTAAAAGATATACAATGAACTAGCAGCGTGTTTACCAATATGGAACCTATGGGATTCTTTGACCACAACTTTTTGTAATTATGCAATCGATCCATTGGTAAGAAAGTCCACTGAAAACAATCAATTATTGTAAATATTCTGAAATATGTGACACGTGATTTACATTGAAAAAATCCCGAAGGTAGCATGATTGTGGAAAGAGGAGAGTCAATATTTGGCACAAGAAAATACGATAAAATAATTACCCCTAAATACAATCAAAGACAAATATCAGCAAAACTTTCAGCGAAATAAAACGAACATAGAAAATGGGAATCAACTAAAATACTCGGATTATCGGATTAATCTACCAAGTAATTACATGGCGATCATTTTTTAGAAAATGACTTCAAATGCAAATTTATTATAAAGTACACTTAATGCAGTAGCTCGTCAAATGCAGCAACCCTCCGTAAAGAAAGTCTTTATAGAATGCACAATAACTGGAACGTTGTAATAAATGATAAATATATGATCAAGAAGTTCTGAAGCTGAAGTAAAAACAACAAACATAAAAGAAAGGTCTGAAAAATGTGATAAAAATATTCAATTAATGGAACAACAAACTAAAAGAAAGGTAACGAATTAAAGTAAAAAAGAGATTCAGATGTGTGTTTTTTTATACTTAATATGCTGCTTTTTTCGTTTTTCTTGCATACCGACAACTATCTTTACAAATAACAGGTATACAAATAAGTGTTTGTTTATAAAATCTCCTGATATCCTGCTTCAGTCCTGAGCAAATGAAAATGTTAACAGTACTGTTTACGAATCAGTTCATTATATGGTCTTCTCCGCGATTTTCGTTTATCCATGTAGTTTTTTTTTTTTTAAAACCATGCCAACAATATAGGATTATAAACTGTAATAGTGCCAGGGTTAAATTGCAGGATAAAAACAATATTTGTACATTGTCGGAGAATATATAATTAATATATATATATAGGACTCTGAACCGCGATGGTACTCCTAACCGCGATGGTCACACTGAAGTGCGATGGTTTGACGCTGAAGTGCGTTTTTGATCACGCTGAAGTGCGATGGTGAGAATGTGACGCCATCTTCTTGAACGCTACATAAAAGGTTATTTTCCTTTAAAACCAGTACTTATTGCAATGACTGAAAAAGTAGTAGTTATTTGAAATAAAAATACTACTTGATTAGTCAGAACGGAACAAAATACGCGGAAAATCTATACGGCTGCTGTGAATGAGAACAAGGAACAAGGTAGTTTTCACTGCAACAGAAGAAACTATTGAATGTTCGGTATTTACTAGTATATACTAACAAATAAAACAACAAAATCTCATAATACGTAATTGGAATAATTAAACATCTGTAGATTTTAACTATAGCCATCACGCGTCTTAGAGATCATCGTACATCAGCGAAAGGATCATCGCACTTCGGCGTAGACCATCGCACTTCAGCGTGACCATCGCACTCCAGCGTCCCTATCGCACCTCCGAGTCCTACATATATATAAATATATTTAAGCGAGCCTCATCTGCTAAGGACTAAAGATTTAAAAAAAAGCGGTATCGATTTGCCCACTTTCGAGTGTATGTTTATCATGTTTTAACTCAACCAAATTACATGTAAAAGTCTACAAAGTAATAAGTGTCTCATCAAGGTAAAGGTTTATTTATTTGCGCAAAGGCGTCTCTTTTATATTTAATTGTATAAAATATACAGATACACACTTTTCTATTTCAGAATGGATTCTGGTTTGCACTCGGTTGGGGATTATTTTTTTGCATTCCTTTAACTATTGTTGGAATTAAACTGTCAAATTATTACAGAAGGTTGAAATATAAACCTGAGTAAGTTATCTGAACTCTCCTAAAATTATTTAGGTTTCCTTCGGCAACAAAAAAAGGAAATTTGAGGATGTTCCACAAAATTTACCATTGATTTCCTATAGTGAGATAGTGCATTTATTTGATTCTTGAAAACTACCGTAAGGCCATCAAATTTAGTACTAGTATTTAACAAAATGCAATGTATCACTAAAATTTTAAGAGTAACTTTCATGAAACCTATAACTATATTATTCAACGCCAACGGTATTGAGAACTATGGGCATTATGGACAGTTTCAGTGACAATTGAGCATTACGTCGTCAAATGTTTTTAACGAAAGTCCGAAAGTGCTGCGGACACAACAAATTTATAAAGTGTCATTTTCATTTCGATTATAGTAATAAATGTAAACAAGTAACCCTTGAAAACCTATTCATTTCATAGACATCGGAACCAATTATCGTTAGCAATTTTTAGATAAAATCTTTCACTCTTCAAATGTGTTTTGTTGAGGGATTAATTTTGTTATGAGAACCAAACGTTCATCATGTTAAGAGAAATTCAAGAAAGAAGGAGTATCGCTCTAGCACTTTAATCAATGCTAAAGCCTGGTGTATTTTGTTCTGTCTTTAGAGTTATGTTGCTTCGTTTTTTTCTTTTTAATTTTTTTAATGCGTTGCTTTTTGGATAATTTACGTAATAAGTTTGATGCATATATACAGGTCATTCAGTAATATATAACCAAAACATATTTTTGTAAACAGACTGTATACTAAAGCTATATATTTTGTTCCCAGACCGAGGAAGAGACATGACGATGAACCTCCGCCGCCTTATACAGAGAAGATTGAACGCTACGAGGATGCAGGGACTAAAAATCAAATAGCACCCATTGAGATAATAAGCTTCTACGAAAAAAATCACAACAAAATAATAGATAGAGATATGGATTATTGGCCAATTTTTCGTCATAGGTATATAAAAATATTAATGTATATATAAAAAGACATAAAAAGTGATCATTTCATATTTATCCTAAAATGCGGAAGTTATTCTACATGGGACATGAGGAATGACACCAAACACAATGAATTGAAAAAAAGAAAAATCGAAAAGTGTTACTTTTTCTATTGTTTTTTTTTCATTGGAACCATAATGGTGTCATGTAGTTGTCACCATCCTTTACACATAGTTGTCTTATTGGCTATTAATCCAAATCTCATTATTTTAATATCGATTGAAGATCGAAATGACTACTTTTGTTTTGTTTTTGTTTTTTTTAACCCCGTAGAGGCTTCAAACTTGATTCCAAGGTAGGATTGTTTTTTTTTACCGTTTTTGAGTTGTAATACAATGGAACAATCAATTATACCATACGGTATATTTTATTTTTTAGGTTCTATCTGAATGGAACGTGTCTTTTTACTGTACAATACAAATTGATCTTGCATACTTTTTTAATGGTGTTTTTGTGGTTGGTGGTACTTGTTTCATTTAAATTGACGGAGCATATTTCTTCAAATAAATAAACTAAAGTATCTTGAATTAGATTTTGAACTCAGCACCAGTGCATTATTTGATTTTTTTAGTACTTAAAAAATAAGATTAATTCTTTTATTTCAGATCAAACAAGGTATTCCCAATGTATCCAACAATGGACTGACAAATAAATGGAGAACTACAAAAGATCTGTTATATATTGATATTTTGTTAATATTTCTTATGTACAATTTTTTTTTCTATTTCTATCACTATTTTGAAACTGTTAATGTTCGACTGTTAGTCCCCAGGGTACCAGTAGTCTGTGTTTCATTACTGATATAATTAAGGACGTGTTTCACTTTTAAAAAGTTCCGTTAATAAAGTTAGAAACTATTAGGAAACTAATGTTCCTAATACGTCATGAAAAGGTTGATCGTGTATGGCTTTTGTCAAATTGTTATGTCCGTTTTGGTCTTATATTTTTTTTTACCTCCTAGAGTATTCTAGTACTTTTACATCCTCTGCTTTCAAAATTTAGGTTTGATGCAAGTAAAGTCAGAAAAGCGCATCGGACACAGCTAATTATAAAGTGTTATTTTTAGAATGGAGTTATAACTTTATCTTATTTGTTGTTGGTGAACATGTATTTTCCAAAACGTTTTTGCATTCATATAAATCCCTCCTCGATTATTTTATATTGCTAGTAAAGCATGAAGATAAATTCATTCTAAAGAGCTTTTTAGTGTTTTTGAGCAGCACAAAAAATAAAAATAAACAATGAATTATATCAAATTTAAAACTGAATAATTTGGCATTTACCCTAGGGTTTTGTTTTGGCTTAAATTTCGACCAGTTAATGTGTGTGCCTTCGATTAATGATTTTTCTGTGTTTTTTTTTATCCGAACTGAAATTAGGAAGTATCAACCAGTTTTGTTCACCCATTACAATGGATTAATTTTTTTCTTTCTTCGGGGATGAGACCAATATTGTTTATTTCGCAAAAAAAAATGCATTTTTGTTAGCGACAGTTACAGATTGACATTTGAACAGTGGCCATGGTAGTGATTATGTTTCAAACATATGTCGAAAGTCGGTTCGATGAAGCGTTTGCAACATATGTCAAACTTAAAAAAGAGACAACAGCAGTTTATCGAAGTTAAAACTGCAGGAATCGCATGATATATCAAACAATGAAGACCGGGTGTAGCGATAAGGCAGCTTAAGCGTCTCCTCCTATGCATACATCATTCAAAATGCGAGTCAAAACTCAGTAGTACATGTTCTTGAGACCAAGACCACGATACCATTTCTCTCGTTAGTTGGGACCCAGACACCGGTCATATAATTCGTGAAAGCGACTATAAAAATTGTGTAGTGTCGAATCAGTCATTCTTTTTTTTCTGGAAGCGCTTTTAAACAATCCAGATATAAATCAAACCTTGTTTCGGTATTATCATGAATGTTAAGTTCAAATGGACATTGCGAGATAGCAACCTATTGAGGATATATGGCTTCATATAAATTAGATTATGGTCAGTTGATCTCGATAAGACATGATGCACTTTACATTGATTTAACAGCCTCCATATAACTAACCTTTAATTTGACAAAAGATACTAAATAATCACCAAGTCAGATGAAAAAGAAAAGAAAACATTATAATGACCAATTAAACATCAAGAAGATAATTCAAAAATAGAGGCTACAGTAGTTTACCGGTCTTAAAATTGTATAAGTCCATTTAGAATATACAAATCAATGTATAAAACAAAACCTTAGGGAATTGAATGAACTCTGAAACAGAGCGAAACCGAATGCTTAGACAGAGCAAGTTTCTTCTAAAAACACATAAATCACACACCTTGCAAGTTCGCAATATGTCGTAATAGGAAATAGAATATAATTGGTTTATTTTTATAAATCACACGACTGTTCGTGTATCTAATGATCTAAGACCACAACAACATATCGCTTGTATCCTATCGATCACCCAATTCTTTGTGGTAACCGTAAAAGTTATGGATTGTCGATTTCAGTTCTTTCTCACAATCGTACTTTAGCAGTTTTTTTTTGTAATGAATGAATGTTCAAGCGCGTAACGTACAAATAGGGATATGTAAACGCTGGGGCAGATGTTATGTTACAGATATTAAGTTACTTTTGAAATTGTCACGTTTGTCATAGATCCTAGTTTGGAGTCGTCCATCTTTGTCAATATAAAGATAAAGATTCAGATATGAGGAAGACCTTCTACCTTTGGTATTATCATTAATTTTAAGTTATCTTGGACACATCAGATGTAAGCATTCACACAAACATGCCATTGGGTAATTAAATGCCAAGACATTACCAATATATCTGAAAGTGAAATTAAGGAATTTTGCAAGATGCTTTTTCGTTTTGTCTTTGTGAAGGTTTTGTATGAAAGATGCATCCTATTAGTTTAAAAAAAATCGGCTTATAGTGGTTCACATTAAGTACGAATAGAAATACCGACTTTTTGTTACAAAATCAATCCACCAAACTCAACAAATTTGTTATCGATCATAAAGTCCAGCATTTTCATGAACCATTTTGGTACTAGGGACTACTGGTAATTCCTGTTATCCTATTAATGTATACACGATTCGAACAGTCAAACAATAGTGGCATGTTTTTTGTCAGTTCCTGTGTCACTATAAGTACATATGAACTACATTTGGTCTTTATTATTATTATAATACTGCATATCCATCTTACAAAAAACACGGCGAGAAAATACCGCACACAGAGGAGGGCTTCAGCTGGTACCTAAACAAAAATGTATACTAGTTCAGCGAAAATGGACGTCACACTAAACTCCGAAACATATAAATGAACCAACATTAGAAAAACTATACAAGACTAACAAAGGCCAGAGGTTCCTGACTTGTGACAGGCTCAAAAATGCGGCGGGGTTAAACATGTTTAAACAATAATTAAACATGTAAACTATGCATATCATCCAAAGTCAATGAACAATGACTGAAGGTGCAGGGCCAAATAACCTCAAGGAAAATGAGAAATGCCAATGCTTATAAAACTGCATACCAAATACCATTGACTTATTATAAGTGGTTCCCTTTAAACTAACCTAAGCACAACTTTAACTTGTAAACTACTAGTATATTAATGTTTCAAAGTCAATGATCCATGATGAAGGGGTGTGGCCATTTACTTGATAATGCCAATACAACTGCATACCAAATATCACTGACTTAACATTAGTCGCTCATCTTAAACTGACCTAATAACGAATTTGTACATGTAAACAAATCAAAGGTTTCAAAGTCAATAGACCATAACTGAGAGGGCAGAAACAAAATAATCTTCATGAAAAAGAAGACGTGCCAATGCTTATACAACTGTATACCTAATATCATCGACCTACCACTAATGGTTCCCCTTAAACTGGCTTAATCACAAACAAATACATGTAAAAAGCAAAAGTTTCAAAGTCGATAGACCATGACTGAGGGGATGCCATTGGGGCAAAATAATCTCCATGGAAATAAGATGAGCCAATCCTAATACAACTGCATACCAACTATCATTGATTTTGTTCATCTTCTTTTCATTTTCAAAACCACCTAGTAAACAAACCTCAACGTTGATAAATTATATAGATTGCGAAAATGAAGACGCGGTCAAATGTCTTTCGTAAATGAAATGTTAACCTCACTATGAATGTACACATCAAATATAATTAAATATCAACAAAGGGTTGACTGGGGTATGGGTAAATTTCATCCTTGACTGTTATTCTACCGCCAGTCAAAAAACAAACCTTCGCTAAAGTTGGGCCTCCGTTTGGCTTTGCGGGATGTATAAATACGCAGCCACGTCCGGTCGGAAGTTCGATGACAAATTCGAAGCCTGTTGTGTTGGTTTAGTGCCACTCCTTCGGCATATTAAAGATCACTTAACTTGTAATAAATATATGAGGGTTCGTTGGTGACAAGTTGCAAGGCAAAATATCTATCCTATCTAACATCTCTCATTTTCCAATGACAGTAAAAATTTCTTAACCTACTTTGGAGAATCTACATATTGTATTAAGTATTTGTTCGTGTCCTGAATATGTATTAAACATATGCCAGTTCATGGACGTGAAGCAAGCAACACTGAACCGTGAAAAAAAAATTAAATTTGTATACACTATGCAAAGGATAAGCAAACTTACGTTATTCTAAAGGCCAAAGAAACAGTAGCAATTAAATTTTTAATAAATTATGTCTATGGACAACCACACTTTCAATTATTATAAAGGCTAACTGTGATTATTTCTTTGGCCTTCAGAATAATTTTAGTTGACCTTAGATGGATTTAGCTATTATTTTTAGGTCCTTTTTGGTCATATACATCCTTGGCTTTCAAATATTCGGCTTTGAGCGTTCCTGATGAAGGTAAATCCAGAAAAACGCTTCGGACATATACAGTGTTGTTTTCATTTTTTACAGTATGTTTGATGTATTTTCTGTATTCTATTCAGATCTTCTAATGCTGAAAGATAATTTCTTACGTTTGATACAACTAGTGTTTTCCTTTAACACTGCCGGATAAGCATACATATGTCTTGTCGACAGAAACCCTCAATAGAATTAAGACGAAAATATTTACTTTTATATTCTTTTTATTACTTTTTACCAATTGAAGACAGAGACACATGTGGCACAGTTTGACTTTTGCAGCATTTGTCTGTGAATCAAAACCCACTGAGTTTTTTCTGGGCATTCTGAAAATATAAATTAAAGCTTTAATTTAGCCTCAATATAACAATTTTTTTTTAAATAAAAAAATATAAAAGATGCATTATTTAATTATATAACCTGTTATGTCGTATGAATAAAAACAAGTCCATAAAAACTGACAAAATCAAACGCTATCAATCAAATATGCAAAAAAGCAAATACTTACAATAAATGATTGAATTTGAATTTGCCTTTGAGTTCGGTATTTTTGTTATACTTTTTTCATAATCACGCAAAGAACTTTGAATACTACTGACAGTTAAACGTTTATTGGATTTCAAATAGTTTCTTTGTAGTACAATAATGAAGCGTTATTTTTCTTTTCCAAATAGTTCATGATATTCTTATGTACATCAACACCAATGCCTTGCCTTTTCTATTCAGAAGACACTTTGTAGCATAATTGCCTTAAATCTGGAAGGTTTTACGATCAATAACCGACTAGGCCAAAAAAAAAAGTTAAAATTAGCCTTTTCTTTTACTGCTAAGCATGAATGTCGAATAATGAAAAGGGACTGTTTGGCTCGGTTTGGACAGTCGTATAACAAAACGACATAAAAACAAACTGAAAAATCAGTTGGAAAAGGCTCGACTCTTACGATCCAACAAAGGATGGGTTGAGTAGATGATATATTGCTAACAGGATCAGACGCCTCTTGTCGTGATCGCAACCCCGAGTCCGAAAGTCGTCTAATTTGTTATAATCCACAGTTAACTCGGATGTAAATGGGTTATGTGTAAACACAGACAGCTAAAACCACTTCTCAAAACAGTCCAGCAAAACTTAAAATCATATAAGGTCGAGATATTTGCTTTGTAAAACGTTATGAGTTTGTTTTATTTTATATTGGTGGGGGGGGGGGGGGGGGAAAGGGGGGGGGGGGTAGGGGACTTGTACTTGAATCAAATCTGAAATATCATTATAATAAGAAAAACAAGACCGAACTTGATACCAGACTTGAACGTTTCCTGATCAGGTGTGACCAAATATACTGTTGTCCATTACAAGTAATACTTGATCACGTAAGGTTCACATTTGGACCATTTCGAACTCAGTCGACTATAACAAAGACTCAGTTTCAATAGCCACGTATGATATAGATTCAGTCGAGTACAACTCAGAGTCAGTTAGTTATAGGCAAGTGTGGTGAAGAATTATAATCGGACACGGCTCGGACTCGCCTAGATATGGTCAAAGAAATGGAAAAAATTAATCATAGGTCATTTCTATGTTGTGTTTTGTGTACTATTGTTTGTTTGTTGGTCTTTTTCTTTTTTAGCCATTGCGTTGTCCGTTTATTTTCGACTTATATGTTTGGATGTCCCTCTGGTATCTTTCTCCTCTCTTTTTCAGACCAATGAAAAAATTATTTAAAATATGTCGAATGCAATTCAGTACTATTAGGTACTGATAACACGCAGGTTAAATTTAAACAAGTAAAACCCAGAATTTTCCGGACTGAATAACCAAAATTATGTATACTTAACTACAAAATATGAAAATTTCAATCTTTAAAAAAAATAACTTTTAAATGTCATAATACAGAATTTGACAAGTAAAAAAATAAAAGATAATTGTAAATTTTTTTCTCTTTTAATTGTGGCAGATTTTGCACTTTGCACGGTGTTACTTTAAGAAATGAATAAAATAAAGAGATGTCTATGTCACAATACATTTAGATGAAGATTAATTATAACAAATTAACTTTAATTATGATAATGGAACATTTTCTGCTAAAAAAGTAACTGATGTTAAATTATGTAACTTGTGAAGGGTGGTAATTTCTTTGAAAAATTAAACCTTTTTTCTTGTAGTGGTTTTTACGTATTATAGTCATTAAGCAGATATTTTCAAATTTAATATTTGAAATTTGCTTCATAATAGATTTGCGGAAATAAATGTACGAATAATACTGATAAGAGCATAAAAAAACTGGTTCGATCGTTGATTTATAATAACTAGGGCCCAAGTTTGATCTTCGAAACTTCTGGTAAAAATATGGAATATTGTCATATCCTAGAGTAAAAGTTAAGAATTAACAACAGTTCATAATTGTGCACTGATGCATTTTCGAATTCGTAATAATAGTTGCTTAAAAAAAGTCTTTGTTACAAACATTACAATGAACAGTTTATTTCTCCGCTTGGCGTTTTTCGTGGATATCGATCGTTCCACATTCAAGATTTCTTTTTCTCGAAGGGGATTCCACTAAACGAGACTTATCAGCGAATTTAAATGAGCAACAAGACGGTCGCCACCTGTGGAGCAGGATTTATTGACACTTCCGGAGCACATGAGATCACCTCTTTGGGGCTCTTGTTGCTAAGTCTTTAATTTTTTTTTGTCATGTCGTTGTTAGTTTCTCTTCGAATAATGAGTTTGAATATCCCTTTGGTATCTTTGTCCTCTCTTTTATAGAAAATAAAATAAAACGGAGAGCTTTTCGTCCATCTGAATTTGTTTTATTTCATTTTATTCCATAAAAAAACCTTACGTCTAAATCAAAGTATCCTAACACCTATTATATGTGGTCAACCTGCTGACAATTTTCATATTCAAATCAAGCTGACCAAAGTCTGCATACAGTGTAGAACACTAACATAACAAAAAAAATGTATGTCACGTCCGTCATGTAACTATTTACGGACCTTTGAGAACTTCTTTTGTAATTAATAATAAAGTAACTGGGCCGATAGTTTGGTTCAAGGTTTGATTAAGTTTCTAATCCCATAAGTATAGAAGCTAATCTCTCGTCTTTGGTAAATATCAACCCATTCGATAAAATGGTGTCATTTAAACTACAGGGACACGAATTGATTGTTTATTTTAAGCCTTAACAGTTTTACGTAGTATTCTGACTTACTGATCCATCATTTGCTATTTGTGTTTTAGCTTTTTTATCAGCTTCGTCTTGTGTCATGGTCACATCTGGATTTGGTTTCAACACTAATTTTTCCCCTGGTGGAGCACATTCCCAGATTTCAAATAATCCTCCACATCCATGGAACACCCACCATTCTTTTTCGTCTAAACCAATTCCAAACTTCTCTTCTGGTGGGTCACACATATAAAATGACCGACGTTCTACCAAAGTCATGTTCCAGATTTTTGAATTTTCAAACTTTGTGTAGACGACTGTCGGTTCTTTGAACATGCTATCAGCTGTTTCTATGTAATCCACACAATCTACTTCTTCTGTATTGAATTAAAAAAAAAAACACTTTTAAAACCAAAGAAAAAAGTCAAACGTTACAACTGTTAATGTTATTATACCCAGCTAAATGAAGATGCAGCAATAAAAAAGACTCATGAACATGTTAAAAAATCAAATTAAATTTTAAGTTGAATATCATGAAAAAACTATCTTACTCCTCTCCATGTAAAAAATTCCAAACATTAAAGTTACTTACATGGCATACTTAAATACAATAACAGTGTTCTTCTTGAAACATTGATCCTTTTACTAACAGGGTAAATATATGGGGTCCGAATTGTACACACTTTATACAAAATTCAACGCATTATTTAGTTAGTCCTACTGTTTAAAAAGATACCAAGGGGCGCAATGACTAAACCCCTGTGCTTTTTAATCTTGAATTCTACAGCCATTGTACGTGCAAATATGTTCCACTGAGTGATGTCATGAATGCTTTTCATTGTTTTAATACTATTGTGTTGTCGGAAAACGAATGCCAATATCTGTAAGAATGTTTCGTCTTTGTGATTATTTGACTACTCCCGCGCATTTTGAGTGGTTATTTATGAATTTTAAGAAGTTCACAAGAAGTCGTCAAAGTCTGAATGTAAAGTGATTCCTAATTGACTCAGTTGAGTATTGTTTGTTTAAAGTCTAGTGGCAAATATTTCATGCATGTTCACGACGAGAATAAACTAACAATAAATAGAATAGGTAGTATGTGGTCGACCGGGATGATATGTGAGAAATTAGAAATGCAACTTAAAATGGTATATTAGATAAGGACAGAAATTTATCCTTGTAACAAGTCACCTACCGTTCCCTCAAAGAGTTGTTGAAAGTGTTCATAACTTGCAGAGAGCTTACAACTCTCTCTAAACGAGGCATCGGATATTACGTCCTCATTCTGACCGGAAGTGGCTGCGAATTTATACATCCCGCACAGCCTAACAGAAGCTTACTTTTGGAAGCCGGGATTTTACTGCCGGTCGGAAGAAGACCAAGAAATGACCATATTTCTATATCCAAGTCACCCTTGATGTTTAAAATCATCGCTCTTTAAGTTCATTAATGAATATATTCTCGGAATCGTCAATACGTGAAAGAAAAGTGTACTGATCCTTTCATATACATGTAGGGTTGTCTATCTGTATATATTAGTAATTAAAATTCGAAAAGTTAGACTTTCAAGACTGGTTGGTAATTGTGTGAATTACTCAGTTTCGCTCAAACTTAAATTTCCTTTATCCCATTGAAAGTAAAAAAAGGTTGTTTGTACTTATAATTAAGGATTTAATTGTAGAGTATAGTTAATTTGAGTAATAATACAGTATCCGTGTTCATGCCTCATATTTTTATGATCTTGTCTTGGTCGATGGTTGAACCGAATCGACTATCAAGTTCAACAAAAAAATCTTGGAATCGAACATTTTTTAGGTGTCAGAAATAAAAGACCGCAAAAAAATTGAAATTTTGAAAACATTTTGAAACACAGTTTGACAAGATAATTATACTGTTGTGCTTTGGGTTTGTGGGATGCATAAATACTCAATCACGTCCGGTCAGAATCTGCGACTCGTTTTACAAAATATCTTACGATTAAAATTGATCCCTCTCTTCGTCCAGTTTGACCCACTTTGCAGAAATAGCCTTTTAGATTTAGATTTTATCTGAGATACATGTATTCTCATCCTGAATATGCATAAAATATTTTGCCACTGGACGTTAAGCCAAATCTTTAGAATATGCGTTCATTTTTTATATAATGTCTTAAACGAAATGTAATTTTGGTAAATACTGAATTTTAATATTATCAAGCTTCATAATCGTTAAACCACTAACAAACAGTGAAGGACATTCCATACCACAAAGATCTCTGATAAAAATGATAGTTTCAATTTCCAAATAGAGATTCTTCCTATTCTGAGTAGAAGAATTATACCCGCATCACATGCGTATAATGTAGACATATCACAGGTGGTTCACTTCTCGGTACCCAAACGGTGACTTGGAAATAGAAATATGGTCACTTGGTTCTCTTCCGACCGGCAGTAAAACCCTTTCTAAGTCCGTTTGGTTGTGCGGGATTTATAAATTCAAAGCCACTTCAGGTCATAATGGGGACATTAAATCCGATGCCTCGTGTAGAGAGAGTGCTACGCTGTCTGCACGCTAAGAACCCTTGCAACTTGAGGGATCCGTAGGTGGCCTGTTGCAAGGCTAAATTTCAGTCCCTATCCAATTATTCTTATTTCCAGTGGAAGTCCAAACTCTCCGTTATTTATCCCGGTCGATCCCGTTTACAGGACCTACCTATTGTATGGGTTGTTAATTTGTTCTCGTCCTGAAAATGCATGAAATTTATGCCACTAGACATTAAGCAACCAACAATCAATCAATCTTTTCGATAGTTTATTTCCACTACAAAAACTCCTTTGAAAGAATACAGTGATTTTATTTACACGAAGATAAAATTGTTCTTGAACAACTCTTTCCTTGGTCAAATTTAACTATTTAATCGTAACCTTAACAATGAGGACGACAATTCGTTTAAAAATTGTTAAATGTGCCAATTTAAAAATAGAACAGATGACATCAAATAATTGTTGAACCTACGGTCATAAATTAATAATTTCAAAAAACATTCTTCCAACTTAAATTTGCTAACTTTTCAAATTAACTAGATGTAAATCTTAATTGTAATTGAGTATGCTTGTATATAAACGCATCAAACAGAAAAAAAAACACATTTTTGCAGGGTTTTGTAATTGAAGATGAAAGTAAGGCATCTTGTGCATTCAGATTTGACTTCTTACATCTTAATTGTACTTGAACAGGTTTGGTGAAACATGCCTTTTCCAGTTTGTAAAAAAATGATACAAAAGAAAGGAAGAAATGTATACGCCCAATTCAATTTTTTTTAACAAGGTGATGACGACTTCATCAGAATTGTGGTCAATGACAGAGACTTGTAAAATATAAATTTCTGAATTGCAGGATTGTGCGCTTGAAATTACCTTTATTTGTAGTAGTTTTCACTTTAAATTTTACCTTCTTTTTTTAAATTTAAACGTTTGAAGTACAAGACAACTAAACAGAAACAAATAGATAGATAATGAGCGTTAAAAATTGAGATGTATCATCTTGCCTAAGGGTTTGATCACATGACTAGACGTAAAAACCATGATTAATCTGTCAAATTTATTATACTTAAAATAAATTGTTATGTTGAATTTATAACATTCATATTTAAAAATCAAGTATTAAGAAATATTGTTGTTTGAAGTATTCTTTCCCGCTTAGTTTATATGATGTTTGTATATGCATGAGTCAAACCCATCAAATTCATCAGTTTGATTGTAAGTCATTATTTAGGAGATAAAAATAGAAAAGTTACAGATAAAAATAGAAAAATTGAAGGTTTAGCGGATTTTGAAGTTTTTCTTTTTGAGTACCAGCCTGCTTCATACAACATTCAATGAATAATTACGTAAATAGAATTCAATAGTAGATTTAAACTGAAGGTTAACTTCTCCTATGTCGAATTGTTTTATAGGTCATATGTTAGTGTAATGCATACATGCAATATCATTAAGTTAGTTTTCAAGATCAGAGACTTCACTTAGAATGTAAAAGTTATTTTTTTTTTATAGATTTGTCAATGCAATGATTGATACGATGGCCGATTTTCGATATAAGTGATTAGAATTGTATACAATAATGGGACATGTCTGACAGCAAGTTCATTTTTTTGGGGGCTTCTTTTCATAGCTTTTTATTATTAAAAAATTAAAAGCCCGACAGAGACATCTCTCCTCAATGAGTGCTTAACATTGACAGCCTAGCTACTTGGAACAGAAAATTGATCGAGAGGACTCACATATGCATTTGTATAATGTGCTTTAGAATATTTATGACAAGCATCATAGCAGAATTAGTAATAAGTTAGATATCGAAAGAATTATTTATATATCATATATTTTTTTTCTTACAGAATGAAGAGCGTTTGGGACTGATTTGGGTTGCCTTTATTAATTTTTTTAATTTCGATACATGTCATAGTTCTTCTAAATCTCACAATTAAAGTACACAAAATCTTGTCTACCTTTTCATTGCATTTTGTTATTTTAACGTGTGAATAAAGAAAAAATCATCATTTTCCGGGGAGTTAATCATTTTCTTTTTGAAAAGTTTGTATGAAAATCAAGTTATAAAATTTGAAATAAACTGATGTAACATTATATTGATGAATCTCTCATCAAACCCGTTTGTTTTACACAGCAGTTTCAAGTCTTCTTATAATGAAGAAACATGGTGCATGTTGCAATATAGAAATAAGAAGACGTGTTATGATTTTCACTGAGACAACTCTCCACCAGAGACCAACATATAGTAGAAAGTTAGCAACTATAGGTAACCGTACGGCCTTCAACAATGACCAAACCCCATACCGCATGGAAAGCTATAAAAGAACTCGAAATGACAAATGTAAAAAAACAATTCAAACGAGCAAACTAACGGCCTGATTTATGTACAAAACAATAAACGAAAAAACAAATATGATATACAGCAACAAACAACAACCACTGAATAACAGGCTTCTGACTTTGGACAGCCACATACAGAATTCAAGCTTGCTTCAATACATAATAAAAACTGTTACATTAAAATGATGTACTTCACTATACCAACATGAAAATGTTTTTTTTTTAAAAGAGCATTTTCCAAAACAGATTAAGATTTTACAATTGGGTTACATTGGATTATTATACAGTTTTGTCTGGATGGGGTTTATAGAATAGAAAATAATGAGCAAAAAATCCAGAATAAATGGGCAAAAAATAATGAATAGAGAAAAATGGGAAAAAAAGTAAAGAATAGAGAATAACGTGGTGCTAAAATATAAAGAATTGAGAATAAAGGGCAAAATAAATACAGAATAGAGAAAAATTGTCTACAAATTAAAAGAAATGAAGGACCCCCCATCCAGACCCTCATACTGTATACTCACGTTCTTGTGATTGCACAGAGAATACACACACAGCTACCAGTACAGAGTAGAATAAAGAAACTTTCCACGCCATGCTGTAAAGATATTAATTTACAACAAAATATTCAGTAATTTGTTACTGTTCATTTGAAATTTTTATGACATGTAATAACTAATGTAATAAGTTCATATTGAAATAAACAAAAGGGATATTTCCCTACAAATTTGTCAATTTGCGGTTTTATATTCTGATTTATCTGAAAAATGTATTCATGTAAAGTTATATAACCAAAGTTTTATTATCTAACAATATGGCTCTGTTTACGTGGTTTACTCTCCTGATATGTAATTCCTTACTGTCAACATTTATTTTTTTCTCAAATGTAGAAACGCATGAATGGGTATTTTATAAGACTTATGTGATGGAACAGAATATAAGTTAAAATTTGGACAGCACGAATTTAAAAATTTCTGAGGTCGAGTTTTGTCTAAAATTTTCTTAAAAAAAAAGGAAATTTTAATATAGAGGTCTGTTAAACCTGCTGTAAGAATCGGACAGTTGTCCTTAGCACTCCAATCCACCCATATGTACATGTAGTTAATACAGAAAGATATCTAAAACTTGTCTACATATCTGTAGGTAAAAGAACTGATAAAACGGAATCATTTTTGAGTATGAATTTAGAATAAAATAGGTAATATATGACAACCCTGCTGTATACAAGCAGACAAATGTTAATATAATAGTAGAATTACAATTATTTTAATTTGAACCGCACATAATTTTGCTTGTAAATATATCGATAGTTTTTGTGTAATAAATTACATGTAATACTGACTTTGATGGGATGAAATTCAAACACATGTACACTATGTGAACACACTAGATAAATAATGACAGTCTGACAGATTTTATGGTTATGACACCAATTCCTTTGTATCAGCACGTAAATAGCTGACTAACCGTCAAACATGATGATTTTTGCATAATTATATTTTAAAGCAGGACCAGTATCGATTACAAATGTAACCTTAAACTGCAAAATTAAGAAATGAACCTTCTTCCGTACTTTTTTCTTTCATTCCGACAAGCATAATCTAATAATATAACAACACGTGTATAATTAAAGGGTGTATCACGCGATAATTAAGTAATGTTATTTATATTTACATCAAAACAATTCTTGTACATGAAAGTTATTTGATATTAGAAAATCATAACCTTAAATCCATTTCATTATAAATTCCACAAAAATCAAGACGTATTTAATAACAATCAAACTTACATGATCTCTACCAGTTCTCCAAAGGCCACTACAATTAATCTACATTGAATAAGCCTCAGGCTACTATTGCATGCTGGGATATTATATGTCACAAGTTATAAATGACTCCCTTGTCTTATGAAGTGTCAAAATGAGAAATGTAGTTGTATATTTTGTTACGCAAGAGTTCACACGACTATTGTCTCTCACTGCGATTTTGTGTATTTCAGACGTCTTTAAGAAAATACCAGTTAATTGATATAGGAAGATGTGGTATGAGTGCTAATGAGACAACTCTCCATCCAAGTAACAATTTATAAAAGTAAACCACTATAGGTCAAGGTACGGCCTTCAACACGGAGCATTAGCTCACACCGAACAGCAAGCTATAAAGGGCCCCAAAAATTACTAGTGTAAAACCATTCAAACGGGAAAACCAACGGTCTAATCTATATAAAAACGAGAAACGAGAAACACGTATAAACTACATAAATAAGTTTGTTAATTACGATTTTAATTACAGTAAATGAAAACGAACTAATTATTAATATGGGGGACAAATAGATAAATGTGCTAGTCCCCAGTTGACAAAAAAGTCATGAACCACAATGCTTCATCATGTTTCTCTATATTTTATTGTGTATAATTAATCGGATTCTATTAATAGACAAAAGTAATAAATCTAGTAAGAAAAATTTTAAATTTTAATGTTTAGATTAAGATCATTTATCAAGAATTTTCTTTCATTGACGTATATAAAACGTCTGCTTTATTCATACTTTAAACTTAGTTCCTCCGAAATATTATGTAAGACTGAGATTTTGTGATTATTAAAAAAAATATTTATCAACATATACAGTCATGTATCTATAATGAACATACATGCACATTGGATTACAGTCACTAATCTCACAATAATAATATCACAAAGGAAAATGCAAATTGTAACTTTCCCCCACTATTCAGTACACAATCATTAATTTACCTCAAACTAAACCACTATCAGTGGCATAGTGATTCAACCACACGGGCGTGTCAGTAGCGGCAACAATGAAAGCTATTCCAGCTTACATGAATACTACTATTACTAGCACATATCTTCTAAAAATAATGGAATGGCGAAACAATCGCAATGGCAGTAAACTCATGTATCAAATGCTTGAAGTAAATTAAATAAAAAAAAAAACTATACAACTTGTTAAATTCAAAAATATTTTTAAATACTGGTTTGTTAATTAAAAGACGATTGTTCGTGTCTATGATTTGAAGCCTTAAAATGACGGACTAATGTGTGAGGCCCTTCTTATTGTTAGATTGTTATCAAGACTTTTAAAGTTCACATCACGTTACTGAATGCTGATCATTATGCTGGGAAGAAGAATCTATAGCGGGTGTAGGAGGTACTGACTCCTTCCTAACGTTTTTTCCTTCTTAGTTCTTTGAGGGGTGACAGTACTGAGTTGAGGTTGCAGTTTCATATTCAATTAATACAACTGGAAATTTGACCTTCCTACATTTTCGGGGCATCCTAGAAGTTTGGGATAATAGTAAACAGATGTGATCTAATCGTGTTTTAGCAAGTTATGAGAGTTAATCAGATCTGCACACCCTTTTATAGAGGCTTGTAGCAGTCATGTGTCATGGTGTATGACCGAATAGAGATAAGAAATTGGTCGAATTTGGTCGAGTAGAGATCGGGTATTGGTCGAGTTGGTCTGAGATCAAAAACAATAGTAGTCGCAGTATCGGGAAGCGATCTGGCATTGGTCGAGTTAATCTCGACCACAGATTAAACAGGACGGCGTTGATCGGCAAGCGGATATTAGTCGAGCAAAGGTCGAGATGATCGAGTAGTGATCGGTTAAATATTTGTATTCCGACCAAACTCAAAGTCTACACGATCCTTTCCCGATCAATTCGACCGATACTCGACGAATTCCCGATCTCTTCTCGAGTGATTAGCTGCTCGATCCCTACTCAAATTTTATACGCCCGTTTACGGGACGCATTATGGTATGCCGTTGTCCGTCCGTCCGTCCGTCATCAACACTTCGGACAATAACTCAAAAACGCTTTCAACAATTTTTATGAAACTTTAATTGAATTTTTCTATCTATTGAAGTAAGTTCCCTTTCGATTTTTATAATATTTTGATTTCACGTTTCCGAGTTATGGGATTTTATTCATAAACAAATAGGGGATTTTTCAGTTTTCTGACAATAAGTCAAAAACGCTTTGAGCAGTTTTCATGAAACTTCAATAAGCTCCCTTTTGTCTTTTTTTTTCATAAATTTCTGATATGACATTACGGAGTTATGGAACCTTATTCGTTGAAAAATCGTCGAAAACTGTCAATTTTTCACACTTTAGACGGTTATAGAATTGTGTTTGTTCAGAAATCGAGGCATCAAACTTAGTTTAACTTGAGGTAGCCTTAATAGTGTCAAATTATTCATGTTTTGGGTCAATGGGTACCACCGTGTGTGCATGTCTTTTTTTTTTTTGGGGGGGGGGGGGAGCATTTGAGCAGTATTTCTAGTTGATCATATAAATTCATTTTAAGCATAAAGACGAGCTAAAAGGCCGACGGGCGTAGCGTGCTATTATGGCGCAGCTCTTTATTTTGACATGTCAAAAATTGTCGGGTAGAAAGTCAGAACGATGACGAGCTAGGTAGACCACCCCGAACATTCTTGTCGAACGAGTGAGACCAGTCTCCCGATCGCTTACTCTGTCTTGATCGGGCTTGATCGAGTTGATCTGATCGGCAGTGTTAACATAGTTTTAACAACAAAACTGTTGAATTGACCCTGAAATTAAAAAAGCTAAAATTACTTGCATGAAACGAGTGCATGAATTTATCAGTAAATAGAATGAGTGCAAAATTCAATTGAAACAAAAAGTTCTTGACCGGTTAAAAGAAAAAAGAAAACGAATAAGCGAGCTAAGATGCTCAAAAGTATCAAGAATAAAAAAAAAAGCTGCATTAGTTACACTTTAAATGCTCAATTTACAGCATGTAACACAGTCCAAGATCTAGCAGAAAAGCTCGAGAAATAATATAGGACTGCAAATGAAAGAGAGACCGCCTTAAGCAGTAATACCACCATTGTTTTTCCCCTATTAGTCTTTCTTATATTGGCATTTAAAAAAAAAATGGGCAGAATTTCTCTTTGTTTCAAATAAAGAAATACTTGTTTTATCTAACTAGTACTACAATGAACATTTCAAATAACATTTCATTGCATATAAGATAATAACCATCACCGGAAGTAAACCAATAACATTTTTATTTGCACATCTTTGCACATTAGTGAACAAGTTTCCCTTTGAATTGCAACACCCGATAATCCTTAATTAAAGAGAAATGGCTTACTTGCTTCAAAGGAGCATCTTTACGCTTCTGAAGATTGGGAGAACTATATTTTCTTAAATGAAGTAACATGCAGTAATGATGTTATTTAATGTAATGAGAGACAACATGTAGTAAAACACTTTTAATGTAATGAGAAACTAGTAAAACTGTTGGATTTCATTTTATAGATATAAGAAGATGTGGTATGAGTGACAATGAGACAACTCTCCATCCAAGTCACAATTTGTAAAAGTAAACCATTATGGGTCAAAGTACGGCCTTCAACACGGAGCCTTGGTTAGCACCGAACAGCAAGCTATATAAAGAGCCCCAAAAATGACTAGTGTAAAAAAAACCAACGGTTTAATCTATATTAAAAAACGAGAAACGAGAAACACTTATGAACCACATCAACAAACGACAACCACTGAATATCAGGTTCCTGACTTAGGACAGGAGCAAACAAATGCAGCATGTTCTTTTATTCTATATAAGTTGACCTTTTATGAATTTGGCTATTCTGATACGGTATATTATTAGTCATGTATATAGCCTGGCATCCTGACCCAATCTAATACTTCGTCGATAGGCTACTGTCAAGCAGTTTGCCAGGATCCCAGGTTGTCATGTATACAGCTCCTAACGTTGCAACGTATTTACACATCCTTTGCATTCAAATGTTTAGGTTTGAACGTCCCTGATGAAGCCTAATCCAGTAAAGCGCTTCGGACGCACTAAATATTCTGTACGCACAGCACATTATTCTTATATAATCAACATCAGATACTCAACCTTGGATAGTTCATACATTGAAATATTGACTGCCACCTTGGATGCTGACACAATTATTGTGTCGGTTCGGAAAGAGATATTACAACCAATTTTCCCGAAATTCTTTTCACTTACAGGGCAAAATCGGAGAGTTGTTGACACCTACACAAGTTTTACTGTTAAAGATTTATTCGACTTCAAACGATGTTTTCGGTACAATTAAACCAAGACAACATCCGTATTGCTGTCTCCTTGACGTATATCTAGTTCGAGATTAATCTGACGTCTGGGCGCAGTCAATAAAGAAAAACATGGAAATCACCGACCCAGACTTGGGGCGGTAAATTTCTGTCTCGAAATCGTAATGTGTCCATGTTCAATTATGTACACCATACATCATTCAGCTCTGTATTCATTTTACTCCACGGTTATGTAATTTTATTTTCGTACCCCCTCCCCTCTAACACAAAGTATATCCAACTTTTCATTTAAGACTCATTTAAGGGCATACGATACAGTTACCGGGGAGACAATGACGTTGCATTCGTAAAATGTTATTTTTCGCGACGGCAAACTATGACATATCAAGAAAAGATACATTTTTCTACCGATTTAAATCATTAGTTTGAAAATGAGTACACGGTCCCCTCTTTTAAATATGACATTTGGCTTGATTATGTACGAAAATTATTTGTACTAATTTCATGAACAAATCAGCGATGGAATTTCTATTAAATTAGATAAATATACAACCATTAATTTACCGGTTTTTTTTTTCTAAAATCATGAAAATTTAATAAAAATGAATTATTTTCAAAGAATTGTTACAAAAATTCAGAGACTATTTATGTAAATAAGATATTCCAAATGTTTTTACAAAAATTCGCTTGTGTTTACCTTTTGAAACCAAAAAGTTGGGTATATCTGTCCAAAGGATAGAAATATCCATGAAACCGACATTTTGAGTAAATGTCTAAAAATTCGACCCTTTTATCTCTAAAAGTAGAACATGAATATTTTTTTTTAC